CCAAAGTAAGTCTCGCGCTGCACTCCCACTCCCACCAATTAATGATGACCTGAGCAGCCGGAAGCCCACTCATCTGACTCATAGGTCTTGTTTCCTTGTTAGACGGATACTTTCTGGTGTTCCACTCCACCAACTTCTACGCTCAGACGACAATGAGATTGGGCCAGAATGAAACTGAAAACACAAATGTATGTTGTCCACTTTGACTGGGTGATCGGAAATGAGACTAAAAGAAGACATTTTTGGCCTTTAAAAATGATCATGAGACCATTTACTTTGCTATTTCCTGTTTTAGAATGAGAAATGATATATTTGGTAGAAAATATATGGTGAAACAAGTTTGGAAAGTAAAACACGCTTCCTGCCTGTTTCTCCCTGAGCTGCCACCAGAGGCAGGAGTTACATTTACAGTTACATGTAATAATTGACATTGACGCGCTTGTGTTTTACAAACAACATTATAATGCAAATCACACATATCCTCTGCCAAACTCTTATGCTAATCTTGCTCACACTGCAAAAAAGGATCAAATACGAGGTAATAATTGCTGTAATCGAGTGTTTTTTTTAAATCTTAATTTTAGTGCATTCTGACTGTCTTAACAGAAGATATGCCAATGGGACATGCCATTTAGTCTCCTTTAAAAAAAATTTGCTTTATTTTCTCATTCAAAGATCATTTTGTTGTCAATTAGCAAATCTTGTTTTAAGGCAGTCAAAATATGCTCAAATTAAGAAACATATTGCCAAATTTGTGGGCGTTTGTTTAACTTTTTGCAGTGCTAGCAATCTACTGTATACTGGGTAAAGCTCATTCAAAGGTATCAAATAGGACAGAGCAGAGGATGTACTTCCTGTGGCAGCTCAGGAAAGCCAAGCTGCCTGCACAGATGTTGGTGCAGTTCTACACGGTCATCATCGAGTCCATCCTCACCTCCTCCGTCACCGTGTGGTTCGCTGGAGCCACAGTCAGGGACAAACAGAGACTACAGCGCATCGACCAGCACTTTTGAATGCTCTGGAATGAAAGTCCTAAGTAGCTCTCAAAAAGTTGTTGTTTTGAGTTTTATAATTGCTTTTTTTCTTGCTTTTTTCTATCTGAGATGTTCATGCAGTGCAGTGTTCAGGGTTTTACACTAGTCCAGACCGGAGTGGGGAGGATTCACGGGGCGAACCACGCGAATCAGGTGAAAATCCACTGGAGGAAGGCTAACTTTTAGAAAAATGCTAATGAAGCTTTCAGCTTTTTACAATAGACTAGAGCAGAGAAAATGGCTACTCCACCTCTGCTGCTGTGACCTGAAGTGCCGTTGTTTTACTATTGTTAACTTTATAGAATAATTAATTCATTTGTTTTGGTTTGTGTGGATGGATGTGTTTTTGCTGCTACTGGACACCTGGATTTCTCCTACGGGGATCAATAAACTTACTGACTAAACTGCCCTTCATAACATCACCTTACTGCACTGCTTACTGCATATTTTGTGCACCAAGTGCACTTGTATATTGTATGAAGTACATTGTAATAACTTTCCTTTTTTAATCTTAGAAGTGTTGGCTGATTTTTACTATGCCTTACTCTATTCTCTACTTCTCTACTTTGACTGTTGCACCGAGAGCCAAAGCAATTTCTTGGTCTGTAACTTCCTGTTACTTACATGGCAATAGCGAACTATCTAAATGACGTCACTAAGCCACGCCCCCGCCGCCTGTCAACTCCCGCCCACATGTTTCGGACAAACACTGCCGAAATGAATCAAATACCACTTGTCACTTTAGACGAAAATGATATACCAGGGGCAAAATTCCACCATCAAACCATCAGGGATCATAGTGTAGACCAATTATAACGTTGGCTTGAATGTCGTGGTCTTCCAGTAACTGGTAGACGGTTTGAATTGATAAAAAGATAATGGTGAGGATTATGCTAACATTATCTAGTCATTTAAATTGCAATGCTAGCGCCTTCTTTGTTTGTTTTGCTGTGATTAACTTCCATTTATCAAGTTGTTTTTGCACTATCCACTTTGTAATTAGTTTGATCATTAGTTAGCTACAGTCAGCTGATATTATAATAAATCCATGATCACAACGGGTTACGCCACTGTCTCTGAGAGAAACTATCAGAGCTAGCCACACTCAGTAAACGCAAATGACAATCAATCAACACATTTAAATGTTAATGGGAGAATACATTATACACATTCATAACACAAGTGCACGGAGGTTTTCAGAATTAACTGTTCAGGTTTTCATGACAAAAATACTTTTTTAATGCGACTAAAGCGATCGCTTTTAGGTTAACTATCCTCACTGTTACTCGCCTGCCACGGGAAAACCTTTGGGAACTATTTTCTTTGCACTCATTAAATAAACCTTTCGGCATGAGTAGTGAATGACGTTTATTTTGTGTGTTCAATTGGTACAAAGCCGTATAATAAGCAGACACAAAGTTGAAAAAAATCCCTCTCATCTTTCTTCAGGTGTGAGAATTGTATACTTTCTGGATTAGGACAAACAATACTAATATGGATTGATGGGGGTAAATGGTGTAAAGAGAAAGTTTTTGCTAACTACATTCAGAAGAGCTCAGACGGACCTGATACAGCGGTCCAGATCCAGTCCCAGCTAAACGTAGCTAGGACTGGATCTGGATGCTCCACAGTTGGTCCAGCGAAGTGTTTTGAAAAAACATGTGCCCTTTTTAACCTTTTCATGAGAGAAATTCTGCCGACCACAAGCACCCACCTGGTCTGATCTGGTCCTGGTCTGGTCCTGGTCTGGTCCGATGTTGTGGTTTAACGAACGGGTTGAATGTTACTTTCATATAGTCCTTTTCAGAGTATCTGAAATCGCTCCGACAAGCACCATAACTGCAGTGTTTTGTTGTCACCATGATTCAATGATTTAGCCCAAATAAATACACACGCGTATGAGGAGAACACAGTAGAACTCAACGAGTCGTACACAATGTTTGTCCGAAACATGCGCGCATGCGCAGTCATCTGAGCTATTTTTAGCACATTTCGGAAACCGGACAGTGCCCTATACGAATAATTCTGATTCTGAACACAATTTGACAAACATAAAGATACAATATATTATAATATAGAAGGTTTGGAAGCACTCATAATGGCAATGATTGTACTGCAAGAAAAAAGCTTGATAAATATGTTTGAATAAATTTAGCAATTTACAAAACCAAAACAGCACGAAGCAGAAGTCCATCTAACCATTTTTGTGTTTCTCCCCAAATGAATTCACTTTCATTTGGACTTTCAGATATTTTTTTTCCTACCTCAACACAACACTATCATGTTTTAGTGCGTGGGAATAAACAGGAAACAACATTGAAAGCATGTCTTTACCTTGCTTTCAACACATTTGCTAGAGAGTAATTGTACGTTAAAACAACATCTCCAGCGGGTCTGTAATAACAGGTTTCTCTGTGGTTAGAATCAGACTGTTGGCACGTCTCAACGGCTGCACACACGTTATTGGGCTGTTGTCGTGCGCTTCACAAACTATTGATCCAATTCATGTTGGATCTGTTCAGTGCAAATACCAACGTGTTTTGATTTGTTTAGTCAAATGCTGGGATCGATAAGGCTACATCTGTGTGGAGCAAACACAGTCAGAGCTTTGTGGGGTTATCTCTCAGAACATTGTTGAGCATTTAGGCAACGTTTTCATCTTTTTTTACAAACAAGCTGATGCTCTCCCTGGGTCCGAATCCCGTTCAGTACAGGGTCTTTCTGAGTGGATTTTCCCCACCACCAAAATGGTAGGGTAAAAATTGTTAAAATTTTCCAGCTCCGGTAGTCCTGACCAAACCCAGCATCAACATACTGTAGGTCTCGATAGGTCCTCAGACACTGAACTATGACAACCACTATGACGCCCTTGGGGTATCAGGATGGGTCAAATGCAGAGGGTGAATTGCCCTAGGGGGATAAATACACCTTTACCTTCTCTGACTGGTTTTTTAGAGTTTTTCCTTGCCAATACAGGAGGATCCAAGGAAAGTGGTGATGGTCAGGACACTCCACATTCAACAACATTTATGTATTTTATAGACATTTATGGACATCCGCCCCTTGTGGACCAATGACTGTTTTTTTTTTTTATCATCGCATTTCTTGTGTTTGATCCGTTCGATTCTTTGATCTGTGTTGGCGATTTCAACAATTTTGTCAAGTCTGAGATAACTACTGTTGTGATTTAGGGCGATACAAAAATAGCTTATAAAGTTATTAGACCAAGTCCGATCCATTCAAGCCTCCAATCATCAAAACAGTGACTCAGGTCTCACACCAGGCTCGACTCCAAAGTCCTCATCTCTGCTCATGCAAATTTAAAACTTCTTGAACTCTTTACTCAATACCAAAAAAAAAAAATTCTAGTCAATATTTGATCTTGGTGGAGGCCAACATGCTTAGAAAGGTGTGGCTTTACTATAACCAGTGACAATAAAATGACAAAATAATGTTACATGTTTTATCAGGTAACACCAATATGCTTTAGAAATGGTTCGAGAATAAAAAAAGAAAGTCCATCTATTTCTTGGCTGTTGATGTTTAGTGTTATTTATTCTTCTGTTGAAAATACTTGTTGCTACATGGAGGTTCTCTTATAATGAGTTGGAGGTGGGCCATACAAAATATGTTGCTCACAATACAAGTTCATCATGATGTCAAATCATTTTTATTATCAACATTGTCGATTCATAAAATTAGTTTCATACAAATTGAGAATCTTATAATTTAACCAAAATCCCAATCGATTTGTAACACTACACTTCCTGGCAGTTATTTCAGGACCTTATCAAATCAGTCGCTGCTGCAAACCCACCGGTTCAACTATCAACAGAAGTGTCCTTGTATTGGGACTAGGCTCGCGAGCAAAGTCCAAAGTCCTAGATTCAGTGTTTAATATCGTTCACCGCACAAACAGAGCAGTGCATCTGTGGACGTGACTGCGGACTTCGACTGGAGACGTCAATGGGTATTTTCACTATTACATTACGATCTGGCTGCATAGCTTTTTGTTATTTATTAAGAACATATTTCTTAGGTTGCATTGTGGCAAACTGATTTGTTTAATTTGTCAGTGCTAAAAGATCTTGATGCTTGCACTGTTTGAATAGACACTAATTGCTATTTTAATAGATTATTAATAGCTATTATTGGCAGCAGGTCTGCGACTGTAAGCAGGACCCTTTTGGACTTTTATACATGATTTTGACATAGTTTATTTTTTCTAATTTTTACTACAGGTTTAGAGAATGAGAATATTGTTTTTTATTGGTATTGTCAGTGAAGAAATATTCACTATAGAAATTTGCTTTGTGTCTATACTGAAATAACAAACTTGATTTCAATACTTGAAAAAATACTTGATTTTACAATACCACAGTGTTAATAACAAAAAATGACAGTAAGCTGTAATTGTCCCTCTGATTCTCTGATCGGTGTTGGCGAATCAACAACTTTGTAAAGTCTTCCAACATAACATTTACAAATATAAATTGAATTTATCATTCATTGATCATTCCAAACATTATTGCATTTATTAATTGTTGCCTCATACATAAATCTCTAACTGAACTGTTGCCCTAACCCCTGGAAAATGTTTTTATAGCAGACTAAAAGTGAATATTTATTAACTTTAATGCTTTAAAAACTGTATTTTATTGTGTGTGTGTGAGAGGTTTATGTGATATATTGCTTTTCCGTGGTAAATACAAGACTATGCCAGTGTAACTAAATGTTATTTCTCTCATCTTTACAGGTTTTTGGAAGTTTTTAACTGGTAGCATGGAGCTGTCTTTGCTGCTGCTGCTGGTGCTGGCCCCTCTGTGTGCCCTCACTGCCCAGGACAGAGCTCACAAACCTGGACATGTCTCTGTGGTCATCTTGGGGGGAACTGGAGATCTGGCGCGGAAGTATCTCTGGCAAGGCTTTTTCGAACTCTACATAAACCAAATCAACAGCGGACACAGTTTCTCCTTCTACGGCGGAGGACTGTCACCCGTCAACAAGTCCACTCCCATACTTTTTGAGGTTATAAAGGCCCTGAAGTGCTCGAAAGACGTCTCTCAAGAACGCTGTGCAATACTCAGAGAACAATTTCTGCGAATTTCAAAATACAAGCAGCTTAAAACTCTGGAAGAATACAAAGACCTATCCAAAAGCATTGAAAAACAGCTGAAACAAGAAGGTATGAAGGAAGCTGGGAGGCTTTTCTACCTCTCAGTGCCAGCTTTTGCTTACGCAGAGATTGCAGACAGGATCAACAGTAGCTGTAGGCCGCCAAATGGGGCGTGGCTGCGAGTGGTGCTGGAGAAACCCTTTGGACACGATTTTAAAAGTGCACAAGTGCTGGCCACGCAACTGGGAAGCTCGCTGAAGGATGAGGAGATGTACAGAATTGACCACTACTTGGGAAAACAGGTGAAGCCTCAATGTCAACTTTATTTGTATAGCACATTTACAACAACACCAGCTTCCCAAAGTGCTTCATGGGCACAAAAGATAAAAAGAAAAGAAAACAGCATAAAAAACATACACATCCATGTAAAACTAAAATTGTGAAACTCAATTGGTGTTAAAAGCCAAGGTTTTAAAATATGTCTTTAGACTAAACTTAAAAACTTCCAATGAAAGAGCTGTTCTAATGAACAGAGGTAGACTATTCCACAGTTTGGGGGCAGCAACAGAAAAGGCTCCACAAGTTTTGAGACGAGACCTTGGCATAATCAACAGAAGCTGGTTTTTCAGACCTCACTGGAGCATACAGAGATAACAGTGCCGACAGATATGCAGGGGCCAAACCATTTAAACATTTAAAAACAAGCATCAGAGTATTCAAATCAACCTTGAATGTAAGGTTGATTTCTCTCGCCCTGTTTTGCAAGTGTAAAAAATAGATTTATTTAACATTGTATGATCTTTGCTTGTGAAGGTGGTGGCTAACATTCTTCAGTTCAGGATGCAAAACAAGAAGCACCTCGACCCTCTCTGGAACAAACACTTCATCGAGAGAGTGGAGATCGTTTTAAAAGAGACTCTTGATGTTAAAGGTTTGTAAAGTAACTCATAAATACAGTCGCTGTACATGTCCATTTCTCCTAAAAACCTCTAATTTTGTTGCAGATTTTCAGGTAGTTCAAAAACAATGAACTGCATAATTATTTCCAGTTTAACAAGATGTTGCAGCACAAAATTATTGTAACATTCACTGTAGATGCTTTAGTCGCCCCACAGTGGCACCTGGTGTTACTCAAGGTCTCCCATCTCAGTACTAACCAGACCCTGCCCTGCTTAGCTTCAGAGGTCCGATGGCGGGATCTAGCTTTTATATGCAGATGGCACCTCTAGTTTTCATATGTCATTAGATCTCAATTTTTTTTACATCAGTTTTTTTTACCACCCTCACTCTCTCTATTTAGCTCTCTGCTCAAAGCTTCAAATAGTCACAGGGTTCTTTCGAAAGATCACATTTTCTAATAAGATAAAGACAGACTAAATGTGTTGTCTGTGTGGAGAAAAGTTAGTGGGTATATCTGTTGGACCATTTTCTATTGTCATGTGATTGTCTTCCCCTTTATTAATCCATTACTGGATCATGGGGGTGGCAATCAGAGCTGCCACCCAAGTGTCATAGCAGCTTAGCTTAGCTGTCTTCAACGAGATGGCCATGGTCTTTCAGTGGGGGCTTCAGGCAATGTGGGGTTAAGTGTCTTTCCCAGTGACACAACTACAGCAGACATCAGTGGGAGCAGGTGACATGGGGTGTGGTTGGGCTCGAACCCACGACCATTGGGTCCAAAGACCAGTGCTCTACCAACTGAAATTCATCCCTTGTCTTATCTACCTATAGGTTACAACTTTCCATTATTTATCCTGTTTTATGCTAATTATTTGTTTATCTATTTTTTTATTGTATTCAACATATTAATAATAATGTTGCGCACTCACACATGTTATCTGTTGTATCCCTTAAAATATGTGTCTCAAATAAAGTTAAAATATATATATAAAATACCAAAATGTATCCTGTAATCCTGCAATGAGGTCTATCACTCCAGCTTTATGTCAATGGAGACAAGCCAAAACCGCACCAACGTCCGGTACTAAATCATATTCTTGCGCAGGTCGCATTGCCTTTTACGACGAGTACGGCGTGATCCGGGACGTGCTGCAGAACCACCTCACAGAAGTCCTGACTCTGTTGACCATGAAGCTGCCCCGCGACCTCAGCGACAGCCAGGAGGTGCTCACCAACAAACTCCACATCTTCACCTCGCTGCTGCCGCTGAGCAGGAACCAGGCAGTGACCGGACAGTACCAGAACTACCAGCAAGAGGTCCGAGAGGAGCTCAACAAGACCACGGGCTTCGTCACTGCCACGCCCACCTTTGCAGGTCTGTAGCTCTTCACTGGGCAGGACTGAGTTTCGGATGTGGTTCACTCCAGACAACATTGTACTAATGTCTTGCATATGGGTCAAAAAGACCCAAAATGGCTGCTACTGCCGAATATTCACAGACCCACTCTTTTTTTATTTCAGCTTGTTTGTCCAGTGAAGGGGCGCGACTTACACTGATTCGTTCACGCCCACACTAATGATAGCGCTCCTGACTGCCGTTTTGGACGAAACAACCAGTGGACGTGATGTGTTACGTCCAAAACGCCCAGTTTGTCTGCAGTTATTGAATCATATTTTTTGCATATAGTTATATTATTATAGTTATAGATTATAGTAATACTAAACTGTAAAGCACTTTGTGTTACACTTTTTGTATGAAAAGCGCTTTATAAATAAAATTTGATTGATTGATATAGTTATATCTTCAACCATTAGCCATGAAATAGACTTTCCTGTCCTGTGATTATTCCAATCACAAAGCCTCCAACATGACATGACATAAATGTAACAATTGTGTCCCCAAAGTTCAATACAATTCTTTTGAAAGGCATCCATTTTTCTTGAAATGGCTTTGCATATCTATAAACTACATAGTATTAAAGAAATACAAGGTACAAATATTTTTGGTTTATTTTTTTGCCTCTGAAGATTTGACGCATTGTACAGTTTAGCGTGGAGTCATGTAAAAGTTTAAGATGACTATGAATACAAAATGTTACAGTCAGACTACAATATATATACTAGTTTAAAGTGCAAGTAACAGACACATACCAGATATATATTTCACAGAAGTCCAAGCTTGTGCATCACTTTTCTTACATGTTTTTTAAATGGTCTATACAACTCTCAGAGTCCAGAGAGCCGAGAATGGTTATGTTAAACTAATACATTAGCTGCACATTTTTTCTTTTTCATCGTTCGAGATTTATGAAATTATGTCCCTCAAACCCATTTTCCTCAACCACAGGGAACATTTGGTTCTAGGTTGTTTTTCAGTCCTTATGAAAAAAGACAGGGATAACATTGTCTGGTTACAAGTATTCACCAAATGAATCATACTGTTGTTATTAAGCGACCGGTTCAAGATGGCAGTTTTTTCCGATATTGGTGTTGATCAGTGATGATTCATTATTTGAGTTTGGTCGTGTCTAGGCTGAACACCTGGATCTTTGTGGCGGTGAAACGCCTATATTTGCACAAGTTTACAATGTAATAGCCATGTGAGGAGTTTACTTTTCATTGGAAATTATTTATCATGTTGAAGCATGTTTACTGGTTCAAGAAGATAAAGGCTTTAAGATGGCATTGAACTTAGTCAACCTAGTATTAGTCCATAGTCCTTTTTGTTTCCTCCACCAAAGAGCTTATGTTTTCACAAAAGTTTGTCTATTCACCTCTTGGCGTAGACCTGATCTGTACTGACTTTTTTTTTGTAGCTCAGTCTTGTAATGATGATACTACTAATTTGTATTTCACTTTTGAGTCCAGATTTTTTTTTTTTTTTTTAACGTGCGATTGGTTCCTGAAATTGCTTAGTCATAAAATAATTTCAACATGTCACATTACAGACTCAAGTAATGAGATAATTAGTTAAGTTTTGTTTTCCATTTAATAGAAAATAAATATTTAGTTTATTTAACAAATAAAGATCCACATTAATATCATTGTCACCCAGTTCTAACTCTTGCACCTTTTGCAGCTGTCCTGGCCCATATCGACGAGACTCGATATGAAGACATGCCGATTCTCATGATGTCAGGAAAACAGTTGGACGAGCGAGTGGGATACGCCCGTGTGCTTTTTAAGGACAACGTCTTCTGCCTCCAGAACCAAAACAGCGTCCACTGCAAACCCAAACAAATCATCTTCTATTTTGGACATGGCAGCCTTAACTACCCTGCAATCCTTGTGAGCAAAAACCTGTTCAAGCCAGACGTTGTTGACAGCGAATGGAAGGAAGTAACTGAGCACAAGGATAAAGATGTTACAGTTTTAGGATTGCCCATTTCCGACTATTACGTGCAAACACCAATACTGGAAAAGGAAGCATACACCGAGCTGATTTCTCATATCTTTGCTGGGCGACGCAATAGTTTTGTAAGTACAGAAAACCTCTTGGCCTCGTGGGATTTCTGGTCCCCACTTTTAACAAGCATCACGGACACATTCCCACGCATTTACCCAGGGGGCGCCGATAACAAAGATATGCTTGACATCTTTCTAAAAGGAAGAGACTTGAGCTATGTCAATGAAGTTGTTATAATCAGTCAAGATCACATGAGCGGGCAAAATCCCAACAATTTCCAAGTTATGCAGGGGAAATTTCGAAACGACGAAATGGTTTCAGGCTGGACAGAGGGGCTGATTGAAAAGCTGGCGTCCGACATTGAAGAAGCAGCGGAGAAGGCTATCCTCGAAAGCGGCGTTTTCCACCTGGCGTTATCGGGAGGAGCCTCTCCGTTGGCGCTCTTCCACAGACTGGTCCTGCACCACTTTGCGTTCCCGTGGGGGGGAACACACATCTGGATGGTGGACGAGCGCTGCGTGCCGCTAAACGACATGGAATCAAATTTTCGCAGCCTCCACGACCACCTACTCCAACACGTAAAAATCCCATATTATAATTTACACCCGATGCCCGTGCAGCTAAACCAGCGTCTGTGCGTGGAAGACGACCGAGGGACTTGGCTCTATCAAGAGGAGATCAGGAAGTTTGTCAACGCCTCGAGCTTTCACTTTGTGTTGCTAGGCGTCGGATTCGATGGCCACACGGCGTCGCTATTCCCAGGAGTCAAACCAGAAGATCACGGGGAAAGTTTAGTCGTTTTTACAGAAAGCCCGAGCAAACCTCACCAGCGAATGAGCTTAACCTTTAACGCCTTAAACCGAGCTCAGAAAGTGGCCATTTTGATGTTGGGGAAATACAAACACGAAGCGGTGACGCAGTTGAGCAGAGTGAAAGGAGAGACATCACAGTGGCCGGTCACATGGGTGAAGCCAGACGGTGGCAGCCTGGTGTGGTACATGGACTACGAGGCACTCCTAGGGTAAACATGGGACATTTGTACTGTGAACCTACTGTGAACCTACTGTGAACAACAGAAAACGGACATAATCACTTGGATGCACTGGGGATGACACACTGAAGTCTTACGAAAAATGAAAATAGGTTACCACAGCATTGCAATAAAGTTAAATCATCTAAATTTCTCCTTTTTTGAGTTATTGTTACGCTTTCTCTTGAAAATCATAGTATTGATTTGTTCTAAAGCCACAATAACTCATCATCCTGGATCCTGTGCCTAATGTATAAAAAATGCAGGATTTGTTAAGAAAAGTACTATTTTATTATGGAGTGAATTGAAGAGAATGTTCTTTGGATACATTTTGAAGTTATATTTAAAAATACTTGAATGTTGCTGATCTATATTTCCTTTGTTGAGTTTATCATCTAGATATCCCACTTTTCAGAACGTTACTTTGATATTGCTCCGAATCGCAGTCGTGATTTGGATTTGACAAATGAATATGTTTTATAGAGTGTGAGAGTGTTGGTGAGTTTTAATGGTTGAGACAGTGGAAAGGCGCTAAACAATTGAACAGATGTGCTCATAAAACTTAAAAGGACAAAACAGATGTGGGTGCTCTTTAAATCTCAGGAAGTTGTGTATATTTTTACATACATTTTCTGTGTGATCTGACTTTTATTATGCAAAATGTCTATATTTTACACACTGTGACAGTGTTTTTTTCACTTGAGACTGGTTCGAACTTTGAAGTGTTGATCCCAAACTGCATGCTGTGACCAAAGTTTTCTTCTTTTTTTTTTTGAAACCAATTACGGCTATTCTCTTTTCAAACTTAAACCTCAGTGAGACCTTATTTTGGACTCTTTCTCTCGCCAGCTGCTCCAAACAGTTTTTCTATACAAGAACGTTTAAGAGCTATCATCTCCGGACCTATTTCCGAAGATTATTTTGCAACATTTAAAGTAATATAAAGCCAATGTATTTTGACAATCAAAAGTAAAACATCAAGATCACATTATCATCTGCCTTTATTTAACCAGGAGAGACTTTTTCAGGGAAGCCTGGTGTACATGTCTTTAGTAGTCTGGGAAACCCAGACAAAACGATGACACAGGGAGAACATGCAAACCACACAGAAAAGGACCAGGAGTCAAACCCAGGGTAAAGTATGGCCTCTTATGTTGGCCCTTATTAGATCATTTCAGTTTGACAAAATGATTTCCTGGTACAAATATATCACAGATACTGGTTACATGTTCCACACCTCTGTTTAGAAAAGATGTACATTTGTGAAAGAATGTGATTGTACACAATGAACTTTTTAAAGAACTTTTGATTGAAATGTTGACTCAACGCCTCTGTTTTAAGTTGCTTACTCCCAGTTCAGATTTCAGTTCATAAACCTAATAAAAAACCAGCAGCTGCTTTTGCCACGTGAGGATCAAAACATGAAACGGATTAAGTTGCTTTCTCTTTTTGGCGTTCCCATGGTTTGAAGTTACAGCGTGTGGTGACATGGCGGCTTCATTAAACCTTAATGCCGGAGCTCATGTGACACTTCCTGTTCCTTTTCCCCGAGTCTGTTCTTCAGCCACAGGGCACATTTCACCACAAAAAACCCTGAAACAAACACCAGGTGAATCTAGGGTTAAATATGTAAAAGCAGCAAGTACTGTGGTGAATGTAACGATACTAGAGTAGATGTATGAATACTTTATACACCAGTATTTTACAACATAAAGCCCCAGAATTATGATTTGGTTGATGGCAATATGTTGACATGGCAACCATAACATTTAATTTATTCTAATATTTTAACCAAACACTAAAATTAATATGGGTCAATAATGTCATTGGTTTTTTTAACTAACAGTCTACATTTGCGAACCGTCTTCACTTTTGGTTCAATCCAAATAAAAGATAACTGTTTGAAAATCTGGAAATAAATACCCAAATGAATTTGCCCCCGCTGCTTTATACTGAAGAGAATCCCTACTTTCTACTCCTCTTCATTGTTTTACTGAATGAAAAATAAGGGTTTGAGACCTTACAAAAAAGGCTGAGGATTAATTTATTGTAAAAATTAATAATTTCCTCCACTCTTTTGATTGAGCAAAAATATTACTTTCAAATAACAGATAATGGAACTCTTAATATAATATAAGGCTCCTGGCTCTCAAACTGTTCCATCACTAGTTTTTTGGCCTCTCACATCTTGTAGGTCAGCTTGTTCAGACCACCTTTACTCAGCCACAGCTCTCTGCTCAAAACATCAAATATGGCAAGTTTGTACAGCTCCAGCACCAGCTTTGCCACAAAGAAGAGACAGTTCAGCCCAGGGCCAAAAATGGGAACCAATTCTTGTGAAATAAAATAAATACACCATAATGCAATTTAATCTCTAACTCTTTTTAAAAGTAAGTCATCGAGAAGGAAAAAAAATCCAATAAGATGGAGACAGCATGTAGAGGCCTGATGATTTGTTTGTTTACTTTAACAAGAGTCATTATTTGACAGACTACATGTATAATTTAGTTCCTGAAAATGTGAGACGGGCTTCTTCACTGACAATGTTCAAATCCAGGTTAAAAACAATTCTGTTTAGCTGTGCATACAACAGGGATTTTTGTCCTCACTCTTTTAATGCACTGGCATTATTTATGTTTTAAAACCCTGTGTCCCTGTCTTTATCTTGTTTTATTCAGCACCTCTTAATCTTAATCCTTTGAGTTGCCTTGTGTATGAATTGTGACATGCAAATAAATAGTGCATAAGGTCATTCAATACATGACTTCAAAAAAAGAATAATATGGTAAGGAAATGAAAACACGTATCCTCCCATACTGTGAATGTTTGTGGGACACTTTGAGTCTGCCACCTATTAGTGTTAATAGACTTGACTGTACAATGTGAATCCTGAGCTCACCTGTGCTTATGCCGGACGCCACGGTCAAAAGCAGAGACATGTAGTACAGTTCTGGGGTGGTGTTGACCTACACAGAGTAACTTCATTAACTGTGGCTCAAAATATTTCAACAAATGCAGTATGATCAAAAGTCACTCACACAAGATGCTGCTGTGGAGGTTAAAATGACAGTGCTTAATCCATGCCCAAAAGACACAAGTCCAAACACATAATAACACCTCCACAGACTTAAAGGGACCGGCTCCAACAGCGTGAATATAACTGAGAAACCTGTTCAAGTCAAAAAGGAAAATATTTGTGTGTTTAAGAATGATGAGATTGCTTAATAGATAAACAAATTATAGATTCATATGGAAAACATTATGAATCCTCAAAAAACCATAAATACTTATCACATAGAAATATCAAACGGGAAATTCACAATTGCTGAAACTGGTCATTTCTCAATTTAATATCAGCATGTTCAGGCTATACTACAACTAGATTCTGTTCCCTTCTGCAACAACAACATTTGCTTTGTAAACGTTACAGTAAATGAATGATTACAGGTCAATTGTTTGAAAAGAACCCTTTATCAAATCACATTTACCTGCAGCAATACAAGACAGCACGATAGAGGCTGAGAGGTTATTCAGTAGAGGCTGTCGGCAGTATCTGGAAGACTTTTCGCTGCGTAATAAATGGGAGATAATTACATAACAAATATCTAATTAATGTGTTGGATGTTGGTATTACCTTGTCAAGACATAGAGCTGAGGTCCCAGGACAAGTGCTGCAAACATAGTATTGACTATTTGGCTGAAAAATGTAGTAAAACTCAATATCAGAATGTTAATATTCCAACACACAAACGAAATAGACATACAATTTGATCCTTTGACTTCTTGGTATCTGTCTGCAACCAAAGTAAGCCATAAAAATGAGCAAGTAGAGAAACATGGATATCCTTCTCTTATCTTGTTTTGACATTGTGCTCAGTGTCCATTTTAATCGGTCTGAAGCCACAGCAGTGGAGTCTGTGGGTAGTGTTTCACCAGCAGCACTAAGCAGAGCCTGATCTGATACCTTGATACTTTTGATACGTTAGGCGTGGAGACAGACATTAGAAAAACTAACATCAAATTTCACCTGTATTGTTTGGGCTCTTCTTAAAAGATACACAAACGTACCAACCATTTACCAAATGTGTCTTCAATTTATTAGTACACATGTTATCTGTTGCATACTTGGAAGAGAGCCCCATGTGAGCTACTATTTGACACTTTGGGCTGAGAGCAGATTTGCTGTGCAAGAGTGGTCCTCTTTTCTGAAATTGCATGCATGCAAATACCATGGCTATCAGGCCCGTCGCAAAGGGGGTGCGAGACCCTTTTCCCAGATCTCGGGAAAGTTTTTCCTGTTATAATCTTTGACATGAATTCAGCACCACCTCGCGCGGTGCGTGAAGAGATCAGCACGCGCGCAGCCGTGTGTCCTCCTCTCTCCGTCGGGCGCGCGCACGCACACACGCAAGCATACGCACACACACAAACTGTTACGGCGCTTGGCAATGCGATATTGGTCGCGGAATTTTTTGCTGACATGGCTCTTTCGTCCTGTGGCAAAATGGCAGAGCAAATCAAAAGATTGAGCCAAAAGGAGTCTTCTTTTTCTAATAGTTAGATTACGGCAAAATGCGCCAAAATGGCTATGAGGCGGTGTCAATATTTGTATTTTTTTTTCTCATCAAATAACGTTTTTGCCATGCCTCCACACACTCTGACAACATACGCTTCTTCTCCTCCTCCACACACTCTGACAACATACGCTCCTATAGGGCTATACAAAAATATCCCATGGATCTATTATAATTCTGGCCCCTTCCCAATACTCGCACTTCCACCCTTGCGCCCCTCATTTGCGCGTTCCCGATAAAGGGTGCGAGTGCGTAGGGTGTCCCAATTCTCCAGGGAGGTATTTGGCCCCGCCCCCTTTGCGCCCCTGATCCACACTTCGCCGTAGCCTGCATCTATGCACACTCTGGCGAAGGATATTGCCCATAATTCTTTGCGGTACACACCAAAACGACGGGGAAATGCAATTAAATATAAATTTTGAAATATATATGCAGTATGTGTGTAAATAAGTTTTGCTATGTTACTTGGAAAGAAGCATAAACGTCTGATGAAGAATTACGGACATTGTGTTTTAACAATTTAATAACTTTTTAAAGCAAGCGTTTATATAACATTCAATTTAAACTTTACACTTAGTACAATAATCTTAGAATGTATAAAAACTGACCAGATAGTTAGTTACCCACATTTAACTTAAAATTATACCGCTATCTCTAATTAAAAACAACTAATATAAATGTATTATAACGTGTGTGAAGCAATTCATATTGTTTCCCAAAGGGTCAGAAAAAATTACCTTTAATTTTTATAAAGTTTAGGTCTGAAAATGACCATCTCTTGACGAGTCGATGACGTAACCTGCTCTCAGTGTGCACTGTCCCAATTCCACCTTTTGTGCACGCTTGCAACCTGCGCACTCAAACCCTTGCGCGCACTTCAAACAAATGCACACTTCATAGGAGGGCGTAGGGTGCAGTGTGGGTATTGGGACTGGGCCATAGATCCATGCACTTGACCCCCCAAGCCCCGGCGATCCAAGATGGCGCCCTATTCAAATGAATGGCTGTGCTCAGTGGCGCTTTGTGACGGCATGGGGGCTGAAAGATTAGCGGAAGTTGCCTGAAACTCGCAAAGATCTATGGGAAACTCGCCTGTATTTGGGCATCGTCTGGTCCTCCCGGTTCTGCGCAGTGGATGATCTCCCATAATGCGTTGCGCCAAACACGCGTGTGCGGGTCTCACACCGGGTTTCACGCACGTGCACAGAGGGGCTCGGCCGCGCTCTGACCAATCAGAGCAGTTCATCAGAGCGGGAGCTAGAGCGAGAGCCAGAGGAGCAGAGTTTGTGGCACTAAAGTGTGGATTTAAACAAAACCGAAGGATTTAAGAAGAAAAAAAGTTCAGGATGACAAGGGACACTAAAATCCCCACAAAATCCGATCTTTATTAAAGCTGTAGGTTCTCTGTCAGCTGAGGTTGAGCTGTTTTAATATGCATTGAGTTCTATGGGGAAAATTTCTGGGTGGCCCACGTGAATTTAGTCTGGTTCAGTCTGCAGTACCGCGAGAATCCCCTGAGCACATGAGTTATTCAGCTACAAGCTAGTAATACCCTATCCAGTGGACTTGCGTAACTTAATTAGCGTCACCGAAAACAGGTAACGAAACAAAGGTTCCTACCCAAGGATTTTCAAAATAAAGCAATACATTTACAAATTATTCTAAAATACACAAATCAAACGTATGGCAGTAAAATTGTCCTAAATGACTAATGATGATAAATAGAATGCACCTGTGTGTAATCAAGTCTCCGTATAAATGCACCTGCTCTTTGATAGTCTCAGGGTTCTGTTTAAAGCGCAGGCAGAACCATGAAGACAAAGGAACACACCAGGCAGGTCCGAGATACTGTTGTGGAGAAGTTTAAAGCCGGATTTGGATACAAAAAGATTTCCCAAGCTTTAAACATCTCAAGGAGCACTGTGCAAGCAATTATATTGAAATGGAAGGAGTATCAGACCACTGCAAATCTACCAAGACCCGGCCGTTCCTCCAAACTTTCATCTCAAACAAGGAGAAGACTGATCAGAGATGCAGCCAAGAGGCCCATGATCACTCTGGATGAACTGTAGATAACTACAGCTGAGGTGGGAGAGTCTGTCCATAGGACAACAATCAGTCGTGCACTGCACAAATATGGCCTTTATGGAAGAGTGGCAAGAAGAAAGCCATTTCTCAAAGATATCCATAAAAAGTCTCATTTAAAGTTTGCCACAAGCCACCTGGGAAACACACCAAACATGTGGAAGAAGGTGCTCTGGTCAGATGAAACCAAAATCGAACTTTTGGCCACAATGCAAAACGATATGTTTGGCGTAAAAGCAACACAGCTCATCACCCTGAACACACCATCCCCACTGTCAAACATGGTGGTGGCAGCATCATGGTTTGAGCCTGCTTTTCTTCAGCAGGGACAGGGAAGATGGCCATTCTGGAAGAAAACCTGTTGGAGTCTGCAAAAGACCTGAGACTGGGACGGAGATTTATCTTCCAACAGGACAATGATCCAAAACATAAAGCCAAATCTACAATGGAATGGTTCACAAATAGACGTATCCAGGTGTTAGAATGGCCAAGTCAAAGTCCAGACCTGAATCCAATTGAGAATCTGTGGAAAGAGCTGAAGACTGCTGTTCACAAACGCTCTCCATCCAACCTCACTGAGCTCGAGCTGTTTTGCAAGGAAGAATGGGCAAGAATTCCAGTCTCTCGATGTGCAAAACTGATAGAGACATACCCCAAGCGACCTCCAGCTGTAATTGCAGCAAAAGGTGGCGCTACAAAGTATTAGTGCAAAGGGGCTGAATAATATTGCACGCCCCACTTTTCAGTTTTTTATTTGTTAAAAAAGTTTGAATTATCCTATAAATTTCGTTCCACTTCACGATTGTGTCCCACTTGTTGTTGATTCTTGACATTTTTTTTTTTTTTTATATATATATCTTTATGTTTGAAGCCTGAAATGTGGCAAAATGTTGAAAGGTTCAAGGGTGCCGAATACTTTCGCAAGGCACTGTATATTCAAAGATGACTGCTGTTGTGATTTAGGGCTATACAAAAATACATCGACTTGATTTGACAAAGGCTTGGTGGATTCATTTGTTGACAGTTATGAAGGGTTGATTCCTACCTTTGCCAAATTGTCATTAAGTCATTAGGCCATTCTAATGACTTGCCTAACACCATGTGGAACACATGGTGTTAAAAGGTATGTGGAAAAGGTCCATAAAGATTGGGAGGCTTAATTCATTCAGCCTTCCAAGCATCTTATGGCTTTGCAATGGTGTTGGGAATATTATATTATCACAAACTAGTGATAGAAGTAGCTTTGGGAGCAAGGAACGAGTTAAATCTATTCTTTCACATGGTTATTTTTTGATTATGGACCTAAAAAGAGATGATAGTCCAAATTCAGTCACAATTCATCCTTTCTCGTCTTTCCCTTGTCCTTTCATATCGACCTTAGATTTGACCATAGACTATTTAAATAGATTTGATTATAGACAGGTAGGATCCATGTATGTTATTTATAATGCCACCTAAGTGCATGGATAAGGAGAAAGAAGAGAAGAATAAGCAGGTATTTTGTTAGAATTTAGATGCAGTCAAGATGTCGCCGAATCAGAAACGCTGATCCTCCTGAACACAAGGGGGCACTAAACACACGGTGTGAGTTCCTGCCATTGACGCCGTTTTTGCCGCGAGATTTATAGAAATGTTCCAATTTTCTAATATATACTTTGTCTGAACGTCGTGTCGCTTTTAGCTTTTACACTTTATATTCTTTATTAAAGCTACTGTAGACGCTGAGAGGTGACGTCATGTCTCTGGATAAAGAAGAGGTTCATCAGGTAGGATCCATTACTGGCAAAAAGTACAATCAAAACCTCTCTAAACGATAGTGTTTTGACTTCACAGAGGTTAAAAGCAGCTGTGCATTACACTGTGGGCCGTCTGTGTCAGAAGACTGGACAGGAGCATCATAAAGAGTTCAGCAGACAAACCATCGCAGCAATAGCAGAGACCAGCTTCAGACAGTGTGGTGAGTTTTCTGTTGCATGATGGGATAAAGATTATGTATTTTATTTGTAGTTAATATTAACATTCTATGGTAGTTCCACATTAAAAGGCAGTCTGAATAAAAATGTGTGAACTTACCTCCCTGAAGTGGCCTAATGTGCTGAAAACCCATTTCTCTGGCCATAGATATGTAAAGCTCTCATATATAATCACAATTGTTTTGTTTTCGTAATAAGACACTAGGTCCATAGTCAGAAATTCCAGCCAATATTGTCAAGAATTGTCAGTGCCATTTACTTTATTATGTATCTTTTGAATAGGAAGAGTCCAATTTCATCACAATAGTCAATTAGTGGGTATATTTGAATCTTTGATGCTTTAATGCAGTGTGAAAAATGTAGTAAAATCTGTAGCAGTTCAGTTGTGTGGACAATCGAATAATTGTGACTGCTGCCAAAATTAGCCTGTGTTTCATACAAAGAAAACAGGAGAAACTACAGTAGTTTACCGAATAGATAAAATAACCTGCTTCAGTTTCACCCACCAACCAAATAAAATATACATAACTATGAATTCAAACTAAGTAAAATGCATATTCCATTATTTTACAGAGATCTTTGCGAGAGATTTGGAAGCATTTGCCAGGTAATTAGTCAAACTATGCTTGTTAAAAGTACATAAAAATATTGATAAAATACACTTTCAGACATGCAAAAAGAACCACCGTTTCTGCAGAAGATGTCAAACTCGTAGCTCGTCGCAGCACAGCACTCGTAAGCACTTCTGATACTTCAAAACATTGAACCCGACACAGTTGTTTGAATCACGTTTTATTTTTCAGTCCATGTACATACAGAACAAGAGTGAAGAACTGAACCAGGAAAAGAAGAGTACTGGTAAAAGGAAGAGTAAAGACGCTGAGGAGAGCAGAGACCAAGGACTATAGGCACAAGCAGCTCCACACCAACAACCAACATGTAAATAAAATACTTACACAAAACTACCCACGGTTATTCTGCTCAACTCGTTACATGGGGACTTTGGGTTCAGGTGATGGAGCTACATTCGTTTGTTCATTACTGCATTATATAGAAAAGTTAGCTAAAAATATTGCTTTGTATGATACCAAAAAGTTTAGGCACTGTCTACCATGTACATAAAGCCTAACATCTGTCCAGTTTTGGGATGCGAAAGTTGCTTTTTAAAGGTGCACCAAGTAACTTGACCCGATTTAGGTTTTCACCATTGTGATGACTTCATACATTGTGCCTGAAGTCTGGTGTAGGGCTTAGCAATATTACCGAGGGACAACAATAAAAATTGTTTATCCAAATGATTTAATTTTTAAAATTACTTGACACATTTCTACTCCATATGTAGTCTGTCTGTTGAAATATTTTAACCCTTTGGGTGCCAGAGTTTCTGAAATTGTATGTGAAACAAAGATGCAGCCCTGAAACGTAATAGGAAATAGACTACTACAATCAATAACAGAAATAAAGAAATGGAAGATGTAGGGAAACGTTTGATAGAAGCCAGGTCTTTGTATAGAGTGTGTCCTGGACTCAGGAGCTCATGCAACAATTCTACTTTGACGCCAAAAGGGTTATAGATTTACGGACTTGCCAGTGATTTTTACATGCCATAATTAAGTCAAATCACATAAAAAGATGAGGAAAAATTGAGTTATGAAAACTGAAGTCATGATTCATTAATAAAAAGTGTCTGATAGTTTAAATGGAGACAAACAGCTAGCAGAGTCTTAATCGGTAAAGTTACATAGCGCATCTTAAAAAGGAAATGAGACACGGAGCAAATTGACAAACCTATGATTTCCTACCCTGGTCAACCACACAGCATCACGGACATGCCACATAAAGCAGTTGCGAGACAGGTACTACCCCATGTCAAAGTGTGGGAACTTCCATCTTCTTCCTTCAGACTCCAGTCAGGCAAGACCTCGACCAGCACAGCCCAAGGTCCCTGGATATGTGAATTAGATTGAATTTAAATGACTCAAGTAGTATCAACTAATAATCATCATAAATTCAAATGAGCTTTATTTAAAGAACTCCCTTCATTTGACATTTTGTGGACACCTCAGACAACAAGAGCTACGGGGGAGCCATTGGACACACCACTCCACGTTCGCACACGTTAACATTCGCGTCCCCTGTGTCTTCAACAAGTGTCACCCACATCAAAACACGCTTACAGATCAGGGCGAGAACATAAAAAGCACACACCATTCAAATCAGATAATATAGGCATTACAACGAGAATTCAGCACAACATTCCACCACATTTTGATAATTCTGCACTTGATCAACATACTTGATAGTAAGGAAAGACTTGCAAAAGGTTAAAAAAAATATTGAAGTATTAAATGTCCATGTTAAAAGGGAGGGGGGGAGGCGCTCGTAGCATGTGCCGCTTCCACTCACACACTCAGAAAGCAGTCAGATTTGGGCTCGCTCACTGCACAAAAACAACCAGTCCCGTTTCACGCTTCTCTCGCTCCGCTCGCTCACTCATCGCTTCACTCTTCGCCACAAGTCATCCGCAACGCACTCAGTTCTTAAAATGCCAGTCAGCTGCGCAGTTCTCTCCATTCTGTTTTGTTTAAAAAAGTGGATAAAAGTGAAAACACCCACCGTCTTTCAGAACATGCGACGTGGAGTTCTGTGATGGCATAGCATTTACAGATGGGACAATGAACACGATATCACCCCAAGAATGCTGCCAAAGAGGAGCTTCCTCGCAGGGAAATGGAAGAGAGGTGAACTGCAGAAGAGATTTCAATCAAGGCTTTTCCAGAACTTGACTGCAAATAAAGTTGCACTTAAAACATTTATGTTTCAACCAGATTCTTCCCAATGCAAGATTGCCTTCATAGGAGATGAAATGCCAATCAATGGAAAGCTACAGACATTCATGCATTTTCAAATTATTATATAACATTTCACAATACATGCATTAGAGAATCCAGTTGAAATGGATACATACAAACAAATGAGACACCAAAAATAGCACTTCAGTTGGACAACCTCATAATCACTCACTTTCTAAATTAGATCTTTAAACTGCTTAAATTACAAAAAAACATCTTCCACAAAATGGTAACTTTCACATATGCAATACACCAGAACTAAACTCTCAAAAGACTCATCTCTCTCACAATACTTACCATACGAACGCTTATCTTACATACCCCACCCAGACGACTTTGACTCCATACTGGACCCAAACCCTGAGCTAAACCCGCTCCCTGCATTCGTAGAGTTGGACCCTGTGCCCCAGCCCAGACTGGCTGCTGAAGTGCTGCCATAGTTGTTGTTTCCTGTAGTAAAGCTCTGGGCTTGATCCCTGGTGGTGCTGGTGCCACTACTGGTGTTTGCCGAGCTGGATGTTTGCTGCTGGCTTGCCAGCATCCCCATCATCCCCCAACTACTCTGCAGCGCTGCTGCCATCATGGCTGGGTTTAGGTTGAAGGAACCGAAATTTGCCAGACTATTGTTGGTGCTGCTCCCTATACCGCTGCGGTTGCCCCCAAAAGCTTGAGCGGCAAAGCCGTTGCCAAACCGACCCGCGGACCGGTCATACTGCCTATTGCCGTGTTTAGGTTCAGCATTTGAAATGTGGACGCTGATGCCTTTGATTATTAGGTCCTCTCCACAAAGAGACTGGGCAACCTGAAAAGAAGAAAAATGCATCACCAACACGTCTCGGTTTTATTTTCCATTTCAATATTCAAACTCTAATAACTGGTTCCTCAATGAATAGATTTATTGATTTAATAGTTTGATTTAGAATTCATATTTCAGACCAGGGGTGTCAAACTCCTTTTAGTCAGAGTTTGATTATACTTTTACTCCATGGACTCTAGTTTTACAGTTTTCTTTATGGAAAGTTATGTTTTATCTGTGGTTATTAAAATAGTTTCATTTTTTATATTCTGGTAGATTTTCCAGAACAAAGTGAGTTCAGTTAGGTTTGGACTGAACCAAAGGTAAAGAAGAATCATTATTGGATATTAAATAATAGCTTTAAAATTATGTATAACATGCCATGTTACGCCATTGAATAAATGCTGGCAAGGGAATGACTTCCAAGGGCTTCTAAAATGGTTTCACAGGCCACATTTGACAACCCTATTCTAGATTAAGGGGTTAACGTTATCGTAATGCAATAGGAACGTTATAATGTCTATACCTGGTCGTCAGCAAAAGTGACAAAGGCAAAAGCACGGAAAGGCTTTGGGATGAAGACATCGGTGACGTCTCCGTACTGCATGAAGAACTGCCGCAGGTCATCTGTGGTCATGTCCTCTGTGCATCGGCCCACGAACACCTTTCTGCTCCTCAAAGGCTCATCTGGACCTTGCTGTATAAAGTTGGAAATTATTGCTAATCTACACCATGGCACAATCCTTTGCTTCACAACTTTTCAAGAACACGTCAAGAGACAACATGTCTTTGATTTTAAGTTTGTTGATTTTAAATCATGGAAGTAGATTCAGTCTTTGCTCCTCATCAACTGTGGCTTTGGAGCATTTAAATTAATCTCCTCTTGACTCATGTCTAGTTAATCAAGCTATACTAGGGTCAATAGAACAAGTTGATATCCCCAACGCTGTCAGACTGTACAATAAGTCACTTGCACTAGGACTAAAAAACCTGCACTACTATTGCCACTGTTTCTTTAATTCCCACTTTTTATTGTACGTAATGTATCCTGCACATCTATGATACTATATTTTTTGCCTTTAAAATGTTTGCACATTTCTCTCTTTTGCACAAATCTTGAGTGATTCTATCCATGCCAAATGTAAATTTCTCCTGTGTGAGATCAATAGTCCATCCTATCTTATCTTATATAGTGCTTATTCATGATATACTAAATGTGATGTATCTCTCATATACCTTAGAGTTTGGGTGTTTGCAGTCACACCATCTCCCATCGATCATGTGCCGCTGGGCGATCACCTTTTCTTGTGCATCGTATTCAGCAAATCTCACAAACCCAAAGCCTTTTGAGTTACCGCCCCTCTCACGCTTAACCTGATAGATGCAAGCATATTAATTTGAATGATATCTGGGTGATACAAAGCATGATGAGATAATTAAAAAGTCTCACCTGAACCATGATGACTTCTCCAAATGTGCCGAAGTAGTCTTTGAGGTCCTGCTCTGTGGTTTTCCAGGGGAGACCCAAAACTATGAGGTCTGACGTCTTCATGTCTCCCCTCTTCATTTTTACAGCGGAGGAAGCATCAGTCTCATCCATTTTACGCTTGTTATCTACAAAGGGAAAAATATGACATTAACTTTTATCTTCAGTATAAGAAACTAATGTCCAATATTAGCATTATAGATCTTTGGATCAGCTATGACAAACTACATAGTTAAAGACATAGTTTTACATCCTCATTTCACACACAATTATCCATTTCACACACATTTTTATGTTTTACCACCATAGAGCAATTTTCAAACACTGCTTCGAATGACACTAACCTTTAGGATAGTTGACGACATAAACAATATTGCCCCATCCGTTCTCCGGGGCGTGCAGGATGCCCTCCACCAGGCGCACGCCCCTCATGCACTGGGACACAGGGCTCCGGAACCGCAGGCCGCACGCCCCGGGGAACTGTGCCGCTACCGTGGACAGCAGAACCGTGCCATCATCCTCCGAGGGGATCTCCATCGGCTCCTCATTTTCCTCCTCGGCCACGCGAATGTACACTTCAGCCATCACGTGTCCACGTCGCTTCTCTCGTGCGTCAAAACAAGGCTAAAGTTAGCTGTTAGCCAGAGGCGGCGGCTAACCTTAGCACGAAGCTAACTGGACTCAATGCGTCGCGCGTAAATGGCAACAATCAACAGGCAAACTGTTTTAATCGTTTTAAAACAAGACTGTGGTGACTTTTATACGAATAATCACCAATGTCAATGCGTAGTTTAGGCTCCGCGTAAAGAAAAACACGGGCCTTGTTGCTCCTTTGTTCGTAGGACGTGGCTCTGTGTCGTAAACACTTCTTCTCTACCCAACAAATAAAACTGCGTTGGAAAAGTACACATCAGACACTGCGAGAAAAAACCACGGAGGCCAAAAGTTCGTTCGCAAAGTCAAAAAATGACAGACTTGCGTTTGTAAACACGCTGTTATTAAATAATACTCCACGAGGTGACGATGACATGGAGCTGAGCGGATGTGGCTCTGGGAGGAGGGCGGAGCGCGGAACTTCATATGATCTGGAAATATATGGATTTTCTGGTAGAAGGCTTTACATTTTTGTAAACAAATAACTAAAGGCACACTATGTAATTTTATATGGGAGAGCCCAAACATGCTTGGAATGAAAACAAGACATGGTTTGGAATGGAATTCAGCAGAAATCCTGGCTGCTGGAAAATAATGTAATTTGAATTGGGGACAAGTCTCTTCAAGAACATAAAGATGAAATATATAGACATTTAACACAATTAGATCCAATAGATTGATAATGTCGACAGGTTTTTTTTTTGGTTGACCTTGGGTTTGATTAAAATTAAGAGATTCTTTATTCGTCCAAAATTGGGGGAATTTCAGTGTTACAACACTCAAATTACATAGAAGTAGGTTGAAGAGCAAACAATATTAAGTATAGCACAACCATATACTTAATAACAATAACATAAAATCTCTTATCTATAGCTCAACAAGAAAATTTATAAAAATTGCATTTTCTCATAGTAAGGGTAGATCACTAAAACTGCTCTCCACAGCAGACCCTCCTGTCCAGCACCAGCTGCACTGTGTCCAGGTCCACCACCATCCTCTTGGTCTTCCCTGTGGTGATGAGGAGGAGGTTCTGCCCACAAAGTCCTGTTAGACCATTAGACTATAGTCTAATGTACCCCTGTACTCTGTGTCATTGTCCTCAGCGATGAGTCCGAAGATTGGAGCTGTGAGAGACCATCTGTAGGACAGCTGTCCCTGTTGTGTCTGAACTGTGCAGTGTAGAGGATTTAGAGGAAATTCATATTAAAATATCAATTAAATATTAGCACAATATGTTTTTGGTGACCTCACAGACGATTTGATTTTCACTCAAATAAACCAAAAATTCTTACTGCTTGACAAGAAACATCCTCATAAAATAAAATGACTTGATAGAATGGTATAATGATAAAGACATGAATCAAACATATAAAGACCATGGATCTGTTAAGACACAGACACTGAATACCCATCAGCCTGTTTGGTCCTGGACCAAATCTAATCTCTGTTGTCTTGGGATTGTTTTCTACATTTTCTTATGTTTCTGTATGTTACACCATAGACTGTATGTTACAACCTTTCTACGCGCGCTTTAGCTGCTGCAGCAATCTTGTACGAGCGCGTGTTCTCCGTGATTGTGATTGGTGGGTCTTGATTCACGTGAACGCGCGTAATGGTTTGAACCAGGGTTAACTCTGGGTTGACAGCATGGATCTATGAGGTCGACAAACACTGTTGATATGCGGCTTCAAGCAACAGGTGAAGCTATCGGCCAAGTTATCCTGTTTGAATGTTCCAGGTTTGTTAAAACGCAACTTCCCCTCCAACTCCGAGTTTGCCAAGCATAGACTTGCCAACACCGCCTCTGGCAACAGGGCTCAGTTGTTTTTGTTGTTTTGCATCTCGTTGGCACTTACAGTTTCTCACTACATGTCGCCCACTAGCGGTCAATATGATCGGTCCCTGAGATTTATCAACACGTTATTCAGATTTACAAACATTATGGAAAAATCAAAATATATTCCGATGACTTGTATTAATTAAGTATGTTGGATCTGGTTTTGATGTATTATTTGGTATTAGTTTATTCGCTCTACTTACCATGAGTTACCCATAAATAGGTCATTGAAACTTACTAACCCATGAGCTGGTAAGTATGTTGATTACTCCTGTGCCTTTACGATGGGAGTGCGTCCTCAGGCCAGGGGGTGTTTTTGGGGCTCTGGGGAGAGATGTTCCAGTCAGGGCCTTCTTTGTTTTTCCTCCAATCGCAGCGGCTCGTCCTCCCCGTGGCCCCCGCCTTTACGCTGCTAACCATGGATCTATTATAACACACAACCACTAGAGAGCGCAGTAGAGCATCTAACAACAGCATCATATAACATAAAATATTTCTTTATTTTTATCAAGTGGACATACACACAATTATTTCGTAATGGAACAAAACCGTTTTGTGTGGGCAACCTTGTGTTTAATTAAAAAAAGTATATTTAAAAACTACTCGACAAAATGAGGGAATCTAAGTCACTTTTATTTCCTTATTGTGAAAGACGTATTCTGAGAGTGAAAGTAATTTTTAAGTTTAAATGTTAAAACAATTAAATTATGTTATAAAGTGGGTGTTTTGAAATTCTCTAACAAATAAATAGTTTGAAACAATTTCAATGTCTACATGTAGCTACAAGTAAAAACGTATTTAAATTACCTTTACAGTAGCAATCAATACTAGCAGTAGGGTTGAACTAATGGACAAGAAACTATAATTAAAGGCTGATTAAAGCAGGGGCCAAGAAGATCTCAAACAGCTTTTTATTACATTTTTCAATCAATAACAGTACAATTTAGTACAGTATCTATCTTGCATCCAGCTCACCGTGGAACACCAACAGACTGAAATGAAATACAAAAAGTGAAAAGGTACATAAGGGTGCAGAGCTCTATAATATTAATGGAAAGAGAAAAAGGGAATCCATCTCAGTTGAATTGCATTTTCACTTGTGGCCACACACGAATACATCACATTTATTGTACATCATCGCAGAAAAAAAGAAAAAGTGAAAAAAAAAATGTCACAACTTTAACAAAAGTGCTTCTGTATACAGTGAAATGTCATTCAGATGCTCCAATTTTAAATTTAAGACCAAGAAAAGAAAATGTACAAAAGATTTTTTTGTCGTTTTTATTTTATTTAATATGGATAGTATGTGAGAATGCTTTGTTCCATTGAGTGTGAATATTCAAAAGGAGAGAAAGGACTTGTCAGGAATAAAATTTCACAATGATTGTTATAATTATTACAAAATTGGCATCAATATAACTGGTAAGCATAATTTACACTAATATGCAGTCAATAGTAAGCCGTTTTTCCATTCTCGCTCACCCTGGTGCATAGCATTACCAGTATATTATTAGTACATGATGTATGCATGAGTTTGAGCCAAAGAAAAGTTGGCCTTTATTAGGTTAAATCGACAGGTTACTCTCCTTTTTCAGAAATAAATCTAAAAGGTTTTTGCACCATTGAAAGCAAGTCTACAGCATGCACATCTAAATTAATTCATGGCAGACAAAATTAAATGTCTTTAACTTAAAACATCAGACCATTATTTTCAGACATTGATTTGTACATTTCATTCACAGAGTTGCAACTGCAGTCCCAAGCAAAAAGGAAGTGTCTATTTAGTCAGGTGAGGTGTTTCACTCAAAGTGGATACTAAAACACAATCCCCCAATAATCGTAATAAAATCTAGCCATGCCCAAGGTTAGGTCCCTCCCTGCACCCGCCCCGAGCCAAAGGCATGTACAAGAATTAAGGGGGTTAACTGGATAAGTTATAACTCCTTTTGTACTGGAATGAGCATTCATAACTTAGCATGTGCTTGGTTAGTTAACATAGTATTAGTTGAGAGGCAAAGCTTCTTCATGTGCAAAAGGCTGTGATGACAAACAAAAACAGCTAGTATATAAATACATCGTAGACATTTTGAAAGCTGCTCGTGTAATATGATCCAAGCTTTTACTTCTGTGTTTTCTCTCATCTGTTACATGATTTTTACTGAATTAGAAAGACAGGCTGTAATTCAAATATATCTAAAACCAAAAAGAAATGACAAAAAAAAGCCATTGAGAATAACAAACCATCAGAATAGAATTCTTTAAAAAAGTTAAATAATTTGTACAATTACACTCCAACATTTGCTTTCAAGACGCACACATTTGCATGGGATGATAGTGTTGTTTTCTCTTTCAAGGTAACATAAAATGGTCCAAGAAGGAATGCACAAGTTTCTGATTTGATACCACAGGAGATCCTTTCATAACTAGGTGATAAACAATTGTGCTCTTCTTTGTGTAGGAAAGGCATTGGTTTCCCTTCAATTTTGTGGTGTCCAAGTCAGTTTAACAGTGTTGAAGATGCTATGAACATTCTGAAGTTGTAATGGTCTTCCAGTCAACTTTGGAGTTTAATGAACATCTAAAGAAACACAATATTTCTGTAAGCAATTGAATGGTTTGCAGTATGTGTAACCATGTCAACAGGTTAGTTTTAACATATGCAATACTTTGGAAATACCATCTTGAAACTTAGTGTTCTTTGTTGCGTAATGGAGCACAGAAAGTGTTGCAACAATGGCAAGAACACACAATGACCAAGTTGAGTATACCTTCAGGCTTCAATTCCAGATCTTCAGAAAACTGTCCCAGGATCCTGTTGCAACGGCCATACCATCATCAGTAACTCCCAAGCAGCTAACACGGTTATCATGCCCAGCCAACACTCCTGTAAGGCAAAATGTGTGTTATAACAACTGATTATAAAGGCTCCCTTTAAGAAGATAACACAGTAATGGATACAAGGGTCTTACCGGCACGGTCAGCCTTTAGCGTGTCCCACACGTTACAGTTGAAGTCATCATATCCGGCCAGAAGCAGACGGCCGCTTTTTGAGAATGCGACGGAAGTGATTCCACATATAATGTTGTCATGAGAGTAGATCATGAGCTCCTGATCAGCGCGCAGGTCAAACAGCCTGCAGGTGGCATCATCTGACCCCGTGGCAAATGCATTTCCATTAGGGAAGAACTAAAATAAGACATTAAAGTAAGTTAAAACGTTTAACACAACAGTCATGTCTTGTTGGAGCCCAAACATACACAGATGGCGTTGATGTCGGACTCGTGGCCGGTGAAGGTCTGTCTGCACATGCCCTCTCGCACGTCCCACAGTTTGGCTGAAGCATCACAAGCACCAGAGACGAATAACCGAGAGTCGGGGGCCAGAGACAGGCTCATGACATCACCTGTGTGCCCTGCGAACGTGGTTGTCTGCTGCCCGGTCTCAATGTCCCAAAGTGCACTAAACACAGCCATATGATATTTAGAATTAGAATATTCCTCTCTGTCACTCTTAAATTATGCAAAATGTTTTAAGCTCACCAAGTGGTATCACCAGAGCTCGTAACAATCTGGTTGTCATCAAGAAAACGACAACAAGACAGGTAGCCTAGAAGTAAACAAAAACATTTTAAAACACAAACCACTTATTGCCTGCCACAACCGCAATGTTAAACAGGAACAAGTTTGGAATACTTCATTGGTAAAATACAAACCTGTATGTCCGGCGAGCTCACGGCTCACGCGTACATTCCCCTCGCGGGTTTTCAGGTTGTAAATGGAGCAGATATTGTCTAAACCACCGCAGGCCACATAATTTCCTGAAGGTGCATATGCACAAGTCATGACCCAGGAGGATCGAAGTGGAATGGCATGAACCTAGGAAAGAGATAAAAAAGTAAGGACACAATCAGATTTACAGAGACTTTCTGCATGAATTCATCAGTTGTATCTGCTCTTTTGCATTCTGTTGGTCATGTTTGGTGTGCATTGTGCAACCAAGCAACTGTAACCAGGTAACTTCCCTTGTGGATCAATATTGTTTGTACATGTCAAAATACTCGCTGCAATAGAGGTGCCCTTTATCCTTTCTATTTAGGCTGGTCCAAAATGACTTTATCACCGCCAATACAAACGGCATTTAATTTATATTGGCATGGTTAAATGAACTTACTGACCTTAAGGACAAATAGAAAACAATTTGATATAAATAAATACACACGGGGGAAGACAATTTGGTTTGGGGATTTGAGATGAATTTCCGCCATCAGAAATGATAGCCGCCGCTAGAAACAAGACTAGGGCACTTCATGTACTAAGGAATAACCACGCCTGCGTTCTCTCCATCTTGAAGGAAACACGATATAGTATTTATTGATCAGTGAGCTGCTGCTAAGTACCACTCACAGAGAATATAATGTGGTGGCTTAATCTGATGAGGAAAGGAGCAGCCTCTGTTTCTATTTGTGTCTGCACATGCTGCGAGGTATCTGCTATACATTTGTGACCTTAAAACCTAAGCCCTAAAGCTTGTGTCCTCCAGCAGAGAGAGAGAGACAGACCAGGTTATGAACCGGGGATCAGACAGAAAATATCCAAGACAGACAATTTTGCAGGTCATTTTGATGATGCCTACAACACATCGTGATGCTACATATACCTCGGGAAAATACTAAAGAGTGGGTACCCAATTTGTTTTATAATAATAATCCAAAATCTTGTAAAAGTCAAATGTGACAAGAATGTAGTCTTAATATCATTAGGAACCATGTTATATATAGTGTTCTGTATTACTTGTGAGTCACTATTTGACTCACAGGGCTGAGAGCTGATTCTTTTTTTTTATCTGACTTAAAAGATGTGATAGGCCAACACATGCAAAGCTAGTAATGGAAAGTGATTTGAGAGTGAGGAACTACTTGGGTTGATTATAATTTGTTACCCCAACTTTAAAAGTAAATACAAAATACCACCTCAACCCCCCGTTTTGAGTTTCTGGCATTTAAATGTTGCAGTACAGCTCTTTTGCATAACTCACAAACAAAATGCGTTTATATAACCTTTCACACAACTTTTGCCCAGTAGCGCCGTCTACATTTAGGCTTTTATTCTGAGTTTCAAATACATGTTTTGTGCGTAGAGGCAAACAAAACACTTTTATTCTGCCTAAATTACTCATCAGGCATGCAGACAGCACACCACATCCACCCATCCTGCTCCACGGCGAACCATTTAGCCCTACAGCACAGCCCACAAATGCCTCTCTCAGCTGACGTGCAACCATTTGTTTCACTGCTACTTAAATGGACCAGAGGAGGCTGCTTAGTCTCTGCAAGAGCTGCCATAAACACGAACACAGACCTCACTTACGGGTCTATCATAAATTAAACAGATAAGCTAGACTGTAGTTTGGACAAATGATTTGGCAGCAGAAAATGTTTTAAAATCCTAAGAAATGTCATCAAAACCATTAGTTTGGCTAGAATGTCTAATACAGTGCAACAAGAATTATTTTTAAAAATCGATATAAGCAAAACTAAAGTGGAAGCCAATGTTATGGCAGTACATTTCAATTGGGGGATGGTGGAACCCATTTTTTTCATATGACCTATTTCTAACAAAACAAGCTATTTTTCTATTTAACTATGACCCTAATGGAATGTGTGCTTCAATCTCACCCTTACATGTAACTAGAACTGCATCTTGACTTTAAATAAGAGTAATCTCCATTAACCTCTTTGCTGTATGCTTTTGGGAACTGAACTACCAACTGAGAATTACTCAGGAAACCCATGCAAAGAGTTTCAAAGTACTATAGATGGTATGATATTAACTCTAGCTACAATCCCATGAATAAAATTAGTTCTTGTTTTACACCCAACACCGACCTTATTTGTGGTATAGCTGTCCCAGATAATCAGTTTGCCATCTTGAGAGGCACTGACCAACAGCCTGGAAAAGAAAATGTACAATTAATGATGAAAACAGAAGACAATAAAAATGCAAAAATGTGAATTCATGTTGAAGCATGTGTTGCCAAAATTGGTCGACATATTTCTCTTACCTAGAATCTGTTCCCCAGTGCATGGCATAGATTTTAGCCAAATGACCCCGCAGCGTTCGTCTTGTACGCATTTGGATTCGGCCAACAGGGTCAATATTAGCTGTGATCTACAAAGCATAAAACCCTCTGTTTAATTGCATGCTTTTTTCTGAGAAAAAGCATCAAATACATGGAGGAAACCTACCTGTGATAGCGTAGCGTCTGCACAAGCTTTACGGGCATCCTAGGATCAAGATTGTAGAAAATGTGTTTAAGTCTGTAAATAAACTTTTCGAAGAAGTGATTCCACAGAAGAAGCTTGTACTCACTCGTATCTGGTTTTTGAGCTGCTCTGCCTCCTGGCGTAACTGGTCCAGTTCACTCATCTTTTATTCTGATTTCGCAATTACTTACTCCAGCGACTGGGGCACTTGTTGATCTAAAATAAAGTATGAAAAAATACTTTACCAATTGCAGAAAAATGCCTTTTGTTAAAAGGTCTAAACTACACCAAAATAAAAACAACATTCGCCGCCACCAAGATCTTTTTACTTCAATCAACCAATCGTCTTTGAGAAATTGATGACAGACAATTGAGATGCTAGACACAGGCTCAACCAGAGCTGTCATTATCCTGTTGACCTCAATCCCTATGATATGCAGCATTTTAGCCAGCTAATCAATAGACAACTTAAGATGCATGTACAAGTGTACAGCTCAGTTGTTCAGAAACTCAGCTTTCATTATGAATTAATTATATACTATACTATACTATACATCATCATTTTGAGATGTACAGACATTAAATAGAAACATAGAACTTTAACAACAATGGAAACAAAAAAATGCCAATACTATAAATGAAAATATGTTAAGGTGCAACAATGAGCATAACAATCGCCATAATTTCAAGTCATAAAATAGAACAAAATTAAAACTTGAATTCTCAGTCAAAGACAACATTTAAGCAAATATTATCACACTACCAAATGTAAGAGAAAATCAAATTTGCATTAATCCTAGCCTATGATGCTCCATCTTACCTGCTGTGTTCCTGCCACAGACCAAAGGAGCCACAACTACAAGACAAGACAACCCTTCTTTACCTATCTGGGTTACCCTCCTCTGATTGGTCGACCTTTAGAACACATGTACCTGTTATCCTCTTATATCGAATAATCAGATAATATACATGTCATGGAATCTGATTATCAAGCAGAATGATCAAGTGAAACAAATGCCATTCTCACCTTGAAATGTTTCTATAGCGTGATAAGTATTTTGTAGCAAAGAAAAGTATTATAATAAATTCAGTGCTTACTATGTGTAAGAATGTTGTTGATTCTGAAACATGGGGTAACTTCCAGAATAGTGAATTAAATCATTTTAAACAGTTTTGGATTTCACGCATCCACAGATTAGATATAGCAACAGTATTTTCCGGCTAAAAAGTACAATTATATTTATGTTAAACTAGGGATATTCCAATCCCACTTTAAAACCTTCACAATAATAATTATTATTGACCTCCACGGACGCTTACAGTTAGGGAGTTCCTCTGCCTCATCACTTCTCCTTTCCAAGCGCCTGATCAGGGTCAGCTGACTGCATGATAAACAATGAGCTGTGGCAAACAGCCGGGAGAAGCGGCTCACTCGCTGTTCCCAGGTCCCTAAGGGGAGTTTGTGCCTTCTTCTCCTACTCTGTGGTGCCAAAGGTGCCATCGACAATTCTGCTTTAACATTTTGAATATTAATCTCCAGTTACATCTGTCCATAAACTGTCTCAGCTGATTGCACTGGTGAAAGATAATAATGCAGTCTTTCACAGGTCTAAAGCTGGATCATAGAGAGGACCATAACCAGCTTCATAATCCTAAAAGCTGCAATCCTCCGTCAATGACTCTCTAATCCTATCCTTGTCCACCAACATAAACAGCTGGCTCACCCATTCCACGCATTAGACATATTTTCTCAATCATAAAAGGATAAAATTAATCTTAATACATTTACATAAATATGCTTAGAGTAAGTGCCTAGATTTGCCCACTGAGTCTCCTGTTACCAGAAGCATATGCTGCTCACCCTTGTTATGGTAGTCACAGGTGATGATGCATGCACAAGCCTAACAAGTATTGTCAGAGGCTTTCTCTCTGCACAGGTTTTCCCATTAGAGCAGCCAAGTTGACTCAAGTCACTGTTTGCATGTTAGTGATTTGCCTACAATCAGTACGTTTGCATTAGATTTGAATAGCTGCAACAGACCGGTTGAGAAACACTAGGTGGTTGTGGCATGTTGGCCATTTCAAATTCAGGCCTAAAAAGCATTGTTGAATGAAGGTACTACTTTACATGAAACTTTCCATCCATCCATCCATCCATTTTCTACCCTTTAATCCATTTCTGGGTCAGGGGGGTGGCAGTCAGAGATGCCACCCAAGTCTCATAGCACCAGCCCCTCACTGACCCTCTGCAGGTGGTAGGTCCACAGGAGGACGGCTGCTCTCTGAGTGTGAGCATAGCCTTGATCTTTCAGTGGGGGCTTTGGGCAAAGTGGGGTTAAGTGTCTTGCCCAAGGACACAACGACAGCAGTCATCAGTGGGAGTCGGTGGAGAAGGTGCAGAGGTGGGAATTGAACCCACGACCTTCTGGCCTTAAGGCCAATGCTCTACCAACTGAGCTACTGTCGCCCCTGAACATGAAACTTTCTACATATAAAATAAACATTGTGAAACATTCCAACACATCATAATAATAGGTTCAATATAAATATCTATACAAGTCTTCCTATAGGATTAACAAAACAAAAACAAAAAAATCACAAGATCTAAAAATGCCGGAAAATTCTATGTATCCACTTGTATTGGTTATGCCCAAAATAGCCCATACACAATACCTACACGAGAAATATAATTACTTTACCCCAATTCAAACAACACATATATAGCATTCTTGAGATTGGACAACCATTAGGATGCGTTAAGGCTGGATGGCCCGCTTCTCTGGGTGTTATGTTATTGTGACTCGTACTGATGTAAATGGGAAAAGATGCAGCTAACGCCATCTTGCAGACTGTCGCGCGCTAGTTAGCTTTAGCTGCCTCGAGAGCGGAGGCCTGCATTCTGGGCACCAAGACTCCATTAAAAGACATTTGTTTACATTACCACACCAACTCGGCGTTTTTTTGGTTATCATTTCAAATATAATATAGTTGAAATGTGCTTTTTGTCCATTTTTGAAAAGTGATAAGCACCAAATAATGTACGATGGCGTTAAACAACAGACTCAGCTGCTCTTCCGCAATTATACAGGAGCTATGTAGCTAGCAATAAACCAGACAAACTACCAACTCACGAACGGCTCGGCAACAGAAATCCACTTAGTTACACGCAGACAATCCCATTATGCAGTAGCAAGTTGATTTGATTAACACGAAGCTGCCATAGAGTATTTACTCGTCTCCCGGTGAGTGCAAGGGATCTGAGCCCGTAAAACTGCAAGGTCGGGCGGCGATGGCCTATGTGGACTACCCCCGAACGCTACACACAATATTAACAGTATCGGGAGAATAGATTACCATTAAAATGATACCGCTGCAGACACAGGTTCAACTAAACTCAATGTTGCACCAAAATTGTTTAAAAATAAAAGTTTATAATTTCAAATATGTGATAAAAGCGATTTTTCCATTACATCACGCCCAAGATTCAATGCAAAAATAAGTATCCACGTTTTATTCAGGATCGCTCGTGCTATTTTTGGATCCAATACAGTTTCTCAGATTTCTGGTCAATTTGGAGCTCGTACCAGCCCAACCCTGTGTGTCATCATCAACTATCAGCAAAAATATTAAACATTTAACAGCCCAGTGCAACACATTTCACTAACGAATTAACAACATGTATTTTTGCATAGTCAGATTTGAGAATAAGTAGATTATTAAAACACAATTTGGCGTGTTTGACCCGTCAGACAGAGCTTTGGGGCCGATAAGCAGCTGCACCTCCGCGGGGCCATCACTGTCACAGTATTGGCCCCTGAATGTTGAAGCCAATCGGATTTTTAAGTCAGTGGTTAAATGCATGACCAATTCGAGTGTAATGCAACACACAATGCATTATATGTGGCAATGTGAATATCTGTGATCCACATTAAGGCGAGTCTAGTTGGATAAAAAAATCTAAGTTAGCCCAACGCAGCTAAATTGCTAAAGATGCCAGCATTCACTACCCCACCCCCGGGCTCTTGAATCCCCCCCACATTTTTCCCCGAGCTCATCTAAATCAATCGCATTGCAAAAACACACCACATAGATATAATTTTGAATGCTAAGAATCTTACCTGATTTATTCTGCGTTTGTTTTTTGCGTTTTGGCATTGACTGGAAAACAACTGCGGCGTAATTCTCCGATCCACGCATCAACGAGCAGCAGCACAAACGCTAGCTTTGTAAACTAGCCCTTAGCCACCGCTGCTAATGCCACTGATCAACCCGAGCAGCCCTTCCCCTCACACGGCTACGAGACAGACTGGAGATAGGCAAGCCTTGGTCCACACGGTGCAGAGGGGCGGGGGGAAATCACACCCACCACAAGCAACCAGGATTTTGCTACGAAGAAGAGTGAACTGATGCCAAATCTGCAAGTTTACAACGCAATCATTCGCTTTCAACAACTACTACCACCACAACAGTCGTTCTGGTCAGCTTATGTCACACTTCGTAGCGATTTCGTCCGGGCAAAAGCACTGGATGGGCGCGGTAACCCTGCACAAAACCCCCCCACTGCAGCCAAGGATTAGTTTTTACTAGTTGAGTTTATTCGCCTTCAGGAGATAATGAACAGGCTGGCATAGATAGTTTATTTTTCTCAAGTGAAATATTCCTTAATTTATTAGCATTTGATGAAGCCAAACACGTGGTTGAAGCTTAGGATATGTATACACAGAAAACACAATTGATGGAAGTGTCAGAATATTGACAATTAATTGAAACAAATAGTGGGACCCCCTCATAAACGCTTTATTAAGCCACACATTCATTTTTTGTGAACGACCAACACAAAGTGGCAGATAATTGTGAAGTTAAGTTCCTTCTAGATGGAAAGTGTTCATGCTTGCAAAAGTATCCAGTGCCCTTTTTCATTTCAGCAGAGTGTAATCTAATCTCAGTATAATTACAGCTGTTCTGTAATGCCTCAGAGGCTGAGAGGCTTGATAAGAGAATATCTTTCACCAAACAGCATCATAAAGTCCAAGAAACCCTCATGACAGATCATGGACGTAGTGGTGAAGTTTAAAGCATGAGTTAGGCTGAACAAATATTTACCAATTTAATTCAATTAAATTCATTCTTGTACAGCCCTAAATCACAACAGTAATTATCTCAGAGGACTTAACAGAACCGTTGAAATCGCCAACACAGATCAGAGAATCAAACCGTTTCAAACACACAAAATATAGAACACAAAGGTACTGGTCCATTGGTAGCAGACCAATGTCCATGAATTTTGTAGAATGTTATGGGCCGTTCAGACTGGATCATGCGTTGCAGTGACAGAGTGTCCTGGATCATCACCACCATCCTTCTTAGACCACTAACAGTCTAACAGACCCTCCTGCATCGGCAAGAAAAACCTCTATCACCCAGTAGGAGAAACCTTGGGGAGAACCACATTGAGAGAGGGACAACACAAATCTCAAGTGGCAAGTCCAGTGTTGAAATAAAGCCACAAAAAGTCAAACAGAGAAGACATCCAACATGGTGGAAGAAGATGCTATGGTAAGATGAGACCAATATGGAACTTTTTGGCCTAAAGGCGAAACGCTGTGTGGTGGGAAACAAACAACTCACACCATCCCTACTGTCAAACCCAGTGGTGGCAGCATCATGCTATGGGCCCGCCTTTCTGCAGCGGGACAGGGCAGTTGATGGGAAGAGGGATGGGCCTAAATGCAGGACATTCTAGGAAGAAAAGCAGTTAGCTGTAAAAGACTTGATGATGGAGTGGTTTACATACTTCTGTCCCAGGGCAACTGTTGTATATTAGAGCTGACCAGAATGTGTATTATTCATTGTATTACCAATGAATAAAACACAAAATTGTTACGTGTCTTAGTAATTTGGTCTGTAAGATGTACTTTCTATTTCTACAGTGATCAATTGTGCTAAATTATAGTGTTAAACGACTTAATAACAGTGACACAGTTGCAATATTGAGTATACTTATATTGAAGAATACACAAATATTCAGCAATAACTTATTTGACTCTCTACAGTTTTGTTACAGATGAAATAGCTAAATCTTGAAAAAAAGGTTACAGACAATAACTACTCATCCCCAAAATATTCCAGGCAAATAATTGTAATAATGATAACATATTATAGGACAATAGAAAGTATTAGTAGATATAGCACTAAGGGGCAGGTTCAGAGCATTATAATGATTGAAAGCTTATCAAATAGTCTTTTACGTCAAGACCAAGTCCACACTATTATTGTCACAACAGTATACAAAATATAAGTATTTTAGACGTCACATAAGTCACAGTAAAGATACAGTACATCACTTCATTGTGTCAAATAGCATAGAAATATGTCATTTACTTTATTTACACACAAGTGGATGTCGAATACAACTCAAAACAGAGACAATGCCTGAAAGACTCAGTCAATATTGTACTTCTTAGAAAGCTAGTGTTTCTAGAGCGCATAACTTGACCAATTACATATCAGATTTGAGACTATATACCTAAAACATTATTTTTGACTTTGATCAGACAATATAGATTACATAAAGGACTGAAGGTCTATTCTATATTATGAAAGAACTAGTGCAGTCTTTATGACATCAAACATTAACATAGTGACCACCACCTATGGTATATAATTCTGCTAATTCCCTTAACACTGGCAAAAATAACCTCAACAGTAAGGGTCTCCATATTTGGCTGTCTCTCTTCATAATGGCCACCCGGGTGCACATGAACCTGCTGAGTAATTAACTGTTCATATCAACTTAAGGTTACAAAAATGCCCCTAGGTTTATTACATCTTGTAATGTAACACTAATTTAGCCATATGTTGATTGCAAAAAGACCATCTTTTTCTTTCATGATACATATTGTGTGTATTTCTCAGGAATAATCCTTGTACAGGACCCCTCCCAAAAAGCCTTATAAGGTCGAGATTCTCGTCAGACCAACCTCAGCTCTGGGAAAACGATGCTCTGAACAACTGCTCAGCTGAAGACATCCTCTGTGCTTCTCTGGCTCTCGTCGTGTCCACACGTCAACATGGTGAGTGGTTTTGCTTTGAAATACAATTTTCTTAATACAATATATATATTTGGTCAAAATGAAGGTTTTGATCATATTGACACCTTGTGCTTAATTTCTGCTGCAGAGTTTGTCTTTGGATAATCTAAGAAATATTAAAACATGTGAAATATGTATATTGATTTTGAATACATCAGCATACACATTTCAATTAAGGCTATTCGTGATTTTAATATGTAATTTTAAATAAATAAGAATCTTGAATTTAATACAGTTCCTTGAATGTGGGGACAGATTCTAAAAATAGGTACTCATTCAAGAATATGTTTCTATTTTGGAAAATAATGAACACAATTTAAGTGACTCAAAAAGTCTAATATGGGGCGACAGTAGCTCATGTAGAGCATTGGCCTTTGGGCCTGAAGGTCGTGGGTTCGAGCCCACCATGAGACCTACTTCACGACTCCCACTGATGACTGCTGTCATTGAGTCCTTGGGCAAGATACTGAACCTCACTTTGCCTGAAGCCCCCGCTGAAAGATCAAGGCTCCTGTGAACTCACCACCTGCAGGAGGATCAGTGCGGGGCTGGTGCTGTGTGTACTGGGTGCAGCACTAACTGCCACCCCCCAAACCCAGAAATAGATTAAGGGGAAGATAATGGATGGATGGATGGAAAAAGTCTAATAATTGTTTTCATGTAACTTTGGAATCAATCGCACCTCCTCTTCAGAACACAAATGTTGTATCTTCTGTGTGATCTGGCACATTGGTTATGCAGCCCTCCCAGCTGACGCAGCAGCAGATCACAGAGTATAAGGGAGTCTTTGAGATGTTTGATGAAGAGGGGAATGGAGACGTGAAGACGCAGGAGCTGGAGAGACTCATGAGTCTAATGGGAATCAACCCGACCAAACGAGAGCTCATTCAGATGGCCAAAGAAGTGGACAAGGAGGGTAAGACTCACAACAGCCACAATGTGACTAAGGATTAAGACCATTATAGTGTACAATGTTTACTTTACACCAGGAATTCCATGTATCCATTAGATATCGTTTGACAGATGAAAATAAGACGTTTTTTACATAGAGACCTAGAAGTCATTTATAGTTAAAAATGTCTTTTGTGTAAATTCTGAAGAGAATTCGCTCTTGTCGTTCATGAACTTTATCATCATTATGTTTTTTTTTAACTTTTCTTCACAAACTGTTCCTCGATTGGTGTAAAACCATGATTTATATTTACAATGGACTAAAATGTAGAAAATATTAAATATGAAAACATGTTGTACAGACTTTGAGAAGGACACGTCACACATACTTAGAAAGAGTAAATTTGGTTGATAAGAGGCGATATTATAGATCCATCGGTTCAAGGCCAGTTTTCCTTCACTTTTTCTAAGTGAGCATTGTGATTTTGTTTTGATGACTCCTTTCTTGTTTTGTTAGGCCTTGAGCTACCTTGCGTATGAACTGTGCTATATAAATGGGCTTTCCTTGGTTGTAGAGATGGATGGATATAGATGGATATGAACAAAAAAATAAGGTTTGATATACCATATCCAGGCAATCACATGGCAATCATCATTCAAGTTTTTGCGTTAAAAACATCCATAATCCATAATAAAACAGCTGCAGTACATTCAAAATGCAACAGCTTGAGTCCTGACTAGAACCAGGAAGTACGACTATATAAGTCCAGTTCTCAGGTCTCTGCACTGGCTTCCTGTGGCTCAGAGAATAGACTTTAAAACAGCTCTGCTTGTGTACAAATCTCTCCATGGCCTCGCACCAAAATATATTAGTGACATGTTAGTCCCATATGAACCAGCCCGGACTCTGAGGAGCACAGGGACTGGACTCCTGTTAGTGCCCAGAGTCAGAACTAAACATGGGGAGGCTGCATTTCAGATTCATGCTGCTAAAATCTGGAACAATCTTCCTGAAGATGTGAGACAGGCCTCCTCTCTGACAATGTTTAAAACCAGGTTAAAAACAGTTCTGTTTAGCTGTGCATACAACTGAGGAATTTCATATTTTTTATTGATATCTTTCTTTTTAATGTACTGTGATTATTTATCATTTTAATGCTATCTTATTTTGTTCAGCACTTTGAGTTGCCTTGTGTATGAATTGTGCTATACAAATAAACCTGCCTTTCCTTGCCTTGCCATAATGAATTGAATGCACTGATATAGTAGAGTCTTGCAGGGATCCCACAGTAGGATCACGCTCACAGTATATGTCGGTTTGGTGCAGGGTTTGGTTTCTCTGGTGGATGTTTTGTAATTTCTATTCATTGTTTGCGCATCTCCAGGGATACAATTATCTACGCTCACACAACTCCGTGCTATAAATATAAATCTAAGTTTAGGACATATGCTGGATCTGAAGTGTTCAAAATGCTAGGATACAGTGAATATGAGTGTGTTTGTTAGGGGTTAATTATGTGTTGTTTTTGAATTGTTTAATATTGAAGTCATATTTAGCTTCTATTATGCTTTCGTTCTCACATATGTCTCACTGAAAATGTGAAATGATTTTTTTTTTAACGTATTGTGTAATGTAGAGCGGCTATTTTAGGAGGCCGCCACAAGATGTCAGTATTTCATTGTGCTGTTACAAAACACGCCTTGCTCATTAATCATTCACTCACATTTTAGATTTTAGTTTAAAATATCACGTTTGTTTTGTGACAATAATTATAGTCTATCGTGATGTATATTTTATCAGGCATACACGTGCTGGCAATACTAATCGTCATTGTCTTTATTCAGACTGTAAAATGAATGATATTGGTCGATTTGAGAAGTTTGTGTGATTTTCTAATTTTGTCTCATCTTTGCGTTTTTTGAATAGACAGATTTACACCAATTAATCCACAGTTTGTGAAGAATTGTGGAAATACATTTAACACAATTAATAACAGTAGAAGAATATATTGGTTATTGAATTTTGTGTTCACCCTAAGCTTTTGTTTAATTTTCAACAAGCATGTGCTACTTAATAGATTTATACAGTTTTCTCACTATTAAAGTAATAAAATCAACAATTCTGGTGTGTTTTAGAGCAGTTTTGGCCTTGTATACAATATGATGCTCGCTAACAATCCTCTAGTGATGTCATCAGCCAGGGAAGTAAAATTATTCATGTGAAAATCTAGCCCAGCAGGGATAAAAGTGCAAACAATAACCAATTACTGTAACTGCGTCTTACTACACTGTCTAAATGTGTCACAGGCACATGAGAGCATTCACTTTTCTGTCTTCACTGTATTTCAAGGTAAAGGAGCGTTTAACTGCGACAGCTTCTTGGCCCTGATGGCGTTGCACCATGAACGCACAAAGAACCAGGACGCTGAACTCAGAGCGGCCTTCAAAGTGTTCGACAAAGAGGCCAAAGGATACATCGACTGGAACACACTCAAGTGAGAAATACATCAACAAATGGATTTACTGTATGTGCTCATGCATTTCCTGTGTTCGAACAGTTTGATTCTCTGATCTGTTGTTGGAAAATACATTGAATTGAAATTGAATATTCCTTACGGGCAAGATTTATAGAAACATGTACAAATATAAATGCTGATTATAGTACATGATAACTTTGTATGCATCTAATAATAACTATTTCCATGATCTTAAATAAAGAGATATCTATTCAAATCTCTTCTAAAAATCAAAGTCGTAAGTGGCTTTGGACGTCCCTTGTAGCCACGCAGCCTTGTACTTTTGCCCTTATGATTATATTGTGTTACCTGGATTGCTGCTTAAGCCGGTCTGCACCATGGTGGTACAGGCAGTTCTTTACGGGCGAGTTTTCAATTATATTTAGATAAATATATGTTTTTATGTTTCCATTAACCATTATAACAAAGTAGACTATGAATCATAATGAAAGGGACTTGATTACATACTGTCCATGATTATCCCATACACCAACACTAAAACTACTTATCAAAATTGGATTGGAATGTCATTGTAATGTGATTAAATTGCAGATATGTCCTGACAAACGCCGGAGAGCCGCTAAATGAGATAGAAGCAGAGGCCATGATGAAAGAAGCCGACAAAGATGGAGATGGGACCATTGATTATGAAGGTGGGTTCTTTAATGATGCATGTGTCATTCTACTGCTTAGATAATTAAATACTGTTTACAAACCCATATAATTATCTATATATTATGTGATTGTTTATACCAGAAATAATACCAGAAATATACAGATAAAATAAAATAAATGAATAATGAATAAACAGATACCATATGTAAATTTATGTTTACTGTATAAATCTGTTTTTTTTGTTTTTGCTTAATCCCTAATTTTGATGGGGTATTCATATTGTTTAAATGTTTATAAAGTGGTTTCCAACAATAGTATATTGTTAATTATTAGTATTCTTTATATTGCATGACAGTGTTTCCCAAAATCCGCCAAAACCGTTATTCAAGGTGTTAAATTTACTATTAAAGATCATATTTTTATATTCAATTACTGTTAAGTTTAGTTTCATTATTGAAATTCCAGGACAAATCCTGGCAAGTCTTGCCCTCAGCCCCTCAACACTGGAAAAAAACTGTAACAAAAATGCACCTCACAATTTTAAATCAATTAAAATGTCAATTTGGATTCTATTGTGTATAGGTATAGTATTAGTTTTTCTACACAAATTCCTTTTTCTTTAGGATTAAATAGAGATGAAGCCTATTCCCTAAAAATGTAATAATTTATGATATATACATTTTAAATTTATTATAACAACCTGGAATGGAAAAGTCTGCTTACAATCGCTAGGCTGTGGTTTAGTATCATGACTGTTACATAATAGATCAGATGCCCTACTGTGTGATCCTATCATCTTACGCTTTAAATCCCACAGAATTTGTCGCCATGATGACTGGAGACCTGTTCAAAATGAGCTGAAGCCCCTCTGAAGCTGCTCTGCCATCGTTCATGTTTCCAAAACTCAACAAATATATAGGCTAAATTGCAATAAATCTACATTGATAAAAAGCCCTTGAATAACCTTTTTGAAAATTGCTGTGTTTTGAGGTCAGGGGTAGAGGATAAAACCATGATAGGGTTAATTTCTGTAGACCTGCTACCCGGATGCAGTCATTCAGCAGCATCTGGTGTGCAGAACCATTAAATCCCATCCTCATCCCTGCAAAGCCAGACTGACAACCTCCGGCAGCAAATCACGTCTCGCCCTTAGAATTGTTCTAGCCAGTGAGATGTCAGCGGGGGTGGGCTTATGGTCGGCAGTGATCCTGTGTTTGCAGCATCCCTTTGAGCAGCCACTGTTGTGTGAAATACTAGAACAAGGGAGAGATAGATATAAGGTTACCTATCCGAAACTCGACTGGGATCCTGTGGCCAAGGTCTGTCTTCAATTACTGTGTTGCCTGGCGTCTATCATGGAAGAAATGGCTGCATCCTCCATGTAAACAGCCAGTACCTGCATGGCTAAGAGGAGAAGCTGAGGAGGAGGGGCACATGGTCCTTCTAAAGACATTTTCTTTATAGCTCTGCATATAATGTCTTAAAAGGTATGTATAATGCATTTATTTCATTCACAATTCATACAGTGTACACGTTCCCTGTTGGCATGTCAATAGGATTAGCAGTAGAGTTGACTTTAGACTATAAATAACATCTTGAAGCAAAAGCCCCTTGTGTATTTGAGGCTTGCTTGCTTGAATGGGTCCTTTTGGTTGTTTGCGTTTTCCTACACATGGTCCTAATTAAGGGCACAAAGTTGAAAGAGGGTTGGATCATATGTCTACCGCTTTCCTGTGTCACTATACCTTGCCCCAAAACGAATGGAGGGGTCGCTACTGCTATTCCACTATTTCTGGAGAGGTTGTAAAAATGGGAGTGGGTGTGTGACATATTTCCCAAGAACATTGTGCAGTTATAGCGGTTAATTGTCCTTGATTTCAGGCGGATACCCCTTTTCTGACTGACATCTTGTATCATAATAACCACATCCTTCCACAACCGGAGAACAGACACGGGAAATGCAGTGTGCCAACCCTTATAGTAAATCTAATCTGCGTACAGTTTGATGTATTGTGTAATAGTATAGTTAGGGGTTCTTTGTTGAGAGTTACTCTTTGTAGTTTTGCTTTACAATAAGAAATGCTTTTTTGTGATGATTTAGGTGGAACAACTGATAGTGTTATGATCGTTAAAGAAAGAATGTTTACAGACCCATAACAACAAAACTGTATGTATTGTATTATATTGTACCCACAATTTTATTGCTGCTTCAAAGTTATGATGATGTTTCCTTGAATGATGGGTCCAATACAGAGGACAAATTTGCCTCCACAGAAAATAAAGTTTACTAATATTTATACAGACGAGCTTATCCCAAAACTTGGAGTAGATCAGAATCAAACACTAACACATGCACTTTTACCACAATATAATCAAGACTAAATTGGACTTCAACTTGACTAAAAGTAAACAAATACAAGAACAGACTCACATAGTCTTAAGTCTGGACTCGAACTGACCCATATAACAAGGACTAAATAAGGTCACTGGGCTCACTTTGACCAAACTAGGGCCTCCGTAGTCTTAACCAGTTATCAAATAATCAATATATTTTCTATCAGTTATGACTAATATAGTAATTCATTTATGTGTTGTATTTTAGGCTCATATGGAAGAGACCCTTTAGGCTCCAGGACACCACGGGAACCATGTCGACATCACCAGTCGACCATCGCACACATTGAACTTCCCCAACATCCTTTCACCTTTTCAGTGCTCGGCTTGGAACACTGGACCATGTCTGCCACTGCCGCAGCCCACACCACCCCCAGCCTCCTCACCACCTCTCCCCCCATGTCCAGTGCTGTCCCCGTCCCGGCCCTGTCCACCAGAGACAGCATACGGACCACGCTCATGACTGTTACTATAGCGACCAACGAGACCGCCTTCAACGCCACGGCATCTCCAAACTCGGCAGCAGCAGAGGCCTCGGGAATGGGGATGGTCCTAGTGCCGTTTGGAATCATAACTATCATCGGATTAGCTGTGGCAATAGTAAGTAGGAAACATGGAGTTCATGCAATGTAGTAACATGTCTGGATTATGTCTGGACCAAATACGGTCTATAGTCTGGACCAAATTGTATTAATCTTGACTATAAGTGTGAAGAAGAAAAAAACAGGCTTTTGTAACTATCTTACCAAATGATTTGATTTATGATACATTATTACCCATTAACTTCACTTCACTACTTATTCTGTCTTTATTTCTCTTTTCCAGATGTTGTATATTCGAAAAAGAAAGCGGTAAGTTGTTAGTTTTTCAGCGTGTGTTGGCGTGATGTCTAAGCTGTGTCCGTGCAGGTTGGAGAAGCTGCGGCACCAGCTGATGCCTATGTACAACTTTGACCCCGCGGAAGAACAGGACGACCTGCTGGAGCAGGAGCTGCTCGACCACGGCCGGGACGGAACCATCACAGGAGCCAACACCAAGGTCCGAGACAAATCCACTTCACTGATGCACCAGAGACTGTGTCAAACAGCCACATCACATGAAGAAGACTTTATTGATCTCCCAATGGAGAAATTTGGTTTGATGAATAGTCATATACACATATACACATATCCCATCAAGGCATGCAGCGTGCTGTTACATCCACGCTCCTTATAGGCAAAGTGGGGTAAAGTGTCTTGCCCAAAGACACAACGACAGCAGACATCAGTGGGAGTTGGTGGAGAAAGTCTCATGGTGGGCTCGAACCCACGACCTTGTGAGCCACTGTTGCCCTATTACTGATGCATTAGAGGGCGTCTGTCGTGGTTGCTTACAACCATTAATCATTCTTTTTACTTTACACCTATGACTGATAGCATGAAATATAAATAGATAAATCGTTAGTTTACTGGAACTGAATGTTTTTGTTTCATATTATTTGTGTGTGTGTGTGTTGGCATGTTGTTTAATTTTTGTATTCATTTTTAGAAAAAGAATTTAATTTTACTTTTAATGTTTTTATTTCTTTTAAAGTCGTGACAGTGATGTTGAGCCTGGTAAAGTATCGCTTGTTCTTGTGTGAACCGTGCATCTGTTCCTACGCTCTCCTTCCTGTGTCGCATTTCCATTAATTAACATTGTTCATATATAATAACTGTTTTATTATCTTTTATTATTGTCATACGATAATCTGTAATTCTAACACTATACCCTGTGTTCCTTCATATATCAGTGTTGGGAAGTGACAAAATACACAACTTAGGCTAATGGCATTTGTGTGGTTTTCACAATACAGTTTTCTGATTGTACACAAGGTAAAATACTACAACACCTTAAAGACATTCTTTACATAAATGAAAAAACTTCCCATCACTCTTTTTCCCATCACAGCTGTATTCAAGAATCATTGGTCATTGGTTACTATCCCTTTCAAAATACAGTAGTTTCATATCTATCTAACAATTCCCTTTTTTCTTCTAAAAATTAGACAGTGCAAGCAACTACGCAACTACACATTTCATTATAGTCTGTAGCAGCGACAACATTAAAGTGACAACACTACTCAAGACATGTAACAAGTATGTAGTTTGTCATATTATTAAATGACAGAAGCAGGCCTTGTGTAAACCTTTTCATTCAGATCCTTTAAGACCCTGATATTTAATCACTGTGGCGGGTCATTTTCACGCTAGGGTCGCAAAAGGGTAAAGCTGGGGAACCTACATGTATTTTTTGATACTTAATGATTTTTTTTTTTTTTGTAGTTCAAATTCTGGTACAGTAGCTTTAAAATACATTAAAAAATAACCATTTTAAGGCATATATTCTATTGGTCAAACCAGAGTTTCACTGACCTATCCCTTTATTTAATCTTCAGACATGTTTTCCTTCATTAAAATCACATGTACAAAAAATAAAATCCCTTTTATAAGTCGTACCTTTTTGTCTCCTCCTGCAGACGCTGACGACCTCCCAGAGCACCACGCAGCGTCCCAGTCGACTGGTCTTTACAGATGTAGCCAAAGCTCTCAACGCTTAACCGCACACTTCCATTTACTGCAGTCCACACGGTACAGTCCCACAGGAGCAGAGACTGGACTCTCACTGACCAGAGAGCTGTGGGCGAACGGGGTTGCCTTCACATGACGTCAAAACATTGTAGATGATAGTTCAGTTGGAGCTGGAGGGCAGAAGCAGTATTCTCTATGATGGAGTCTGTAGCAAGTATCTCTATGGATAATATCGCCTTGTTGATCCCACACCGATGCAGCGATACCAGTGTTTGTTAAAAGTTATTAAAATGCATTGATCTTCTCTTCTAGACAGTACTTGCTGGATTATAAGCCACTACTTTTTTCAAGATCTTATTTGTGTAAGAATGTTCCATGGTTCTTATTTTTTACAAAGTTTTAGTAGGGATGGGAAGCATGTTTATTGTCAAAATAAATTGGATTTACCAGAGTGCTTTGATCACAAGTTAGCTGTGTGTCAAATGGATGGCTTTTAGTTTCAGAAGTGTAATTAGTGTATGTACCTTTTTGGTCTTCATAACTTTTTCTGTATCTCTAGTAGTTTTCTATTCTATGTTATTATTTATGAAACATTAGTAGATTTATCTTTAGAAATTACTTTCAATTGAAATGGAGCAGCCAAAATGATGGCTCTGGGAGTTCTGTAACAATAGTGAATAATTGTGGCGGTCCTGGTGTTTGATCATGTTTAAACAGTCTGTTGGTTAAGTGTTATACTGCTACATGAAAACCTGTGGCTTATATAGAAATGGGGAAACAAAATACTTTCTCTTAAAATGAAGCTGGTCCAGTTTATATACAGCAAGTACTGTGTTTCATTATTTTTACTGTAGAAATCCATATATTTTGAACAAAAATGTATTTAAAAAAATCACTCAAATTTTAGTATACATATTTTTGTATCAAAGTCAATACCTTTTATACATGTTTCAATATAAATACTTAATACTTGATTGCTTTTTGAAAATGCAGATTTGTGGATAATATCTAAAAGAAAAAGTTCACTTCTGCACACATGGACTTTAGAAAACTATTTTAAAGTGGTGACACTACATTTGAGTGCATTGAATCATAAGGGAATTTACACAATCACACAAACAGTACAAATTAAAATGGCAAAACATTCAAAGCAGCAGAAGTGTCAGTAAAGGAAATTTCATACTGTAGATATGAAACTCATGGTCATTATAAAAGCGCCAAGTTTGTAGACCAAATCCAATTTCTGCTTGACTATATCTATCAAAACTGTATAAAATCTCTCATAGAGTTACACAAGCTTCTGCCCTCCATCTGAAATAATGAAATAATCAATGTGTAGAACGTGAAAATAACTAATAATGTATTTTGGAATAGAGGGAATGCATGTTAGAACTTACAAGGCGTCACATCTGAAATCTTGCACTGTTATATTTCCACAAATATAAATCCAGTCGTGATGCACTTTTGTGTCTGTAGTTTGTCTCCAGAGTTTCTGTACTTGATAAAAGGGAGTGTGCATTTCGTTCTTTTTTGTGTTTTTGTCTTCTACGATCTTGAATGAAATCTGATTTGAATCCAACACTCTTGAGATGATTTTATTTGATAGAGCAACACAATGTAACTTTTTAGTGCCAACGTGAGACTGTTATCTCAATAAATAACTTCTGATGGTATTTGTAACCGTGTTTTACCGAACTTGCACTGTCTCTAAGAATGATGGTTAGTTTTAGTCTATATGAATTAAAATGGATCTGATATGAGATTATAGAAATTCTACACAGAAACACTTACTTATAGACATCTTGATTCCTTTGTTGCTTTGTTATTAAAGATGATACATAGCATGATACAAACAGAAGCAATATTCAACCTTTTTTTTATTTCAATGTTCTTCACTGTAAATTGTTTAAGAGCCAATCAAACCAAACCTTTAATTCCAAATTTAAGAATTGCGCCAGAAATTGTGAAAATATTGGACAATTTTACTTAAAATTTTGTATTAAGATCATTAGAATTGTGAATCGTAAGTGTTACTGTTACTCAGCACCATAATGTCCTTTCTTTTTTACTCTTTAATGTTTACTCTGTGAAGAAAGATCAATCTAAACAACAAAAACTGTTGTAGATGTAGGAGCACTAATAACACAAATAATGTTTTTGTTTAAATTGTAGGCCTTTACTTAATGGTTTAGATTCAGTTTAATGGTAAAAGTGTCTAAAAGCAAGTGTAATCGCCCAAAGAGGTAGATTTCAGTTCCAAAGATGTTTTGAGTGGATGGTGTCTCAAAAAGTGATCCACCAAATGGTTCAGGTCTTCTGCATTCGGCCAGTCCCTCAATGCCAACCCCACAGGAGCAGTCGTGATGTGTTGCCCTTTGACTTGGTCAGAATTACTCCCACTGGAGGATCAGAGACTTATGGAGCAGGTTTTGGGTGGCGGGAGAAACTGGAGCGCCCGGGAGCAAATCCTACCCAGACACAGATAGAAACACGCAGACTCCACACAGAAAGGCCCGGGTCGATATGGGATAGAACCTGCGACCTTCTTGGTGTGAGACCTTTCCGTTAATAACATTGTATTAGAAGGAAAAGGGCGATCATACATATATATGCTTTGCTACAAAAAGTATTTCTGTATTCTGGCACATGTTTTTATCCCCTTTTAAACCGTATAGAAAGTCACAGAGAGCCGCTCAATACGTGATATTTTATTGAGCAAATAAAAGAAGCAGAGTAACACAAATCACATGGTTATTACGAAGTATAGCAAGTATATATCACAGGTTGGTGAGTTGTGTTAATGTAAGTAGGAGAGGACACATCAATAACATGTAGTACTAGAAACACACGGTTAAGAGTAAGGCATAAAAGATGATTTATCAAGTTACAAGGTTCAACTTTTTCATTCAAGAGTTGAAAGTGGATCAAGTATACCATATGTCACTACATCACTATCAGTTTTAAAAATCACAGAACATTAAAATTGTCCCAAAAAACAAAAACAAGAGTAAATAGGCACCACACATGATGTAAAATAAACAGACTGATAGCTGTACTTCTTAAATTAAGATTTGCCTTCAAGCCGACTTCACTACAGCAAGATGAGATGACTGGACTACGCGTATTAAGAATATTACAGTATTTTGAGGTTTGTTGTCGATGGGTTTTTGTTGCATTATTTCAAAACTGGATCATTTTTGGTGATCCAGTCGTGTTCTCTTTATCGCAGAGGTAGTCCAGAGGGCAATGTAAAAAAAAAAAAAAATACGTCAATAAACAAGAAAACAGCCCCAGCAATGAAATGATCGTGTGGGACAATGCTGAAATACATGATTGGATATAGCTAAACATTTATGGTGAGCCGAGTAAAACGTGATAAGAAGTGGAAAGGCCTGGCTATAAAATTCATTACAACAAGCAAATTGTCAAATGAGGTAAAAAGCAAAAATAGCTGCAATTAGTGAATTTTAGGTAAAGCAAGACAACCAGTTTGCCACAAAATTATTAATATTTTTTGTAAACATGCTTTTGTCATTAGATTGGGTGTGCTTATTGCCAACCCCAAGCCTGGATTTAGAGAGAGGGTATGCATCATTAATATACGTGTATCTGTGTACATTTTTTCTTGAAAGTTTACGCACCCAGACAAAGTTTCCGGAGGCTATTATGGATGAAAATGAAAACAAAATGTCAACAGAAATTGACACCAATTACAATTCTAAAATTTTTCTAATAGCGTGTATTCGCTTTTTAGAATGATCAATGTGGATGGATGTGTTTTTGCTTGTACTGGACACGTGATTTTTTCCTACTGAGGATCAATAAAGTATCTATCGATGACAGCTTGAAGTCTTTAGCAGTGGTTGTGGATTAAGTTCCGTCTCCTCTCTGATGGTAAAGCTGCCCATTGTTCTTGGAAAAAGCCCCATTTGCTGTTAATTCCTGGGCCACCTTGCATGAACTGCACATTAGAGATCCCTAACCCAGATCAGCTTAATGACCTTAACATTTGAAAATAGAAAACAGATTAGTTTGACATTAAATATAGCTTCACAACCACTAACGATAAGTGAAAAAAATACTTTCTGTGTTATCATTTATTAGCTCAGGGCGACAGTGGCTCAGTTGGTAGAGTATTGGCCTTTGAGCCTGTAGGTTGTGGGTTCGAGTCCACAACCTACAATAGCAAGCCCTACTTCACGACTCCCACTGATGATTGCTGTCGTTGTGTCCTTGGGCAAGACACTTAACCCCACTTTGCCTGAAGCCCCCACTGAAAGATCTCAGCTCCTGTGGACTCACCACCTGCAGGAGGATCAGTGAGGGGCTGGTGCTCTGTGTACTGGGTGCAGCTCTGACTGCCACTCCCCCAACCCAGAAATGGATTAAGGGGAAGAAAATGGATGGATGGATGCATTCATTAGCTCCAAAATATGAACAATTCAATGAAATCTCTTGCTGGGTGTGTAAACTTTGCTCCTTTGTCTCCTGCTGGGATAGCCACTCTTAATAAGAGCTGTATGTAATATGCAGAGACTGAATCATCTGACTGTCATGTATTTCAGCACTGAGTAGTTATCTGCTGGTTTCTTCAATCACATGAACTGAGGAACATTTACAGTGTAATAATGACAGAATATATGAAGCGCTAAAATGAAGAAAATAAAAGTAACAGACCTAAAATAAACAACTGCACCCGAAATAAAACATACTGTAATTCATTAAGGCATTGTAAACCGTTGCTGCATTTCCCCCAAGGAGTGTAATGTCTTGGTTTTGTGCACTCTACTGGCCATATTATTAGATACTCGTCTGCTAACATTGTTCACGCAAATATTTGAATAAAACATCAAGTGACAGGAGCTCACAGCATTTAGGTGCATGAGAACAACTGTTGAAAGTCAGAATAAAAGTTGATTTTCGGGTTTTCCCTATGACTTCAAACAATCGAGATTAAAACATGTGATATTGTAGTTTTGCATCATCACTGAGCTAAATCACACAGTTCTTGGTTATTGTTACGTGAAGAGAAAAACTAGGTGCAGTATTATTTAAAATAATGTCTGCAGGTTTTATTAGTAATCTCACTTTCTAGCAGTCATTGCTGTCAATGTGTTTGCCATCTAACTTTGCATATCTCTAAAACAGCCTGTAGCAACTGTAATAATGTAGATATTTTGTCCAACTTATTTTATAAATATTTACAGCCCTTTACCTTTCCCCATTGTGGGACAAATAGCTCGAGGTTTCTTGCAGCACTCGATCTAGATTTGAGATTCCATCACTACTGCAACTTAGGAAATTATCTAGAGCAAGGGTGTCCAAAAGTTTTACTAAAAGTGCCACTTTAATTACCCAGACTGTCCATATTGATTCAAACTTTACAGTGCTGAAGCACCGTTACTCCATAAGCGCCATAGCCAAAATTTTGTGGAACTAACATCAAGAGGTTTTGAGGTATTGGCGGAGTGGAAGTTGGCTGAATGACATTGTGAATTTGTGTATGATATCGCTGGCTACTTTCCGTTACCAAGGCACAGGGCCACGTATGACTTCGAAGACCGCAATTGGCCCATTTGGACACATCTGTTCTAGACCAGACTAGTTGACTTCCTCACTATTGGACTTTCATTAACCTAAATGCATCATCGAGGCCCTGACACTACTAAAATATTTGCATTTACAATCATTACAAGGCCAGGGTAGCCGATAACATGGCCAGTGCAAGTATGTTATTGACATGCAGCCTTTTCTCTGAGTGTGTTTGTGTGAATGTGGGTGCAAGTGTATGTAAGTGTGTGTATGTGTGTGTGTTCAGGACAAATGGTGCGTGGGAGTGGAGAGTGGCTGTCTGCGTGAGGTAGAATGACAGATGATACTTAGAAATGTGAGGTCATTGTGTCGAGGCAAATCTGGTCAAACACAACATCAGAACAATCATCACGACTGAGTAGACTGGCAACATGTTCCTGAAGATTCTGTACCTGAGGTTTTTCAATATTTCAAAACATGATTCAAAAGTGGGGTGAAAGAAAGCACAGAAACAGTCCAATCCTGAGTGTGGTACAATGACAATGGTCAATAAAATGTCGACGGCACAAATGTGAGAGGTTGGATTTCAAAATAAGATACATTTGTAGAAATGGCTGCGTTAAAATCATCTGTGTGTATACTTATTTGCACTATGTAGCTGTCTGAACTTATCCATCACATTTATCCACATAGAGTTGCATATATGAAAGCATGAGAGATCATTATTACACACAATTTAAAGCAGATTTTAAAAACTGAAATCTCTCCACGGATTTAAATTGTACCTTGACCTTAAGCAGTCACTTCCTAGCGATAATATACAGTAAATATTCAATTCAATTCAATTTAAAATGTTGTAATAACCCTTTTCTTTTGAGCTCAGACAGATTCACGGCGCAAAAATATTGGAAAATATTGACTTCAACGTGTTTCAACAAAAACTCAGTCATAAAAATGAATTTGTAATATAAATAAAATACAAATTCTACAGTTGTAATAACTACGCTTGAAATACCAACCGAGACATCTGCCCACAAAAATATATCGATATTGATTATGGATATAGTCTTTAATCAAAAATATAAATGTATATTCCAACACTCAAAAGATACAAAACTAGTCTCTGCTCAGTGTAATCCACGCATAAGGCTTTTATAGGTATTATTGAAAAAATATTGTCTTAAGATTTCATAGTAATAGCAGTTTCTCCATTAGACTGGACCATGAAACCGAACCTCTCACACCGGCTCACAAAAGTAACGTCTTCAGCGCCATGTTTAAACTGAAGCGTCGATACTGGTGTTTTGTGTCTTGCTCCCAATAATTCAAGGATTCGTGACACTTTAACATAAAACACAATAAATGTTTGGTTCCTTTTTCCCCTGCTCCCTCCTCAAATTGTTAGCCCCCAGCTCCCACCCCTTTCCCCGTCCCCTTTTAGCATATACTCGGGGTGACTCACCGCCGATAAAGGTTTCAGTTTGAGTTTTTACAAGTGAAAAGAACCCATGATACATATGTCTTCGCGTGTGTGTGTGTTCCTGAATCCCCGTGGCATCAGGGGGTCCGCTGTCCCCCGTTTGCTCGGAGGACAAACCTTGAGGTAGAACCGTCTACTGCCCTTCCTCTGGATCCTGAGATGACACAGACTCGAACTGCGATGGACCCTCTTCAGACTCCTCCTGAAAGCATGCAAGGGAAATGTATTTATTTAACCTTCATTTAACCGGGAAATTTCCCTTTGAGATTCAGAGTTCAGATTTGGTAAAACGCTGTTAAAGCAAATCATTGAAAAGGGTCGAGTGGCAGCAAAGGAACAGCAGAATCAAATTAACGGTAGCACTAAAATCAACCTTCTACAGATTGAATCAGTGGTCACTTGGATAAACCGTGCCTCTGTTAATAAACATTTATGGACATTGGTCATCTGCCCCTTATAAACGGTTTGATTCTCTGACCTCTGTTGGCGAATTCAACGATTTTGTTAAGTCCTCCTGTTGTGATTTAGGATTATACAAGAAGACATTTAATTGAATTGACTTGAATTATTAAAAACTAAAAAACAAACTGGACAAGATAGTGAAGCAGTCAGCACTAGATCATACTCGTATTCATGCCTAAAGTTAACCAGCCATTCCCATAAAATAACCCCAACCCAGCCTTAACCCTAACCTTAACCATCTTACTCAGACACCTAAAACTTAACCAGTCACCACTTAAGGACTTATTAGTCTAAAACTAATTCGAAAGTAGGATTGTTATTTCCAGTTTCGTCCCGATTCCGTATATGATCTAGTGCCGACCATAGTGAAGCAGGCTGGAGAAGTGGTTGGATTCAGTGTTGGACAGATGCATGACGGAAAACTTCTAGGAAATCTTTTATCCCAGCTGCTGTCACCTCCAAATCCACACTGTCCCGTGCAGGACTTTACTTGATAACGACTGACTTTAGTGACCATTGTCCATCCCATCCATGGATCTATAATGATATCCCATCCCACTGTATGCGTGTATGTCACTTGTATAGCCTTGAATAAAATCTCAGAGGACTTAACAAAACCGTTGTAATCGCCAACGCAGATCAGAGAATCAAAAAGTTTCAAACACAAATGATATAGAACACATGGTATTGGTCCATAGGGAGAGTTGACCAATGTTCATGAATGTTGATAAATGTCCATGAATGTTGATAAATGTCCATGAATGTTGATAAATGTCCATACATGTTCATCACCACAGTCCTTTTTTTTAGACACTTGCCGCGGTCACATAGCACCTAAAGCGAAGTGGGCCCAGGTCCACTTTAACCGGGCTTTAGGCTGTGCATGTGACCGCAGCCTCTCAGTCAAACAGAACCTCCTTCAACGGCAAGGAAAATCTCAGTGAGTAGTTTGGAAGAAAGTGGGAGTATTTATTTATGTATTTATTTTGAATCCCATTAGCTTCCACAAGTGGTCGTCTGGATAGTCTTCCTGGGGTCCACTCCATTGAATCAATTCACAATTTCAAACAAACATAAAAAAAAGTGATTACAATACAAATCGTCATTCTTCAAGCGTTTTGTTTTTTCTTAAATATGTTTTTATTATTAGTTTGCGGCGGAGGATCTAAACAAAACTATTCTGCTCATACAGCTTGATTTTGGAAAAGAAAAAACAATATCTCGATACCTGACGAGTCACATGTTGATGGCAATAATCGCTGTAAACAAGTTTTATTCCACAAAGAAATGTGGAAATGTGGATTAGCATCTCTGTTAATAAAATGTCAACAAACTGGAAAAGATAGTGGATCAGGCTGAAGCAGTGTGAGTGTGTGCATGTGTGTGAGTCTGCGTGTGCGAGTGTGTGTTTGCATGTGCGTGAGTGTGTTTATGTGTATGTGTGAGTGTGTGTGTGAGTGTGTTAGAGTGCGTGTGTGTTTATATGTGAGTGAGCGTGTGCGTCTATGTGTGTGTGTATGTGCGTGAGTGTGTTTATGTGTATGTGTGAGTGTGAGTGTGTGTGTGCGATGTGAGATTGTGAGTGCGTGTGAGTGTATATGTGTGCGTGAGTGTTTGCGTGCGTGTGTGAGATTGTGAGTGTGAGTGCCTGTGTGTGTGCGTACGCGTGCCTGTGATCGTATGCTCTGGGACGGCGTTAGGACAGTTAAATCAGGAAACCAAGAAGACACGCACACACAGCAGATGTCTCAGATTTCCTCTCAACATTGACTCATTCTTCCCCTTTATGCGAGTGTCGCTAACGGTTTCGCTTCACTCTCAGAGGGAAGAGGCCGCGCTGAGCCGAACCAGCGCCATCGAGACAAGTTTTACTACGTTGTGCAACTGCTGAACATGGGACCTGCGCTTTTTTTCCACATCTGCTGGCACAAAAGGATGTCTGGAGGTGTATCTGAGAAATGTAACAGTGCAATTCCAAGAATGCAAAGAACACGGTACCGCATGTGCCTTTTGTGTGCGTACAGAACACACTTTAAAAAAATTTTTTGTCTCCTTTTTTACATTTTGTTTATCCCAAAAGAAAGACGTTTTAAGTCATATTTCACAAACTAATAAGATCACAAGATGCTGCCTTTATCTTAACAAAAACATTTGATCTTTTACACACCAAGAACTGAGGGCGAGTACTCTTTTCCATTGAAAAAGTTGATCTCAACATGTGATAGAGACCAAGAATTCAGGCGAATATACATGTGGACATTTGTAATTGAGTGCTAGGTACTATAGTTGAAGGGATTTTAATTACATAGATAATTTCTTTTAGTCTCAAAATTAGGTGCACCACGCTTTAAACTGTGAACTGGCTATAACTGTTTATAACCTTTTGCTTTTGATTTATTTCTGTTATGTATTTTAGTAGTCCTTTATATTAGTAATCAACAATTCACAACACAAGGGGTCACTATAGAATTGTTTTTCTGTGAAAGAAAAGAGCTCCAGGTCTGGTCAATAGGAAAAACCAAAAAAATATTTCTGTTAATTCTGTAATACTTTATAAAGCAGCCAATTAGACAAAAGAGAAGACAATCAAAGAGGGAAAACTTATTTTAAAAAACACCAGTATTTTCAAAGATGAAGAACAGCGTCTTTAAGTGTCCTGAAAAGCGCAATATACAAACCAATGTATTATTATCATTCATATTAAAAACAGTTTTGTTCAAACACTAGTTTTCACATGCATGTACATACTGTCCTCAATCACTCTCACAGCTCAGAGTATGAGAAACACGTTTTCTAATAAACACAGATACCTACAGCTTGTTATGGTGCAACTTGGTCATAAAATGTACTTATAACAATAATAATAATGCAAAGGTTTTGTATAGCACTTTTTTGGACACTCATGTATGCTTAACATAAATGTGTTGCCTAAGGACACAACAATGAGTTTGGCACTTCACAGACTCAGCTGCCCCTCTATGGCCCCTGGTGTTCCCAGAGGTCTCCCATCACAGAACTAACCACACCCTTCCCTGCACTGCTTCAGAGGTCTGATAGGACCTGGCTTTAACATGGAACTTCAAGTACGACTACTTAAACTTTTGGGACCAACACAATGTATTTATGAAACAAAATAAAGTTCGATACTTCATCTGTTTAAATCCAGAACACTGGTACTTACTACAACTACATTCAGCCCAGAACTTTGGATCAGGTCAAATTACCAGTATTAAGCTGCGGTCTGCCACAGTACTACTACTACTGTACTGTACTGTACTACACTGTACTACTACTACTACTGGCCTCTGTTATTGTATTTTTGTGAATCTCCGTAACCCTTTCCAAGTCAAAGCTCTTTGTTTGCCAGTGGTAAACAATGAAGGAGGCATGAAGTACTTGACAAGCAAAAACATGTCAGTTCACCTTTATCACAAATACAGTAGATGAGAATGGCCTGTTTTGAATGAGTGTTCAGGGATCTCCATTAAGCAATAATGACTCTGAACCTGACAAAATATTCTCAACCTGTTTGGGCAAGACTTGAATTCTGGGCAGGATCTTGAAATCACATAAATCTCACTACAGTCACATTTCTATAGCCAAAATCTATAATTGTTAGATACTTAAACATGCATATGCAGTAGTTAGCAGGGTTATATCTTGGATTACTGTGATGGGGGACCTCTGGGAACACCAGGTGCCAGTGTGAGGTAGCTGTGGTTGTAAAGTGCCAAACTGTTGTTGTGTCCTTAGGCAAGACATTTCACCCACAGTGACTTATGATTCTATTGTATGCATGAAAAATTGGTGGTGGTCGGAGGGGCCTATGTAAAAAAATCAATGCATTATTATTAGTAGTAGTAATATTAAAAGGAGGAATATGTACAAATCTGGCCAAAAGTGGTACTGCACTCTCCGTGGTTCAGGTTGCCAGAAAAGCAGACAAATCCAGCTGGGACCATAATAACTGAATAGACAAGAGTTTTGCAACAACAAATCTAAAATCAACATTGTTTTCACAAAGGCCCTGATAGAAATCCTTGTTTGGTTGCTTGTTTTGTAGTTAATGATTTGAGAATCCCAACAAGACCTTTTTTATTTCTGCGGCCACAAATTACTTTATCAGTGAGATTAGCTCAATGCGGCGAGTTCTGGCAACCCGGATCACAGATCTGAATGGTAAAATGGTGGAGGGCCGTAAATCCAATTTGGAAATTTAAAGAACCCTGAACTTATGACTTAAAGAAGTATTGGAAAAGAGCATGGTTTATTAATGCCTTTTGACAGATTAGGGACATTTAATGATGACTTGACAGGAAAATCTTACATATTGCTACTTTAAGCTTTAAGTAAAGACAACATGACTAAAGTAGCTTATTTGACACAGTTAATTGAAGTAATAATAGTTAGCTGTTGTCAAAATTATAAGAGAGACTTTGACATTTCCATGGCGTGTTAACTGTGACCTGAAATGCAGCTGCGTATTTTTTATGTTCCAAAAAAACAAGGGAGGTCTTCAGTGGACAAAAATGTTTGTATAATATATATTTGCCCTTTGGTTTCGGCCTATTCTGCTGTGAATAGATTTAACACAGAGCAAATGTCAGGCAGACAAAGTGAGGATCTTAAGGCAACAGAGCCCAGAGTATTCTGTGGATATTTATGTTGTTTGTGACGTGATAGATCTAAAAGTGAGGACCAAGAAAAATGGATCAAAGCCCTGACGAGAGCTGCTTCTTCTGTGGTGAAATAAATGAGCCCATTGATATTGATATCACTATGCCATGGCATTTTGATACAACAAAATACCATATTGTTCGAATACATGTAAGAAAACATATCAAAAAGGTCTTTATTTAGTACTTTTTTAACCCATTTTGTCTCATGTTGTTTTTTCCAGATGAGACATGACCAAGACAACCACGTCTCAATCACGAAACCTTTTTAAATGGTTCTTGAACTTATCTAACACCCAAAATTCTGAAACAAGTAGAGCCAGGACCGTCATTTTGACAACTCCCATTCAAACCAATTAAATGTTGATACATTTATGGAGCGTTAGTAATTTATACGTTTTTTATTTAAACTTTGCTTTTATTAAGTGCTTAACTGGTTAATATAACTTGAAATTCAGCAAAAACAGTTTGTTGACACGCTAACTGCAGCAAGTAAACAGTGTGTTGCTATGGTAACTAGAAGAAGGAGAGTAAAAGGGAGAACCTGCACAAAATAATAATAATAAATGACATTAGATATAAAGTACCTACAGAAAGTCAATACATTTCCAAAACTAAAAACCTTTTTGTAAATCACACCATGGAAAATCTCTGGAATGGAATATTAATATTGTGTGGCTTTTTTTCGGTTGACAGTGGTGGCCAGTGAGGTGTGAGGAACTTGAACCGCAGGAGAAGTAAACGCAGATTACACTAGCGTATATAAGCCGCACCATCTACAGTTCATGGGCACTCTGGAATATTCCGTTCGTGTTGTAACGTAACACTTCGCCAACAGCTGTGAGAGCAAAACAACTAGTCACAACATGATTTAATGTCGAGGTATTTCACGAACTATTGATTTGTCATGATTATAAATAACATGAACTAGGAGGAGGTAAACGTGAAGGTTTTAGTATTTGGATTAGTTTACATGCCTGGACTCGTCTATTCTGACAATCGATGTGCATTTAGCTACTAAACCTGGATTGAGTCAAAGTTGCCTTGTAGTGAAGTTTGTTGGTGCTGGTCGTCAAAGATCCAGGATTATGTGGCATTAGATTTGGATGTGGAGCACTCCCTGGCCTTGGCTTTTTGTATTTGTGTGCAGGATGCGTCGGAGGCAGCGGGGCAGTATGGCCTTTGCAGTAAGGAGGAATAACATGGATATTAAAACATTCATGATTTTGTGTATTTTGGTTTTGCAGCTCATGGATTTTGAATATCACAACGTTTACACAAAATTGATTTTAAGGAAAACAATGCAAAATCCAATATTACGGCCGGGACTCAATGGAAAACGGCAATTTATTTGTATATATATATACACACTATATATATATATATATATATATTATATATATATATATATATATATATATAGTATGTTTCACATATCAAAAAACTGAAAAAATTCTGAATTTTTATTTAATTTGGTAAATCAGAAACGGAAATAGAACGGCTCATCACTGATCCGTGAGGATCAACGTCTTCGGTTCGGTACAGACGTGATCCGTGGTTTGATTTATAAAAAAAAAGAAAAAGTTGTGTGCATGTTGTTCAGTCCACACACAGCGTAAACATGGCGATCGTAGGAACGGAGGAGCTTGAAAGCCCCGGGTCATTTAAATCAGCCCCTCACTGATCCTCCTGCAGGTGGCGAGTCCACATAATTGATTGACTGCGGAACCTTCCGCAGTCAACCATTGGTTTTGTATTTCTTTATTCCGTCATTTTTTTTGACACGTTTCACAGCTTTCACATTTTCAACAATTTCCACAAGTTATACATCAAAACGTTCCACATGTTTGGGAGATTATTGCTATTACTTTTGGGACTTCAGCGATTTCCGGTTTTTCCGCAATCGGACAAAAATCTGCATTGAGAATTCTGCAATGCATTTTAATAGGCCCATGCATTTTAATAGGACTTCAGCTCTTTCAGACATTTCTACAGTTTCAATGATTCAACAGTTTCAAGGATTCAACAGTTTCAAGGATTTCAGCAGTTTCAAGATTTCAAGAGTTTCAAGGACTTCAACAGTTTCAAGGACTTCAGCAGTTTCAAGGACTTCAGCAGTTTCAAGGACTTCAGCAGTTTCAAGGACTTCAGTGTAATCATGCAACCTAATAGGGATTTTTCCATGTAAACCAGTATAATGCAACTTAATAGGGATTTTTCCATGTAAACCAGTATAATGCAACTTAATAGGGTTTTTTCATGTAAACCAGTATAATGCAACTTAATAGGGTTTTTTTTCATGTAAACCAGTATAATGCAACTTAATGGGGATTTTTCCATGTAAACCAGTATAATGCAACTTAATAGGGTTTTTTCCATGTAAACCAGTATAATGCAACTTAATAGGGTTTTTTCCATGTAAACCAGTATAATGCAACTTAATAGGGATTTTTCCATGTAAACCAGTATAATGCAACTTAATGGGGATTTTTCCATGTAAACCAGTATAATGCAACTTAATGGGGATTTTTCCATGTAAACCAGTATTATGCAACTTAATAGGGATTTTTCCATGTAAACCAGTATAATGCAACTTAATAGGGATTTTTCCATGTAAACCAGTATAATGCAACTTAATGGGGATTTTTCCATGTAAACCAGTATTATGCAACTTAATAGGGATTTTTCCATGTAAACCAGTATAATGCAACTTAATAGGGTTTTTTCATGTATAATGCAACCTAATAGGTTGCATTATACCACCAGACCAAGACCCAAACGAAGACTCAGACCACCACCAGATAATGACCACAGACCAGGTTTCCTTAGTTACAGGAACCAAATTGTTTCAGCGGTGAGGGGATTTTTCAGTTTCAAGGACACTTTCAATACATTCAGTAGTTTCAAGGATTTCAGCTGTTTAAGAATTTAACCAGTTTCAAGGATATCAGGAGGTTCAAGGATTTCAGGAGTTTCCACACTTTCAACAGTTTCCAGGTTTAAAAAAGTTTCAAGGATTTCAGGAGTTTCAATGTTTCAACAGTTTCAAGGATTTCAGGAGTTTAAAGGTTTCAACAATTTCAAGGACTTCAGGAGTTTCAAATATCTATCAAGTATTTTAACAGTTTCAAGGCTTTTTAAAGGATTTCAAGGATTTTTTTTAGCAGATTTCCACATTAGATCTGTTCCGCAGTCAATCGCAATGGCTTCAGCCATTGCAAGTTTCTAGTTTTTTGTTTTGTTTTTTTTTCTGCTTCGAAAAATGAACCGAACCGTCGCCTCTGAACCAAGGAACTATCCAAACCGTGATTTTTTCAAACCGTTGCACCCCTAATAGACAATAGCCAATATTTGTTATTTTTTTGACAGGGGTGTTAGCAGCTCGGTTGGTAGAGCATTGGCCTTTGAGCCTGAAGGTCGTGGGTTCAAGCCCACCACAACACCTACTTCACGACTCCCACTGATGTCTGCTGTCATTGTGTCCTTGGGAAAGACACTTAACCCCACTTTGCCTGAAGCCCCCGCTAAAAAATCAAGGCTCCTGTGGACTCACCACCTGCAGGAGGAGCAGTGAGGGGCTGGTGCTCTGTGTACTGGGTGCAGCTCTGACTGCCACCCCCCCGACCCAGAACTGGATTAAGGGGAAGAAAAGGGTTGGCTTTTCTTCTGATAACATTGTATTGTAAATACAATAAATATTGCTTTTGGATGGTTAGCTTTAGTAAGTTATCAAAACAAAAATATATTTCTGTATAATGAAATGTGTGTCTGTTTATTACCAAAACTTTGCAATTTTGGGATAACATTAAATGAGTAATGTAGTAATATAGATTCTGAAATAAATATTCAACTTGCATCTATCATTTGACTGGCCATGTCTTTACCAGAAATGTTGGGGATTTTTTATGCAGATTTGTTATCTGAATAAAATGAGCTCATCAAAGTTGTTTCAGGTAACTTGTTCAACCTGAAAGAAAAGTCAGCCACAAACAGACTGTTCATCTGAGGCGTTGGTGATTAGTAATATGGTTTTTCTGTACTTACTGTAAAAGAAAGTCATCAATAGAGAGCCAAATCAGGCCACACAACTGCTGTAAGTTTTCATTTCTCTCACCTGCTCCTCTGCTGCCTCTTGAACAACCTTTTGTGGCTGTAACATAAAAAGATAATCAGTTAAAATAAACTGATAAGTAAAAAAAAAAGTACAAACCAAAACACAACATGAGTTTCTTTTGAAGATTTATTGAGCTTTACCCATTTTCTTGGTCGACCTCGAGGTCTTCGCTCCCCAGCAGGTTGTACTTTCTATCAACAAAAACAGAGTTAATGAAAGTTAAATGTTAACCTTACTAAAGCTTGTGATCTCATTGTACACTGCAAAAAGTTAGTTTAAGAGTTAAAAAAACCTAAGTACATTCTGACATATTGTCTTAAAACAAGATTTACCAATGGGACAAGCCATTCGGTCAGATTGTTTTCTCATTCAAGGGATCATTTCTTGCATCTTTTTAATACAAGATTTTTGTAACACAGTCAAAATGCGCACAAACAAACTATTTTTGACAAATTTTCAATCACTTTTTGCAGTGTATTTGAAGTCTTTAGACCTCCCTATGCTGTAACAAAACAGTTCAATCAATAGTGAACTGTTTTTATTATTATTTAGGAAAAATGGTTCCAGAAAGGGCCAATGTGACTGTAGGTTTTACTTCCAACCATGCAGGAGCACACCAGACTCCACCCATTTCCTCAAGCGAGTCCAGACTTAAAGAAAACTTTAATTGAAAACTTGAGCTCATTGATTAAGCTTGTGTATGAATTCAGGCCGTAAAAAGTAGCTGAGTAGAGACTTAGCGTGACGCTCGCTCTCCTCCACTCACAGAACGAGGCTGCGTCCTCTAGCTTCTACAGCGCTGCTAAACAAGAGCAGAATGGAGGCAAAAAGTGCCTATACGCTCTGGCTGTAACTGCAGACACAGCAAAACAGCCCGAACGATGCAACACTGAGGAAGAGAAGACTGAACTAAAGCGAAAAAATTATCAAAGAAGAAATCAAGCCTGGGTGAACATAGCTAGGTTACATCATATGCTCTGGAAAGACTTGTCAATGGGAGAGACCTGCGGGACCGCCTCGGACTATCTATGCTTGGACTACATTCGGACCCAAAACTAGCAGTAATCTTTCCAGTTATATATTTTGTTAGCAGTGCGTTGCTTTTGTACCATTTCATGCTAATGTTTGCATATAGATCGCAAATAAAACTAGATGGCTCCGTGGAATTAGAGTGTAGGGGAAATGAGAAGCCTGTGAGCGAGTTGAGGGGCGGTGCCAAACATTCAAACCTTGCACGAACGGGTATAGCTCCTTTAACCTGAAGACTTGGCTGGAGTCTGGTGTGTTTGTGCTTGGTCGGAATTAAAACCTGCAGCCACATCGGCCCTTTGAGGACCAGTTTGACACCCCTGATTTAGAGACTGACTCAATCGCAAAAACAGATGCGGTTTCAATAATACACATGTACGTGATAGGCTAACAAGTCAGCCGAGCAGTTATTTCATAGGCCATATATCATTTGGTGAACTAAACTTTCCCTCCTCTAAGATAAACATGGTAACTAACGCAGTACAACTTTTTGAACAGCATTTAAAATCAGAAATAGATATGATATGCTGATTACTTTAACTGTTTGGTGGTAGCGCTGGTAAAGTAAACCCCAGGTCTTGTGCCACAGTCTCTTATATAGAAATAATGGTATAGCTGTCTTTTATAAGCTTGTTTGTATATCTTAATGCAAGTCTTTAAGTGTCTGTGTATGTGTGTCTAGAGTCTGACTAAAGAAGAAATGTCTATGATGATTTATCTACCTAGGATAGTCCTGCTGACATTTCTGACCCTCTTTTTCAGGGGAATGTTTGAGTTAGGATTAAAGGGAATAGAGGCAATCAGCGTAAACCTACACAGACATGAGCAGAACAAGAAAATTCCACACAGAAAGGCTGGGAGGTGAACCTATAGGCTCTTCCTGCTGTGAGACCAAATCGCTTACTACTGCACCACTGTGTCTGATCAACTCTTACTTGGGCCAGTGGGTAAATTCAAACAAAAATGCCTGAAATATGGCTAGATTATTACCAGAACTAGAATGAGACAATCTTATTTCACACATTTTGTCTAATTCAGTACGTATGAAATGTGTTTAAGTCCCCGATGCTAACTTTGTCATGCAGCTTCATAAGACTGCTGCGGACATGCTGTAGTCCAATCACTAGTGTGTGTGTGTGTGTGTGTGTGTGTGTGTGTGTGTGTGTGTGTGTGTGTGTGTGTGTGTGTGTGTGTGTGTGTGTGTGTGTGTGTGTGTGTGTGTGTGTGTGTGTGTGTGTGTGTGTGTGTGTGTGTGTGTGTGTGTGTGTGTGTGTGTGTGTGTGTGTGTGTGTGCGAGTGCGCGTGCGTGTGCGTGTGTGTGTGCAGAGGTAATAGGAGTGTAACCTTTTGTGCAGTCCTGGGCCCTTTGTTCTTGCTGCCTTTGGGCCTTCCCCTCGGCCTCTTTGGAGTCGGTGGTCCAACAGGCTCCTGCAGCGATAGGAAGCTATAACTCAACAGCAGCAGCAGCAGCAGCAGCAGCAGCAGCAGCAGCAGCAGCGCAGACACAACAGTTCCAGCTCTGGACTCCACTCAGAAGGCTTTCAGATGACATCACAGACAACCGGCCTGCAGAGCTCTGAGGGATTCTGACAACTTAGACCAAGACTGTCACACTCACTTTGGTCAGAGGCCTAACTTAAAACATGAGAGCTGATCAAAGGCCCAACGATTACTTTGGAGTTTGTCAAATGCTCATCATTATCTAATATCTATCTTTTTTTAACATTATGAAGTTATTTTTCCCTGTTTAGAATTATTTGTCGAGTTTGGAGTTTGGACAATCTATTCTGGTAGATTTTTGTCTAATGAATACAGATAAACTTGAACCAAAACTGGACCAAATCTAAAGAAAAATGACAGTCAACACCAATCTAACAATTACTAACTTCAATAGACCTCTTGATTCAAAGCTATTTTTCCAGTGTGTTATTTTTCCTAGAATTAGAATCCGATAAATTGGCCAGATGGAATGATCAGACGTGACTTTTATTCCATGTGAGAAAAACATTATCTCTGGGTTTTCACTCAAAGTTAGTTTAGGTTTTGTGAAAATAATCAATTTCTTTAGATATATATTATTTTAGGTTTAAAAATGTACCTGATTGAAGATGATGTTAACCCAGCAACCATGCAATAAACTCCTCTAATCTATCTACTCACAAAATATATTTTGACAAACTAGAATATAATAATTTACCATTTTGTATTGATTATTGAGTTAGTTATGAAAGTTATGTTTGTTGTACATTGTGTTGTCATCTGCTTTACTTCCTGTAAATTGCAATATATTTTTCATATTTTCTTCACAAACTGTGGATTTTAATGGAGTCAATTCAAAAGAGAAGAGACGTTATGTGTACTAGAACAGGTCATGGCTTTACTTTAATCTTGTCAATTCTTCGATGCATTTGGAAAACACCCAAGGGTTTCAAAATGATGGGACTATGACATCATCACATCACAACACAACAACAACAACTAACGTGAATTCATCTTTTCTGATCTACGGTCATGTGCAGATGCGTTTCGAGTCATTGAAACTTCCGTCCTGACAGTGCATTAAAAACACATTCTTTTTCATGCAAATCCAGACTACTTCTCTTTCTGACATGCATTGGTGAGTTAGGATTAGCATATACCTTGTCTTCAAAGAACTTTGCACAAACCCATTTCTTTTCTAGTCAGTAGTATTTGGTAATTTTCGATGTCTTCTCACACACTTTGCGGTCAGTGTGCACGGTACCTGCTGCGGTTTGCGTGGCCGCCCTCTGCCCCTGCGCTGAGGTTCCTCTGGGGCACACGGGACCGGGCTGGCCTCTGGAGACGGCTCTTTGGTCCCACTGTCACTCATGCCTGATCCAGTCCTTCACAACGTCTGCGCATCAAACCACAGGAGGACGTGCCCCGGGACGAGTGGGAGGGAAGTCCAAGCTGTGGAGGGAGAGAAAAAAGATTCAATATGGAGGTAATAATTGTTTGAATTGAGTGGTTTTTATCTGAATTTGAGGACATTCTGACTGTCTTTAAAATGAGATTTGCCAAAAGGACAAGTAATTTAATACTATTTCAAAAACTGTTGCTGTATTTCATTCCAAGGGAGACATTTCTTTTACCTCTTAAAACAAGATAATTTTTCATGTCCCATTGGTAAATTTCTCTTTTTTTTTTTAAGGCAGTCATAATGTGCTCAACTTTTTGACTTATTTTTCATCACTTTTTGCAGCGTAGGGCGATGTTTCTCAGTCAACTCCTCAATGGACCTGGCAGACAACCTTTGCATGACTCGTAAGGGTGGGAACCTAAGGGTACCTCACGATATGATACGCGATACAAAGCTCACGATAACGATTATATCACGATAACGATGATATCACGATATCACGATTATCGATAGCAATATACCATATGCCAATATATGGCATATATAAATTAGAAAAATGTTATGTGAAAAAACACACTTTATTTCATAATAAATGGAATGGAGATGTGTAATGAAGCCATATGTTAAGTATTGAAAAAGATTTTTTTTTCTTTTAAATCGATACTTGGCAAATGCATATTGATAATTGATTGCGGGAGAAAGTATCGCGATATATCAAAAAATTGATATATCGTCACACTCCTAATGATTCGTAATTAAAATTCTGTATTGCATTTAAGGAAACCTCAAAGTGCTATCGATCATCAATTCAATATATTTGCGTATGGCCTTAAATCACAACAGTAGTTTTCTCTGAGGACTTTACAAAACTGTTGATTCGCCAACACAGATCAGAGAATCAAATAGTTCTAACAAAGCAATGATGAAGAACACAGCAATTGGTCCAAAAGTCACTAAGGACACTCTCATGGAGTTTTTATCTTCTTTTTGTCCATAATTTAAAATCTATTTTTCACTTTCTATAAACTTGTTTGTACCATATACCGAAGTGAATTCCTTGGTTGTCACCTCCTGTTGCTCAGAATGGCAATAAAACAATTATTCTGAAAAATGCCATCACTTACAGTTCATCAACTGCATGGACATCAAAAGGCAGCACTATCTTGTCCACTGTCTGTTGCACCAATGTTCCAGCTTCTTCCCTCTGGCAGAAGATATTGAGCTTGAGCTTCTTTCCACAAACTATTATCACTCAGTTTAAACAAAGCACTTTATTAATCTTGACTTTGTTATGAAAGTGTTTTAGTGATTGATTTTGGTGGTTGTTTTATTTCTATACTTTTAACCTAGTTTTATTCAAGTACTTATAAATACAGGGGATGTTTGTGGAAGTATTCCAATGTGGTTTGACTGCAAATGGCAAATAAAATGAAGCTGAAATGAATCTGAAGGAAAACTTTAAAATGCTGTTTGTTTATTTTGTATGTTTTGTTCCTTTTGTGTGTTCCAACAGAAAAGTCCTGTTTAAGTAACTTTTTGTGCACAAATCAGACCACAACATGCTGTCTTGATCTTATTAGATAAACATTATTATCTTTAACACTCTGACTGAAAAATCTGAGGCCAAAAATACATAGTGATCGAACAGAACTGTTATAGGAGGTGGGAACTAAAGACATGAATGTATATTATAATAATTGTTTTGTGATTTAAAATCTAGATACAGCTTATTTTACATATTTTCTGAAATGTTCTGATTGTGACATCAGGTGTTAGAGCAGCTGCTTGTTTCTCTTCATATAGTTGTTGTGTGTCTGGAGTTGAATACAGAAGAGAATTTCACCTAATTTCATTACAGATATTACAGTTTCTTAAAAATACTTTGTTCAATCTACTGTGAATAGGATTGCCTCTCCATAGATCTAATCTGTTACTTGGCCCTATGCTACCACCGTATTTTCGACTATTTAATCATGAACTGCAAATAAAATCCTGATTGCAAATGTTTAGCCAAAATATCACAATTATTGAAGTGTAGGAACTGTGGTGAATGGACGCTTTTCACAATGCGTTTCTGCTTGCTGGTTCAGAACGTGATTTTGAAGAGGCAAGAGATACATACAGTAGAAATGAAGGAGAGATGACTGTACTGGTTTGAGTTTAGTACTGACTCATGACGAATAGTTTTAGTCCATGTTAGTCCCATAAGGATGTGTTGAGCGCAGTACTATCTACATATATACTTGAGAGAAGGTGTAAATCTACAGTATGGGGGCCACAATTAGTTTGATATAGGGATTATTCCGTCTAGATGCTGAAGACATCCTCATGGAGTATTTCCAAATGTATTTCCATCATATGTATTTGTTTTTCCACCAACTTGAATATAAGGCACAGGTTTTCCTGCTGTAATCTAACACAACCAACAGCTGATGGAGCAAAACAAAGCTGATTGACTGATACTCTGATAAATCCAGTCTATTATGACAGCTAAAGTGTGTCCCGTTCCAACTAAACTCAAAAAATTAAAAATAATACGTCCATAAAGTCTCTAAATCAGAATCAGAATCAGAATCAGAATCATTTTTATTGCCAACGTAAGTAACAGGAGGTCACAGACTTGGAAATTGCTTTGGCTCAATGCAACAGTCAAAAAGATATAATAAAAATAAGAATAAAAAACACTTCTAAAGAATAAATTTAAATTTAAAATAGAGTTACAGTTACTATTTACAATATACAAGTGCACATGGTGCACACAATGTAAGGTGACAAGAGCCCTAATCACATAACAACTAGTCCTAATATGTATTTCCTTGCACTCTCTCATGTTGCCTCTTTCTGCTGTTCACATAAACACACAAGAAGCAGGAATGTATTCAGCTCTGGAGTTCTGCTGCACCAAATCAGATTCAGATTAATTTGCCATTTGCAGTAAAATGCATAATACATACTTGTGTGAATAAAACCACAGGAATAAAACAAGCTAAAAAAGTACAGGAAACAATTGTCACTGAAATCAAACTGAAATCCTCCCCTGTCCTCTGGCGGCACGCTGACAAAATAAAAATACATATATGGTCCGCATTGCTGTATAGAGTTCATAAAATTTGAAAAAAGCAGCGGATTATAGTCCATTACTGTACTGCTCTGTTAGAGTCATAAAACAACTTTCTAAGATTATTGTATTTCAGTCTGTGTATTTACTAAATGTATTTATGAATATAGTAAAAAAAACAGTTATTTTAGATTATAGATACTGTATTGTTATTATTATAGATCCATGTACTGTATATACACATTCTACAATTGGTGACTAAATCTGCTGCAATATTACACGTAGACTGTCTCTTAAAAGGCTTGTATAATCAGTATATAATAGAGTAATTGAGTGGGGAACCATAAGGAATCGTGGGAATTGCGTGTATACAAGTGTTGGCACTGTCTGATTCGGAAACATACACATCGAGCTCTGGCAAATGCAGAGAAACATGAGAGTAGCGCACAGGCACTAAAAGTAGCACAGATATTCACAACTCAACCTCCCAATCTCCACAATGTGTCCCTCCATCTGCCCTCTGTGTCGGACCCTGCAGATGCTCCGAGCCACTGGAACAACCGCTAATGCAGCTCAAACACAATGCAAGTCGATGCACAAACACCAGGACTTTTACTGATTAACAACATCTGCCACAAGTGATTATCAGAGAGCTGGTTATACATGAACAAGAGGCACCTTAGAAAGCACATGTCCAAGAAATGTCTGTCTGTGCAGATCAATACAGTTTGTTTAGGTCTCTAAGTCCACAACCATATGGTGCCAGATACATTATCTTAAAAAGAAGAATGTTAATGAATAGTCTACAAAGAACTAAAGAAACTGCTATGCAATTAATGTTGATGATTTTTTGGTTAATGGATTCCATGGATGACCAAAATATGTACAAATAGACAAATTATGTTATTAACAAAAAGTAGGAAGTTAATGAGAAAAATCAGCTGAAGATTTAGTATTTATTTTGTTTTAGTGCAAAATAGAGCTCTTGATTCAAAGCTCATTTTTCTTATTAGTTTCTTTCTTATTTCTTGTTAGCCTTCAGTTGTTTTGCCTAGAATTTAAATCTGATAAATTAGTCAGATGGAATGATCAGACGTATAATCCATGTGGAAAAAACATTATCTCTGGTTTTCACTCAAATTAGTTGAATAATAATTTGTGTATTATTCAAATAAGCGTAGTTATTTACCAACCAATGTCATTTAAGTTAAACCATACATCCTGAATAGACCTAAAGGCTAATAATAAATCAGATAATCATTTCCATTTTAATTTTATCTTGCAGTTTTGCCTCAAATACAAGCTTACAAGAGTTCTTTTATCTCCCCCTTTACTTTATACAACATTTAAAACATTTGCCTGCACACGGCGCAAAGTTGGACAATCGTCTCTTCTTGCTTTTGGAAAATGTAACATAAGTGCATAAATCCCGCACCAGGGCTTGAGGAATGTGCCAAACTCTAATTGCCAACACAGCCTATCAAAACGAGCGCGTTCAGACCGGAAGTGTGGGGGTAATTCAAGAAATGCACGTACTCGAAGAAACAATTCATAAAAAGTAAGCTCCAGTGTGGCGCGCGGTGGTTTTACGCACGACTATGTGAAGCCAGGTCTCACAGACGCACCGAAGTCTGCATAAGTCCAAAGTGTTTTCCACTTATAGGGACGGGACTCAATGTACTTTTGGCATATGGGCGGTAAATCCAATCATAAAAACGCATTCTTTTACGCCAGCGAAGGGGCGCACGGGACATTCCTGGGGCTTACGGAAAGCAATAGTTGTGTGGTTGTAGCCAAAGTTAGTACGTCTATGACACATGTTAAAGACGCGAAGCAACATCTCTCGAGGTGGTTTAAAAGTCACTGCATCGGATTGGACAGCACCACCAATACGTATGTGTGTATATAAATAAATATCAGCGCTTATATTGAATTCGTAACGCAATCCATGTGAGATAGACCCACACAGCGACTATACAATATACAGGACAAAACCTATATTGACTACACAGGTGCAAATACCAAAAAAAGAGAGGCAGCTTTCCTCTCAGGCAAATGCACAGCAGCTATAGGCTCCATGTTCCTGCCAGGGCTAGGCGAGTCCCTGCATGGCGTAAATCATTCACAAAAAATCGCAGAAAAATCCGCAGATCGCACACTTACCTTGGCAGGCAGCTTCACCTGAACTTCGCGGAGCTCTGTACACTCCGTGCAACTCTGAAAAATGTTTTAGCTTATCGAGCGCCTCATTGGTTGGTACGAAATGGTATAATCTCACTCCCCTCCCCTCCCTTTTACGTCTGCCTCGCTCTTTCTAATCGGAAATGTGTGTGATCCCCCCTCACGCAGAGTCACGCAGCCCCCAGTTTGCAGCAGCTATAATGGAGAGGTTGTAGCAGCAGCAGTGCGTCGCATACTTTCTCTATTAAAGCATGCTTCGGAGGAGGGTTTTTCTCCAGACATTGGACCCCACCCAAAAGAAAGCGCACGGCGGACCACCCACTAGTCGGGAAAGAAGAGAAGGACAGACTGGTTTTGACGGGGTTCCTAAACTGGGGGCCGTGGGTGGGTATATAGAGAAAGCCTGGGAAGTTCCCTATACGAACACTGGCGAAGAAGGGGCATTGGGACAGAGGGGAGGGGGATCGGATACGGGCTGTAGTAGTGGATATAGCAAAGGAGGTTCACCGCGCTGATGCTATCTCTCCCTCATCTCTCTCTCTCTCGCTCTCTCTCTCTCTCTCTCCAACGCGCTTTCGTGGAACAAAATAGTCTTCTGCAGTGGTGTGTGTTGGGCCAGGTTTGTGTAGAGTGATGAGCTTGGAGAAGATGTGAAAAAAAAAATTCTAAATTATAGTAGGGATCCCGTTGGGAAATGTCTCAAAAATATGCATTTATCACGCTGCAATCTTCAACATGCTTAGATTTTTTAAATATTTTTTTATTCATGCTTCTTTATTTTGCTAAAGTTAGTTTTATTGTTATTGTTCACTTAATGTGCAGTGTGCTCCTCGTTATTAACAACATTATTTCTTGTTCTGTAATTATGTATTACTTATTATGTAATTATTTATATATATTTGACTATTTGTAATTATTTTTTGTTCTGTAACTGGTGATGCAACACTGACATTTCCCCGCTGTGGTACGAATGAGGGATCTATCTTATATTCTTAATATTATGAAAGGATTTGCTCCTGTGGTGAGACTGTATGTGTCATCTGAATACTTGGTAAATCCGTTTTGGTTTTTTTACTTTTCAAATGAACTGATCATGAATTCAATCAATACCTTTTATTCTAATGATGAGGCATATTGTTAAAGCTGGGGAACCTAATTTTTTAGGTAATAATGTTGTTCCAGTTCCAACAGAAATATTCTGGTAAAATAAAATTGTTGTGAACAAATCAGTCCACACCATAATGTCTTTATCTTTTTTGCACACTTGCCCTATTTCACCATTTGACAATTTGAGCTGAAACGGCCAATCAGCTGAGAGCTGATTGGCCGTTTCACTTCTCTGTCTGAAAAAGCTGATCCAAAACTGTGACAGGCGAAAAAATTAAGAAACAGACTGTTTTTGGAGCAAGGCACTAGTTAAATTCATATATTTTTGTGGTTTGAAAGTTAAAGGTGCACTCTGTACTTTTCAGAAGGCGTCTAGTACCTGCTCGTTGCCATGGAGATCAGATTTCTTTGCTTGAAATATTTGTCAGTATTACATAAAACATTATTACATTATTTAATTATAGATGTTTTACTGCTAAAAAACCTGATTTCTTACTTTGGTCTTGCCTCTACGCAGATATGACCTGTAACTTATTAAAGTCACTTGCTTTTTTCATGTTGTAGTTATTTATGTTATTAAATTAATACTTTATCATAGCACACAGCATTGTGATGTGTTTGGTGTCTCACTTCTGTCATCACCGTGTGTGGAGTAAAGTGAAATTTCCAGGGCACCATTGTAAAGTGTTTTGTGTGACCTTTGTCTGTGAAATGCGCTATATAAATAACTTACACAACCATAACAATTCACAAGCTGGAATTGCTCTACTGTTGATAATTCACAGGATGGAAAAGACAACATCTTGACAATGAGCTCTCTGCATTGTATGACAGAAGCAACTTGAATGTGCCCTCGGAGAGCACATACCCCGCCAACACCACGGATCCTCTCAATATTTCTTCCTGCCATTTCACAGTCCATCTACACATCTAATTTCAGCTTGATCCATGAGATTTTTCTTCAATCCTGGCTGAAGACGTCACACAAAGGCCATCACAATGGTGAAGTTATTAAGTGGAAGCAATATGGTTTTGTAGCTTTAGCCATTTAATAATTTTACATTGGAAAAAAGAGGAACTAATTATAACTGTAATAATAGTAATACAAACTTTAATAATGGCAGTAATGAAAGTATGTGTCTAGGTGTAAATTGTAAAAACAGTATAGCTTTTGTGCACTGACAGGACATTACTCATTTAAATGTTTTGAGTAGTTTAACACTTTTTAAGTCATTTTAAAACCGCACACTGTATGTAAAAGTATAATGTCATGTGTTACAGTCATAAGGTTAAAGTTATACACACACAGAATTAATCCTTTCCACAAAACCTGCATCTGTCTATCGTCTTGATTAATCCTCATGCATCTGGACGTGTTTTTTTTTTTTTTATAATCTGAACACATTTTTGCTCTGTTTAAAGATCTCAGTTTTCACTCTGCATGAGTCAAACATTAGAATCCCACTTGTTTCATATTTTCAAAATCATTTATGACTCAAAAAAACACACACACATTCCAGGCCGTGTGCCCCAGCGCTGCAGAAGTCACATCAGGTGAAAGTCCTGGCATGGGACCAGAACATAAAGCTTTATCAGCCACACTCCAGTGGCCTCAATGGCAGCGACCTGCAGGCGGCAGCTTCAATGGGAATATACAGGTCATGGCGGCGGTTTTGTTTCATGTTTGTGTGTGCTTTAAAGCTGGGGTACCTAACTTTTCCCCCACTTAAAAAATAATACATATGGTTTGTCCCAACTGAAAGAGTTTTGTAAAAATCAGTACTAAAAACATGTCATATTTTGCATTGTTCTTAGAAAGAGTTCTGATTTTGGTTTGCTCTTTGGGCTGAGAGCTGATTGGCTGAGTGAGGGCGGTCCTCTCTCTCTCACTTTTGTGTCTGAAAAAGCAGATCTAAAAATGGGAATGAGGAAAAAAATAAAAGTAGTGAAAGAATCAAACTGTTTGACTGTGAAAAACTAAGATGGATATTATTAGCTCCATTTTTTTATTTGCGAGTTAGGTTCCCCAGCTTTATGATTAATGTTAATGTTATAAATGTTAATGTTATAAAATCACCTGATATTTGTGTGTTCTTAGTTCACTTTTATATAAGAGTAATGTTAATAAATGTTAGGCAGATTTGTATTTATCTTTATGCATGCCTTATTTTTCCTTGTATAAATTGTTTGCACTGAGAGCCAAAGCAATTTTTGAGTTTGTGACTTCCTGTTACTCACAATGGCAATAATAATAATTCGGAGTCTGAAAATGTTCCGCAGAATGGCACTGAATGTGTAATCGCTGAAGCAACAAAGATCGCATTCTTTGGGTCCTGCTGGTTTAGAAAAAAATAACATAATGAGAAGACCATCAGAGAAAGACGTTTGCTTGAAATTGTGTTAAAATTTCAAATCAATTCAGTGTATTTTTGTACGTAGCCCTAAATCACAACAGCAGTCATTTCTGCGGCCTCTTTACAAAGTTGTCCATTCGCCAACACAGATCAGAGAATCAAAAAGATACAATAAAAACAGACACATAGGAGCCATTCGTCCAAAGGGGAAGATATCATTTCCATAATAATAAGAAAAAAATGGATTTAACCTGTTGCCATTGGCCAAAAGCTCATTAAAAAAACAACAACAACACAATTGCATGTTTTTTGGCGTTTATTATAAATTGTGATTGTAAAAATGAAATGAGATTGGTTCATCACAATAGAAAAACATTTTATGTCATTTGAACGGCAAACGGCACACTGCATCTCCCGCACCTTATTCTGATTATTATTTACATGTCACTTTACACTCACTCAAGGTTTGTTTGTTTTTTTCAATCATTTTTTGAACAACACAGAAAATCAATTTGTTAAAAATGAACAATGGGGAAAGAAGGCAAATGTACAAAAAATTATCTAAAATCGGTGGCGTCTCTGATTGTAGCACAAGAGACAATAGAAAGGTAAGACGGCCAAAAGGGAAAGAAGAAACACGTCTGAATGGATAAGGTTGGGAATGGGGGTGTGTGGGGGTGTGGGGGGTGAGGGGGAGGTCTGTTCTGATTCTCTGATGTTGGGGTTTGTTTAAGCTGGATTCCGTTGGCTCATCAGGACCGAGTTACACAAAAATCCTCCTATAGAAGTAGAAGGAATGTGCAGCGCATACAGTTCTGCATAAGGCACAAAGGCATGTCTTTTGGAGGAGGTGGGGGACAGGCATCAAAAGACAGCGCAGAGGAGGGATTTCTGTCCGAGAGGCTGGGGGCAAAGAAGGTATTTCTGCAGCTCCATTCACAGAGTGTACGAGAGAGAGAGAGAGAGAGAGAGCGGAGGGGAAAGAGGAGGAGGGGTGAAGGAAAGAGAAAGCGTGGGGAGTTTTAGCAAATTCAAGTACAGTAAAGCTTTATGTGTGGTATCTACTTTATCAAGGACACTTTTTTCTTACTGAATAAATACAATAACAGCCATTGTCAATTCATGTTCAATGCTGAGTTTGGGTTTTACACTTTTAGAGACTTTAATTTCCTCTTTTTTCCCATATTTCCATAAAGTTTGAATGAGAAGTTTGAACTTTATTTGCTACTTTGGTTATAGTTGATGCAGTGAGCAGTAGGAAAAAACAACTTTTCACAGATTTTGATCATATTATTGTAGTTTTCTCTTGTATTTTAACACTCAAAGTTGTTTAAGTGCGATTCATATGTTTGAGTTATTTATATCCTAATATACGCATGACGCCATTGCTCCCCTCACTCCTCCTCGCTGCCACCTCGCCCCCTCTCCCGTGTTTTTACTTTTCTCTTTTTGGAATCCATGATATGTAGAGGATTCACCCTCCTTGCGTGGCCATTTTTGCTCAAAGGGAAAGATATACTTGCGTCGTAACTTTGTCTGTGATGGAGAGATGCGGCCATGTTTCACTGATGAGTCTGTGGAAGTCTCTTTTAGAAGATCAACTTGGATCAATATTGAGATTTCATATGGACTAAACATGTATGTATCATAGGTGATAATCACATATAGTATTAGTAAGTAGAGTATTAAATCCCACTCAATTCTACAGATGTGTAAATTGAAGCCATGTTTCAGAAGAACCGCAGGAAGGTAATAACCTCACAAAACCTTATATTGTCTGCTATCGAAGCACCCAATACTTTTAATGGAACCGCTGACTGCTCTAATGCTTTTCTAATCGTGAGTTTTTTCGTGATTGATAAGGTATTTTGAGACAGAAATAGTGTTCCCAACTTCTTGTTGACAGCCAACTTCAGTAATGTTTTAAAGAAATGGTATGTTTCTGAAATCATTTGAAAATATCTTGCCTTTGCTTTGTTTGTGTGAGAATGACTTTACTTCAAACATTTTAACAATTTTAACACTTTTAAGAAACTTTGCATGATACACTTTGGCTCATGTCCTTTGAGGAAGAGGAAAACTCATATGACCATGAGAAATAAGATAAAATGTTGAGAGATGAGACTAGAAGAGAAGAGGGAGACAATTAAAGCTGGGATACCTAACTTTTCAACCACAAAACTGTGACTATGAAATTACATTGTAAAACTTTGGTTCTATCACTAGTTTTTACACGCTTGTATTATAGGCCTGTGTTTTCTTTATAAGATAAAGAAAAGATCCTGTGGACTGAGTTGTTCACTCAAGTCCCTCTCTATTGGAACAAACTACATATAATAGTTACGAAACAAAAGTGAGGTACCCCCACTTTAACACAACCTCATATTTATCTCCTTACAACTACTTTAACAATTGAAAACGATGCTTAAGCACTCCCCCTCCATTCCTGTAACTTGTGAGTCTCTTTAAGCCATCTCCATGACCTTCTTGATCCAGTCCACATAGACCGACACTCGGATGAAGATGTTGGGCTGTCCCGGGTGACCACAGCGCCTCATGGGGATAATCACTCCCTCCAAAACCCAGCAGTCCCGGTTCTGACAGGCCAGAGGTCCTCCGTAGTCCCTCTGTGGAGAAGACACAACACAAAACAGCAGCTCACACTCATGTTTTGTCTTTGTTATGGCTGACTGTCACTGGACATGTCGTGGGGAACATCTCGCAGTCTCGTCTCGTCCCATTACGCGGCTAGAGGAGAGAGGGCGATTTGTTTAAAGGGTCTATGAATAGCACCACGCTCCGGGTTTGATCGTCATAAACGTTGTCAAAGAGTAACAGTGTTCTTGAAGTTAAAAACATCAGAGCGGCTGTTGTAAATGTCACCGGAAAGACAGTGTTTAAGTTGGAGTGGACACATTTCAATTTGTTTGGTGCTTTTAAGTCAGAAGCAAAAAACTTTACAATGCACAGAGCAATGCAGAGAGCAATGCAAAGATGTAAGGAACTTTGGACAAAACACTTGAAAACAGGTTTGTTTTTTAACCTGATATTATCCCTAAATCTTCCCATTTGGCCTACAAGTCTAAAATAGGGCTCCTCTGGCTTTAAAACCGGTACCTAGCAAACAATTTTCACTTTAATGGCTTCCTCAACTATTTGGTAGATCACCTTTTGAGCATACATATACCTCTTTGGGGGCATCTCACTTGGTTTTAGGACTTTTAAATCCAACTGCATCTTATCTCAAATTGGTAAAGGCCTTTAATAAAACAAAAATAGGGGTTCAAACTAATTATTTGCGTTAACAGTGCTCCTACATCTTAGAAAATCAAAAAAAGAAAAGAAAAACACATTGATTGCTTCAAGGAGTGTATGTTAAGCAAGGTCGGGCCTGGTTGTTACTGTGATGGGAGACCTCTGGGAACACCACAACGTCAAACTGTGGAGACAGTAGTAGTTTACACCACCGTACAAAGTGTGAAAGTATAATGCCAAGTGAAAAGTGTCCAAAAAGCTTATTTCTTTTAGTTTTACGTTGAGCAGATTTCCATATTTGATGTTTGTATCTTCTGTCTTGGACCTGTGTTTTAATGTTTGTGTTCTTTTTGAAGAATACATCAAAGAAAATGGCAAAGCCCTCCAACCTATTTCTTTGGAGAGCTACTGTTTTTGGGACAAGACTGACAGAGAGCTACTTCTTTTAGACAGTCAAAAAAAGTTTGACAATCTAACAAAATGAAGCAACCAGCTATAGTCTTATTTCCAGCTCATGTATTATAAGTTCTAATAACAAATCTTGTTTTAAGACGGTCAAAATGTTCTTTAAAAAAAAGTTTGACATTTTTTGTTGTGTTCAAATGAAATCAACAATGTTTGTATTTACTCATTAAATGAATTATCCTTTGGGGAGATACTTTGGAGAGGGTGGCACGCTACCAGCTCCCACAGTTTGAGAAACACTGCCTCAAGGCTAAAACCAGGTGTCAAAGCATCAGGGTGTGTTGTACCTCGCAGGCGCCCACTCCTCCCTGGAAGGAGCTGGTGCACATCTCGTTCTCGCGGACTCGGCCTCTGAAGTACTTGTTGCATTCCTTGTTGCTCAGAACTGGAATGTGGGCCACGTTGAGGACCGTGTCGTCCCCGGTGCCTGAGCAGAGGCAGAGGACAGCAGCTGATGCACACAGATGTTCAGGGCCTGTATAAATAGTCATACCAGCTGCCGCGCTTGGCTCCAAAACATCTTTTAATTTAGACTGAACTTTTGTGTATAGATTTATGACTTCCTCCAAGTGTTTTGAGTTGTTGGACTGTTCTGGTTACTGCAAGGTTACCAGTATTTTCAAACATCACTACTTTACGTCAATACAGAGGCCTTTCTGAACCAGCACCAGCTAAGCACTATTTCTCTCCAAAAGTGAGTTTTTTGATTGTTTAGATTATTATGGAGTTGATTAAATCTTAATTACAATATATGGCCCACAACTACAGATTATGAACACACATTTTTTTGAATCACAAACTGTAAATGAATACCAATAGATGAAGTTTTAAATGCAAAAAATGTGTGTAGAAGGGATAAGTACTGTAAAAGAATAACCTAAGATTTGTGAATGTCTTGACCTTTAAAATAAAATTTGACAGAGGTAAAAGCAGTTTTAGTTTTATTTCAAGGAGAATTGCTAATTTCTCGAGATAAATTGCTTGCCTGACTTAATGTATAGTTGAAACGTTGATAAATTTGTTCTTTTGTATCTTTCTCGTTCTTTTATACCCAAATACATTTCTTGTGTGCTCCCTGTGTGCTCTCACTACTGCCCTGTATGTGCACTGCAACATTGAAATTTCTCCACTGCGGGACCAAAAAAAGGTCATCTTATCTTTTCTTATCAAATACAGCTTTGTGTTTTAACCAGTTATATGTTGCGCGCTGATGTGTGGCCTAAAGCTCAGTCCATGTTTCAAAGTGTGGACACCCCGCACTCTAAATTGAAGTACAATGAAAAGTCATGCAATGTTTTTAAACGGGATTACACACGTACCTTTTGTCTCGCCCCATCCCGCGATCTCACAAACCGTCCCCTCTGCCACAATGTACCTCTCGGGCGGGAGGCAGATCTGGGAGATACGCTCATTAAATAGCGCTGGGCTGCGGAGGAAGAAGAAAAAAAGTCCAAATGGATGGTCATGCCTGTTCATACATGTGCTTTAAGAGTGTGCATGTGTGCATGTGTGTGTGTGTGTGTGTGTGTGTGTGTGTGTGTGTGTGTGTGTGTGTGTGTGTGTGTGTGTGTGTGTGTGTGTGTGTGTGTGTGTGTGTGTGTGTGTGTGTGTGTGTGTGTGTGTGTGTGTGTGTGTGTGTGTGTGTGAGGGGTGGGGAGGGCTCACTATTCCAGTTGTAGCATGACGAGTTGAGACTCTGAGGGTCCGCACACGATCTTGGTGAGAGGGATTGTCTGCACACCAGGTTCTCCTTCAGCAGGTTTACTGAATAAAGTCCCCATCATGGCAGAGTAACCCGGCAGATCCACGTAACTGACATAAAAAGAAAAAGCTGAACATGACAGACATACTGTATGAAAGACATTAAAGGGAAAGGCTGTTTGTTTATTTTGGACTGAAAGAACCACCCTCACTCAGTCAGTCAACCAGCTCTCAGCCCAAAGCGTCAGATAGTGACTCACGGGGCTCATTCATACCTATGATAAAATATGAAATGTTTTCTAATGAGATTATTACAAATGTTGGGATCTGGTTTGTTCAGACATGTTACTTTTACGTAATATTGACAAAAACTATGCCTCATTAATATTGCTGATGGGCTCTGCGATCAACAAGAAAGGAAACTAAAAATCTCTCTCACTCTGATCAATCTCAATCTTCAATTCATTTTGGTCGTGGGTTTGAGCCCACTATTGAGCCCATTGCCTGAGGTCCCTGCTAAAAGATTGAGGCTGTGTCGTCATTGACAGAGCAGCCATCCTCCTGTGGATCCACCACCTGCAGGAGGATCAGTGAGGGGCTGGTGCTCTGTGAATTGGGGGCAGCTCTAACTGCGACCCCCGATCCAGAAATGGATTAAAGGGAAGAAAATGAATGGATGGATTATGCATATTTAAAACAAACGTTTAAACTTTAAACTTTAAAGTTTGGTGCAGCAAAATAGTTTTAAAAGCCATAAAATGTATGGTTTTGTTAGGATTTAAAAACCCGACTAATGTTAACAATACAAGGTTTGTTACAATTCTTTACATTCTCTACTACATTCAGAAATGACACACAGGATTTTACAACAATAAAACATAATACTACTTCATGATGTTTGCAAAGCTGCTCTGTGTCTTTAAGTGAGCGGATGTTTACCAAGAGGAGAAGCACTGTTTGGTGCTGATCACCCATCTGGGGTTAACCAGGGACCCTCCACAGAAATGGTTTCCTTTCCTGCAAATAATGAGGGAAGAGGTCATTCTCAGTGCCGCCCTGCTCTTCTTGTTAATCATAAACTATGGCCGCTCACCTGTCTCTGAGGCTCACGGTCCAGGGAGAGTTCCCAGGGACTCCTCCCACGATACGCAGCTGGGACCTGGGCACACGGTCGTCCCTCTTCCCACACTCACTAAACTCCACCCTCTCTGTAACCACACAGAAGAATGATCAGACGGAACGGGTCGTGTTGGTTTGATGCTTGTATCCTGAGAAACTGACCCACTGGTTCAGTCATTGACACCTTCTCGCCGGCTGAAATCAAAGAGGCATATTTATTATTAACCAGAGAATCGGTCTTCAGTGAGTCTCCAGTGAGCGCGGTTTACCACACTGTTTAATGGCGCAGTAGTCAAACTCGGTTTTGGGGTCTGACGTGTAGCACCAGGGGCCGTGCTGGTCCCCGTCCGGGTTTTGACAGTAGTTCTCCGTTAGATTGGCCTCAGGGTGAGTCCGGGGGTTAATCCTGGAAAACAAAAAACATTGCTGATATTAGCTGGCGATGGCATGATGAAGTAGAAAATGATCTTACTTTGTCCGATGAGGCGTGTTGACGTTCCACTTCTGGCAGGTGATGCCTTTACGTGTTTTACGAACGGTTCCTCTGTAGTTTTTTCCATTTTCATGATAACAATCTGAATGTTTGGAATTGAAAGCACTTCGTTTAATGTTGAATTTTGTCCCAATAGAAAGAGTCTTATAAAAGTAAAATGTAGTAACACGTCAGTCTTCATCTGATTAGTAAACATCTTTGGGATACATAAAGAGCCCACTGAGTTTCTATATATTGGCTGAGTGAGGGTGGTCCTCTCTTATTCTGTCTTTAAAAGATGATCTAAAGATGTAACAGAGGCCAACATTTTTATTTTTTTTAAAGTGAAAACTAGGAATAGAACTAAACTCTTCTGAGAGCAAAGAATTAGTACGTTTTATGCACTTATAAATACGTTATAATTGAAATAAATCTATTTATTTATTCACTGTTTTAGAAGAAAGTTATTTACCTTGTGTATGAATTGTACTATACAGATAACATTGGCTTGCCTATTTCTGAAGTTATAGTTCATCTGCCATTGCTCAAACTACCCCTTATTTCACTTGTACACACATAGAACTCTTTACTTACTTTGTTCATAGATTGTTCCCCATTAGTCTGTGATAAAGAATTCAACAGCTGCACATTCATAATGGAACTTTGAAACTACCTTTATCTGCTTTTTTGTTCTGGTGTGTCCTAGTGTGTCCTGTATCCTGGTTTAGTAATGGTAAATAAATATGTGGGCGTGTACGGTGAAATGGCATTCCCCCACGCAGTAAATAATTAAATAACTTTTATTTATTGACCTTTAGTTAACCAGGAAAGTCCCTGGTTGAATAAAGAGAGAGGGGAGCTGTTGTATATGTTTTTAGTGGTGAGGAAACCTATGCAAACAAAGGGAGAACATGCAAATTCAAACCCAGGACCTTCTGTCTGAGAAGGAAGTGTACTAACCACTCACACCCACATTAATATTGAGATAAGACGCAAGAATTTAATCCCTTTTTTAATGAACTGTGGTCATTTTTCGTAATCCCTTGTGTGATTTTAACATTTTAATGTTTTTAATTACCTGTGAGATTTATAATTGTGCTTTAAATTTGTGTGTTGTGTGATGTGGATTGTGAAGCGCTTTGTCTCTTCCCTACATAACTATATGGATAGATATTTTTGTATAGCATATAGAATGGCAATAGCATATATTATCTTTCTTAAAATCTTTCAAATGTAGTGAAAATGAGTGAATGTTTTCTGATTCACGACCGACCTTCAGCCTCGATGTCGTCTGCGCAGCGTTTTATCTGTAAACACAGCGCTGTCCTCATTTTAGACACCGACGTGAAGCACCAGGGGGCCTCGGAGCCGTCTGGGTTCCTGCAGTAGTTCTCCTCCAGACCCCTAAACATTACATCCACAATCATAGTAATACACTCAAACAACCTGATTCTACATTTCCATCTCAAGTCAACATTGTAAAGCTTTTTTCACACTGCAGACCCGTGTTGAAATGCCGTGTCGACGTAGGACAAAGTGGGAAGGGGAGTTGGATTGTTTTGATTGGAACGTGGCAAAGTAAAGGGGTCAAAACAAATGATCAGTCTGCTATTGTCAGCCAGAGTCACGTTGAGTGGAGAAATGAGACTTGAAATTAGCATTCTCACAATTGATTTTAGCTCACCCCGACTTAAAACATGCCTCTGCAAAAAAACGACCTTGTGAGGCAGGTTAACAGGCGAGTTATTCAGACACACCCGCTCATGTCGCTCTGTATGTGTTAAAAGGAGACCTGGAGTAGCGGTGTTTTTGCTCAGTGGGAATGACCTTTTAACAATTGTATAATGAAAATGAGAGTGAATAGCTAGTAATTGACTATGGCATGAAAAATGGCAGAGTTTATTATTCATTTCACATTCTCATTGGGACTCTGTGAGAGGCTTTTAATGTGGCAGCGCTAACATCTATCATCATCTGTCAGAAACAAGGCCACGGCAATGACAGCTCCTCTCTCCGATTGTTATGCAAATTACGTTGACATATTACATTATCTTAGACTTTGACCAACTCCAGATTTACTTTGAGTGGGACGCAATTTCATGTTGATTAATGTAAAGTATAAACTTCTAATATAAGTGTTTCTTTTCTAAGCCAGTAGTTAAATTACTTTGAATTCTTGGACGATGGACAATGAAGTTTTCCTTTAATTTTATGGAAATTGGTGAGTTTCTAATTATATAAAATTATATATTTGGGGTAAATTGTTCCAAATGACCAAATATAACCGACTGAGATTAGCTATGCAGACATGGGGAGAACTTTTTTCCAAAACCCATAAATAAAATCACAGACAGTAATGATATTTTTCTGTATAAGAACATGGTCCTCAGTGGACATGGAGCTCACTTGCACTCGTAGGTGTTGGGGTAGAAGGGGTGCTCGTGCGGGTCCTGTGCGTCCCAGCGCTGGCAGGGGATCCCGGAGGTGGTCTCGTTGACTCTGCCGCGGTAATCCTCCCCTCGGCCGCGGAAACAGTTTGTGGTGAAGCTCGAGCGCTGACGCTTCTCCACTCGCACCTCAGCTGAGCAGAGAATCCAGGTAAATTTGTTTATCACAATGTTTTTCTTTTCTATAGGCTGCTCTCAGGCAATTTCCTAAATTAATAAAAGGTCTTTATATTGACAGTTTGGTTTTCCTTTAGTATATGTGTGTTCTGTCTCAGTTTGGACCATTCACTCACAGTTTGATCCATTTGTTTGAATCTCATTTGTTCAATGTCCAGTTTCTTTAGGTTATTCCTGCCACAGACCACTAGAGAGCGCTGGTGCTCTGTGAGCATGTTGCAGGAGCTGATGAAAAGCCCAGTATTTGGCAATCCATGAAAATGTTGAAATTTAGGACAATTTATGTTTGTTCTTTCACGCTAATTATGTAAGATCTGAATAACTAAAAGAAGATCTTCCCTGAGAGCAGTAATGTGTGAATAAAAGTGAAATCCAGTGCATCCCCTCAGACAAGGGCAAAGCGTTACTTTTGGAAAGCAATTTGCTTAAACTACTAAAGGTGATCTTTCTAAATGCAATTACACTTCCAGATAATGAGACTCCTGCAGTTAAATAATGTCTTACGGCTCCACAGGAACCAGCCCATATTAGCTTCTGTCTCATTTGTTTAAGCAGACCACACTAATGATGAGGACAGTGTTTCACCACTGAGAAATACTTGCATTTGGTTGCACTATTATGCATTGTAGCTACTGGAGCAATTAATGAGCATATAGAAAAAAGGTTTGTTTGTTACCCAAGTTGATACTGACAAGAAGTATTTTCTTGTTTCCGTTATTTTCTTCACAAACTGTAGATTTTTTGAATTATATTTATAATATATATCCTTCCACCGTCTAAAGTTACATACGAAAATTATAAAACCAGTCTTTTGCCCTTTAAGTCATTAATCCTCTTTTTAACAACTTACACAAAGGCTGCACTTGCCGTCCATTATCATTAATAACTTTCCATCTATGACAAATGTGACTTGTACATCTCTCCATTGTGAGATCAATAAATTGATCTTATCTTATTGAGAGAATGGAGCCCATACTCACTGCACTTCCTGATCTCACAGTTCTCCCTCTCCACCTCCGGGTCCGTGGTGTAGCACCAGGGCACGGGCGACGCGTCCGGGTTACGACAGTAGTTATCGTCCAGGCTTTTGTCTGGGTACCTGAAGAAGAAAACCACATTTTCAGATAGTTTTTACTGCTGTGTTGATCCATCAGCAATTTCAAATCAATTCAATGCATTCCTTTCTCCATCTTGCCAAAATGTGTTCAAATATGTAACCCATATATTATTTTGAGATTAAACAGTTCATTTTCCAAAAAAGTCAGCCCATACACATGACATGCACTGGGGTTACATGACATTTGATCTTGATGTTTGACGCTTCTGTTATTACAGTATAATATTAGTCACATAAAATGACAAAGGATGAGAAATTTGCAGTAAAAGTAGAACTGAGAAACTGCCCAGAATAAGTAATTACAAACAATTAAAAACAAAACACAATGAACTAGAAAGCGTTTGACGGGTGCCAGTCCAGAACTAAACACAGTAATACGGCTCTGACTGGTGGGTTCTTTATACAATAAAGGAAAAGGAACAATTAATAATAACAATTGTAAACCGCTTTGAGACTCCGATGTGCAGTGAAAAGGCGGTATATAAATAAAGATTACTTACTTACTTACTTAATTACTGAAAAGTATAGCTCCAGTGCTAAGTGCTAATACATAATAATAATAATAATGCTTTTGTTTTATACAACGCTTTTCCAGAATACTCAAAGACGGTTCATATGTTCATATATGTTGTGTATGTTGTTGTATGGTGGTGATTAACTACTACTGTAGCCACAGCTGCCCTGGGGCACACTGACAGAATTCAAGGCAACCAGTATGTGCCATCTGTGCCTCCAACCACCACCAACCATTCACACACACACCAGACTCATTCTAGGCAATGTGGGGGAAGTGTCTTGCCTAAGGACACAACAGCAGTTTGGCACTACAGCCACAGCCGCCCCACTGATCCCAGAGGTCTTCCATCACATCCTCATAGTTCCCAGGCCTCAATAATAGAAGATTCAGATTCAGATTCAGTTTATTTGCCAATACATTAGCAAAAAGTCTCCAGTGTGCACAGACAAATACAGACATAAAACAACATTAAAAGACAGAAATAAAACAGTAAACAAAAGTCACTGTGAAATCGATCGACTAAAACAGTTTCAAAACAAGTGCAAATCATTAAAGTGCTCTGTTCACACTGATAACAGCTTGTGGATAAAAACTGTTAGCGTAACAAGATGTCCTGCATCTCAGAGAGCGATATCTTCTGCCAGATGGAAGAAGCTGGAACATGGCTTTTCCAGGGTGGCCAGAAGAGTCATTAACAATCCTAAGAGCTTTGTTTAAAAGTCTGGATTTATAAAGAACCTCCAGAACAGGAAGCTCACAGCCCACGGTCCTCTTTGCAGAGCGGAGCACCTTGTTTAAAGCTCTCTTTTCTTTATCTGTGATGTTTCCAAACCACACAGACACAGAACCAACAAGTAAACTCTCAATGGTGCAGCGATAAAAGTTAAGCAGAATCTTAGAGTTAGTGGTAAATTCTCTAAGTTTACGCAGAAAGTAGAGATGCTGACGAGCTTTCTTAACAACTCGGTCAGTGTTTTTAACCCATTTCAGGTTAGACAGAGTTAAACCCAGAAACTTTCACTCCTCTACGATCTGCACCTGGGAGTTGTCGATTACGACAGGCAAATGAGAACTATTGCGACTGAAGTCGTAGACCAGTTCACATGTTTTCAATGCGTTCAACTGGAGGTTGTTAGTTTTACTCCACTGAACCACATTTTGTATCTCTGCTCTATAAGAGGATTCATCATTGTCACTGATGAGACCGATGATGGTGGTGTCATCAGCATATTTGATGATCAAGTTTGAGTCAGAGGAGGACACACAATCGTGAGTGTACAAAGTAAATCTTGAACTGTGTCTTCATTTCGATGAGTAAAACATTCTCAGTGAAAGTCGGTGCTATTCACATCAGTTGTAAAAATAAAAATAGTAGTTTAGTAGTTGGGCGGCAGCGGTTAGAGCCTGGGTTGGATTCCACCTCCAGGCCTTTCTATGTGGAGTTTGCATATTCTCCCCAGGTTTCCTCCGGGTGCTCCGGTTTCCTCCGGGAGCTCCGGTTTCCTCCGGGTGCTCCGGTTTCCCCTACCACTAAAATATGTACAATAGGTCTGTTTGTAATGAGTGAGTGTATGGATGGTGTTGGTTGGAGGCTTTGATACACCAGTGTGACCGGCGTCTCGCGTCACACACAGTGATGATGGGAGAAAGAAAAACATATCTGAACTCTGAACATTGTAAAGCGCTTTGGGTGACTTTGGACTTGGGTCAGTAAAATGTGCTATATAGATAAAATAAACATAGTAGCAGTAGTTTGTGGTACTTTTCAGGCTGGTAGATGTGCTGGTGCGGATATTGCTGGTCCCATCTCTGACACTCTCTGCCGTTCACAGTGTGGTCCACTTGTCCTCTGTAGTCCTCCCCGTTACACGTGATACACACCTCTGGAACACACAACACACAACACGCACAGCATGAGGCCTTTCATACAAAACTGCTCAAAAATAAAGCTTATACAATGATGCGCTTTAGTTTTTCAGCCATTTGCTTGTCTCCATGGTGATGAAATGTAAAAACCCAAAAAGCTGAAATCCTCCATAAGATGATAACACAGAAATAGATCAGTGTAGATTGTGCTATACAGATCAACTTTCCATGTCTAATGTGTGGCAGCTCCAGAAACCGTCACCTACTGTATATAGGGCTATTAGTGTTTTAGTGGTATTTTGTGCAATTTAATTTGAATGTCAAAACTGCAATCAAAAACAAATGTATCTAAAATAAATAATAAAAGGCCTGCGTTTGTAATTTTTGTCTTCTTTGCTTGAATTTATTTAACCTTGTGTTTCGGACCTGATTTTTTTAAGCGAAAGTGATTTATTTTTTCACTTTTTTAGTCACAGTTTCTGGAGTATTGCTTTGATAATGAAGCAGATTTTTTATTTTCGGCCAAAGTACATTGCATTCAACATGACCTGATAAAGTGCACTGCAGAAGTCAAAATATGGACTAGATAAATATACATTGAAAGACATTCTGCATATTAACCAGAAACTAAAGAACGGATATATGAGATTAACCTAATTGTGTACATATTTCTTATTGCTTGATGCTTGATATTTTTTCAGTGCAAAAGCTTTTCAAGGCATGAAACATTTTGGCAATCACAAATCAGGAAAAAACTCTCTGTGCTTCTGAATAACACATGTTTGGTCCCTGATCAACAGTCTGATTTTTATTTATTTTTTATAAATCTGGTCATGCAAGTGTAAAAGTATTTGTGAAAGGTAATACTCTTCATTTATGTACAATTTGAATAGTGAATAAATCAAATAGACACATTTGTGAGTTATTATTTCCAACAACATTTTGTGATTAATATCAAAACAACCATTATTTTCTAACAAGTTGACACTCGCTGAAACTCCCTCCCTTCAGTGATGCATAAAAGTGATCTCACATTTAGAACAAAATCTATATTTCCACTAAACACAACGGCTCACAACTTTCAGAAAATGTTTGAAGAGCTAAATACAGGGTAATTGTGTATAATGAAATCCATCCATCCATTTTCTTCCGCTTTATCCGTTGCCGGGTCGCGGGGGCAGCAGTCTAAGCAGAGACGCCCAGACTTCCCTATCCACACACACTTCCTCCAGCTCGTCCGGGGGGACCCCTAGGCGTTCCCAGGCCAGCTGAGAGACATAGTCCCTCCAGCGTGTCCTAGGTCTTCCGCGGGGCCTCCTCCCGGTGGGACGTGCCCGGAACACCTCCCCAGGGAGGCGTCCAGGAGGCATCCGGAACAGATGCCCGAGCCACCTCAACTGGTTCCTCTCGACGTGGAGAAGCAGCGGCTCTACTCCGAGCTCCTCCCGTGTGACTGAGCTCCTCACCCTATCTCTAAGGGAGCGCCCAGCCACTCTGCGGAGGAAGCTCATTTCGACCGCTTGTATCCGCGATCTCGTTCTTTCGGTCATTACCCAAAGCTCATGACCATAGGTGAGGGAGGGAACGAAGATTGACCGGTAAATCGAGAGCTTTGCCTTTCGGCTCAGCTCCCTCTTTACCACAACGGTCCGATACAGCGACCGCATCACTGCGCACGCTGCACCGATCCGCCTGTCAATCTCACGCTCCATTCTTCCCTCACTCGTGAACAAGACCCCGAGATACTTGAACTCCTCCACTTGAGGAAGGACCTCTCCACCCACCTGAAGAGGGCAGGGCACCTTTTTCCGGTCGAGCACCATGGCCTCAGATTTGGAGGTGCTGATTCTCATCCCAGCCGCTTCACACTCGGCTGCAAACCGTCCCAGTGAATGCTGCAGGTCCTGGTTCGTTGGAGCCAACAGGACAACATCGTCCGCAAACAGCAGAGATGAAATCCTGTGGTCCCCGAACCGGACCCCCTCCGACCCCTGGCTGCGCCTAGATATTCTGTCCATAAATACAGTGAACAGAACCGGTGACAAAGGGCAGCCCTGTCGGAGGCCAACATTCACCGGGAACAGATCTGACTTACTGCCGGCAATGCGAACACAGCTCTGGCTCCGGTCATACAGGGACCGGATGGCCCTCAGCAGAGGACCCCCGACCCCGTACTCCCGGAGAACCCCCCAAAGGACACCCCGGGGAACACAGTCGAACGCCTTCTCCAAATCCACAAAGCACATGTGGACAGGTTGGGCGAACTCCCATGAACCCTCGAGTATCCGATGGAGAGTATAGAGCTGGTCCAGTGTTCCGCGACCGGGACGAAAACCACACTGCTCCTCCTGGATCCGAGATTCGACCATCGGCCGTAGCCTCCTCTCCAGTACCTTGGAGTAGACCTTACCGGGGAGGCTGAGGAGTGTGATCCCACGATAATTGGAACACACCCTCCGGTCCCCCTTCTTATAGAGAGGGATCACCACCCCGGTCTGCCACTCCATTGGCACCGCCCCCGATCGCCACGCGATGTTGCAGAGACGTGTCAGCCAAGACAGTCCTACAACATCCAGAGACTTTAGATAATCAGGGCGGATCTCATCCACACCCGGAGCCTTGCCACCATGGAGGCTACCAACCACCTTGGTGACCTCAGCCAGGGAGATGGATGTATCCGCCCCAGCATCCTCAGCCTCTGCCTCTGAGACAGAGGACGTGACGGGGGGATTGAGGAGAACCTCAAAGTATTCCTTCCACCGCCCGACAATATCCCCCGTTGAGGTCAGCAGCTCTCCACCCGCACCGTACATGGTGTTGGCAAAGAACTGCTTCCCCCTCCTGAGGCGCCGGACGGTTTGCCAGAATTTCTTTGAGGCTGACCAATAGTCATGCTCCATGGACTCTCCGAACTCCTCCCAGTCCCGGGTTTTTGCCTCTGCAACAGCCCGGGCTGCGGCACGCTTGGCCTGCCGGTACTGGACAGCTGCCTCAGGAGTCCCCCGAACCATCATGGCTCGATAGGACTCCTTCTTCAGCCTGACAGCTTCCCTTACTGCCGGTGTCCACCACCGGGTTCGGGGGTTGCCGCCGGGACCAGCACCAGAGACCTTGCGACCACAGCTACGGGCCGCCGCATCGGCGATTGAGGCAGAGAACATGGTCCACTCGGACTCCATGTCCCCCTCCTCCACCGGGACCTGGGAGAAACTCTCCCGGAGGTGTGAGTTGAAAGTCCGTCTGACAGGGGGCTCAGCGAGACGTTCCCAGCAGACCCTCACTATACGCTTGGGTCTGCCAGGTCTGACCGGCTTCTTCCCCTGCCAGCGGATCCAACTCACGACCAGGTGATGATCGGTTGACAGCTCCGCCCCTCTCTTTACCCGAGTGTCCGAGACACGCGGTCGAAGGTCAGATGATACGACAACAAAGTCGATCATCGACCTCCGGCCTAGGGTGTCCTGGTGCCACGTGCACTGGTGGACACCCTTGTGCTCGAACATGGTGTTCGTGATGGACAAACTGTGACTGGCACAGAAGTCCAACAACTGAACACCGCTCGGGTTCAGATCAGGGGGGCCGCTCTTCCCGATCACCCCTCTCCAAGTGTCACTGGCGTTTCCCACATGGGCGTTGAAGTCCCCCAGGAGAATAACGGAGTCCCCGGGCGGTGCACCGTCCAGTACCCCTCCCAAGGACTCCAAGAAGGCCGGGTACTCTGCACTGCTGTTAGGCCCGTAGGCCGTCACAACAGTGAGAGACTTGTCCCCCACCCGGAGGCGGAGGGACGCGACCCTCTCATTCACCGGGGAGAACTCCAACACGTGGCGGCTGAGATGGGGGGCAATGAGAATGGCCACCCCAGCTCGCCGCCTCTCCCCGCGGGAAACACCAGAAAAGTGGAGCGTCCAACCCCTCTCAAGGAGTTGGGTTCCAGAGCCCAAGCTGTGTGTGGAGGTGAGGCCGACTATCTCTAGTCGGTATCGCTCAACCTCCCCCACAAGCTCGGGCTCCTTCCCCCCCAGTGAGGTGACGTTCCACGTCCCGAGAGCCAGCTGTTGTGTGTGTGGACTGGGTCGTCGAGGTCTCCGCCTTCGACTGCTGCCCAGTCCTCTCTGCACCATGCCACCACGGACCCCTCTGCAGGTGGTGGGCCCACAGGAGGGACTGCCCACGTCGTCCATTCGGGCTGAGCCCGGCCGGGCCCCGTGGGCTAAGGCCCGGCCACCAGGCGCTCGCCTACGAGCCCCGACCCCAGGCCTGGCTCCAGGGTGGGGCCCCGGCTGCGCCATGCCGGGCGACGTCACTGGTTTCGTATGAGTGCTGTCCATGGTGTCTTCTGGACTGCTCTTTGTCTGACTCGTCACACGAGACCTGTCTGCCATGGGAGGCCCTACCAGGGGCATGAAGCCCCAGACAGCATAGCTCCCAGGATCATCCGAGTACTCAAACTCCCCCACCACGTTAAGGTGGCAGTCCAGGGGGGAGTATAATATAATGAAATCAACATTCTAATTATTTTGCACTTATAAAAATAGTGGGGTTGGCTGAATACCATCTTTGCACTGTGGGATGTTGCAGCTCTCATAGCGGCGCTCGGGGTCCGTGGTGTAGCACCAGGGGCCAATCCGGTCCCCATCCGGGTTCCTGCAGTAGTTCAGCTCCAGGCCGTTAGTGGGAGACGGGGTCCACCTGAAAGACACACATACAGTAACTTGACCTCCTCTCAAAACCTTCCATGTAAATGTTTAGAGAATAGAACCGATACCTGTGATCATGAGGGAACTTGGACCACCACTGCTGGCAGGTCAGACCACTCTTTGTGCTGAAGACTTTCCCTCTGTAGTCTTCTCCTTGACCCACAATGCACTTACGCACATAGACTAAACACAAAGAGCAGTAGTTAATTCATTAAAAAAAATCCATCCATCCTCTTCAATTTTGTTCATTTCTGGGTCGGGGGAAGGAGGTGGGGGTGGCTGCTCTTTTAGTGAGAGCATAGCCTTGATCTTTCAGGGGGCCTCAGGCAAAGTGGGGTTAAGTGTCTTGCCCCAGGACACAACAACAGCAGACATCAGTGAGAGTCGGTGGAGAAGGTCTCATGGTGGACTCAAACACATGACCTTCAGGCTCAAAGGCCAATGCTCTACCAACTGAGCCATTACCCGCCCTTCATCAATGTTGTGATGTCTACCTCGTACTTATCTGAGCCATTGCCTGAAAAAAACGAATACATGAAAATATGAACTCACGCTACCACAGCAAAACCAGAAAATCCCCATAAAGCTGGTTCTGTCATGGGGAGTCCACTGCCCACAGCAGGTCACAAAGAAACAGCCGCTCAATAAACTCAGATCCATCAGGGGCCCACAGCAGCTCCTTCAGTCAGAGAATCATCACTCTGACTCACAAATACTTTAATTCCTGCTCCAATAAGACTGCTTAAAGTAAGTGGGAATAAAATAATACACACTTCTATAATTGATGATAATGATGATGATGAAATCTCCATTTTGAAACTTTGTCAAACAGTTGTGTTTCTTTACAATCTTCAGCATGTTTTGTTGTTGGCATTCATTTGAAATAATTTGCTCAAGAACAGGTGAAACTTTACGTGTGTGGCACTAGAATAGGTCTGGTTATAAGTCTCTTTCTAAAGGCACTTCGCTGTTTTTGCAAATTAACTATTCTATTAATTATTACTGTTATATTGTCCTTTTACACCACAAATATTAACATAATATAGCCTTCTACATCCACACTTGTGCAAAGAATATAACACCACCATGTGATTATGGAAGAGGAGGGCACACCTTTCTTCTCGTACAGGTCACAGTTGACGTTCCTCTTGACCTCCGCGTTGCTGCCGTCTCCGACCCAGGGCAGGTGTTTGCAGCTCACAAAGGGGCGGGTCTCGTAGTTAAACGCTCTGAGATCATGTCACATTTGCATTTCAGTATTATACATTATACTTATTTCATGAAGATTGACATGAGAATGACAGTCAAGGCAAAATTAGACATTACACTAATAAGTCAGAAGTTAGAGAAATGGTTTCCGTTTGCGAATCTATTATTACTTGATTTGTGTTTATTTTTAATTTTTTAATGAGGCCAAGTATACCCTAAGAAAAAAACGTAATAGCACCATGATGTAACTTTGGAGGTGGGCACTGGGACACGAGCTCCATGAGTAAATACTGTGGAAGATCATTCATTGCTTGTACATTTCTCCATTGTGAAATCAATAATGTTAAGTAAATAAGTCAGTAAGTAATCTTTAATTATATACCGCCTTTCACAGACCAGAGTCACAAAGCGGTTTACAATGTTGATCTTATCATATCTTTCAACATTTCCATGAAAGCAAGCAGTAGATAGATACACGTCCTTACTGGTTTTTAGTCCAGGGAGGCTTTAAGTGTAAACTGTGTACATTTTTGGTGGAGTTCATCACCAGCGCTTCTTTATGGAGATGATGCTTTGTTCTTGAAACCAAACATATTGAACCTTCTGATCTATGTGACTGCTGTGACATGATGGATGATGTGAGGGAGGTTCCCCGCAGCCCTGGTCGTCCTCCCTGTGTCTCAGATGAAACAGACTTGGGGGTGATGGTCAGTGTTACCTGCAGTCCAGGGACAGGGAGCAGCGTGAGGCGCAGTCCTCCAGGTTCACGCCGCTGTGGCTGAGAACACGTGCAGAGTTCCAAGCGGTGGGCACCAGCTCTCGGCCCTCGGAGCGCTGGAAGTCATTCAGGGGGCTACGATACGCTAAAGACAATAAAACTAATCAGATCACAGAAAATGTAATTCTTTAAACAACTATAAGTAGAGACAAACTAATGAAAACTATGACCGAACAGTGAGCAGCTGCATTATGTTCATAGTAAATTGCATTTTCTCTTCCAGCTTCATGAAAACAATCTTCCTGAATGTTGTAATAATTTAAAAGTGTATTTATTTTATGTTTTCAATTCATAGACTAAACGGAAATGACAAAATGAAAAGTCTGACCATAATTATGATCTGTAATGTGATTTGTTTTGATCAACAGTTACAGTAAAACAAGTCACATGTGCCCAAAGTGGCAATGTGAGATTTGGGCACACAGGCCTGCTCACATATAACCTTTGGACTAAGACAAATGTACCACCGCCAAAGCACAATGAGCACAATGACAACATGCTCTCTTATCCATCTCAAATGATGATTACAAGTATGGCCCAATGCATCTGCTTACAGTATTCTGCAGAGTGCTGTCACAATGTACTGTCACATCAACTATCAACTGTATCAAACGCGAAACATTCAACACTACAAAAAATACTTAATACATTAATGTCGGTGCTATGACAAATATTAATAATTGCATTTTTTTTGCATAAAACAATGTGCTTTTTGACTCTAAAAAAATTAAGTTTTTAGTTTTCTACATTTTTGAAAACTCTAAATCTGCCACACGAGATGATCACACACCATTTGTTTTAACTAACAAGTGGACAATAACAATATCTACGTTTTTTAATATTTAAAATGCTATTTGATGGTGGCTACATAATAACATGTGTTTAAAACAAACATTGCCATGCTCTTACCTGAGCTTATCCCCACAGTTAACACGAGCCATGCTAAAAAAAACTCCATATTTTAGGCAAAAGTGAAGTTTACCTCCGCAGAAGTGACTTTAGGATCAAAGAGCATTTGGTGAAGCTTTTGTACTCACAGCTGAAGCCCACAGTCCTTCTCAAACAAACCCCAAACAATCAATATTCATGAATCATTGATTACACACACTCTGGTCCTGCTCATCATCACTCCTCTCAAAATTCCATTAAACTTGTGTAAGCATAGACATATAAAGACACATAAATATATATTGTAGATGTATATGTCTATGGGTGTATGTAAGTAACTACACAGCCATGTCAGGAGGATGTCTGATACAGGAAGTACCGCCCGTGGCCGGCAGATGGCGCTGCTGCTGTTCCACGATCACAGATGTTTGTGGAGTTCGAGAGCTTTTCCGGGACCAGCCTCAGACAGTGCGTCAGTGAAGGGGATATTTCGAGGCATTCACTGCGCAGTTTGTTCACAGTTTAGGCCCAGGTAAGTGTCTGTTTCATTGTGCCATTATGAGAAGCTGTTTTAAATGAAACCTTGTTGTGTTTGGACTTTGATCACGCTGTCGTAGAGCTGACAGTCATATGATGTTGGCCCCAGACTCTGGCTTTGGAACCATACACAGTTTATTGTTAAAAAATGTTAAAGTAAAAGGCAAGTTTATTTGTAGGGCACAATTCATACACAAGGCAACTCAAAGTGCTGAACAAAATAAGAAAGCATTAGAAACATAAATAATCACAGAACATTAAAAAGAAAGATAATAAAAATATAAAATATAAAATCCCTCAGTTGTATGCACAGCTAAACAGGACTGTCTTTAACCTTGTCTTAAACATTGTCAGAGAGGAGGCCTGTCTCACATCTTCAGGAAGATTGTTCCAGATTTTAGCAGCATGAATCTGAAAAGCAGCCTCCCCATGTTTAGTTCTGACTCTGGGCACTAACAGGAGTCCAGTCCCTGTGCTCCTCAGAGTCCAGTCCAGTCCCTGTGCTCCTCAGAGTCCAGTCCCTGTGCTCCTCAGAGTCCAGTCCCTGTGCTCCTCAGAGTCCGGGCTGGTTCATATGGGACTAACATGTCACTAATATATTTTGGTGCGAGGCCATGGAGAGACTTGTACACAAGCAGAGCTGTTTTAAAGTCTATTCTCTGAACCATAGACAGTCTATTGTTAAAAATGCAAGTAAAAGGCAAGTTTATTTGTAGAGCACGATTCATACACAAGGCAACTCAAAGTACTATAGAAACAAAACAAGTCATTAAAATCATAAATAATCACAGTACATTAAAAAGAGTGAAGATAACACCCTTCAGTTGTATGCACATCTAAACAGAACAGTATTTCACTTGGATTTGAATATTGTCAGAGACCAGTGCTGTCTCACATTTTCAGGAAGACCGTTCCGGATTTTAGCTACCAGTCTCTGTGCTCCTCAGAACCAAAGTTGATTCACAGATTTTTCAAAGCATGTATTAATTGCTTATTACATTTTTCTTAGATATTTGTGTGTTTTTGGCAGGTATGTGAAGTAGCCTGGAAACACAACATCACTTAGAACCGCTGTGATCCCTTATTTTTCTAGTGGTCTCAAGCATCAATACTAACTAGACCCGAGACTGTCTAACATTTTGTATCCAACAGCACTGTCCATATAGCAGCCCCACAGATATAATGAGTGGTGTTTGGTGTGTGCAGGATGTTTGAGGTGAGAGTCACAGAAGGCTCGGTGCAGGTGGAGGGCTGCACGACACCGCTTTTCTTCAGACAAAGTGAACCGGTCGGCGCTGCCCCCACACTGACTGTGCTGCTGCTCCACGGGATTCGCTTCTCCTCTGAAAACTGGCTCAACATCGGGACCCTGGAGACTCTGGCTAAAGCGGGCTGTCGCTGTGTGGCTGTGGACCTGCCTGGTGAGATGTCATCATAGACATAGTTAGACATAGTTAGATAGATTGATAGCTAGATGGATAGAGATAGATAGATACTTTTTTGATGCCTGTAGGAGAAATTCATGTGTCCAGAAGCAGCAAAAAAAATATATAAATAAATTGATCATTCTAAAAAGCTAACAATAGTAATAATCAACAACAGCAGCAGAGGTGGAGTCGCCTCTGGAGTAGCCTCACATCAACACACAAAGGAAAATAAAGTAATAATCAGTGTTTATGAATAATTCTGCAGACATTTACCTGTTGTCTTCTGTCAGGACTTGGCCGCTCTAAAGCAGCAGAGCCTCCGGTGGCGACGGGACAACTTGCCCCGGGGCAGTTCCTCAGGTCCCTGTGCGAGAGCTTGGGGTTGGCTCCTGTTGTGATCGTCAGCCCCTCTCTGAGCGGGATGTACTCTCTCCCGTTCCTCATGCAGCACTCTGCCATGGTCCGAGCATTCGTCCCCGTGGCCCCAATATGCACCGACAAATTCACCGCCGAGCAATATCAAAGTGTCAAGGTAGTGCTGCATTTTATTTATCTTTCTTTTGTCGTCATTTTCTATCATAATCTGTGTCCATTTTGGCCGGAGCACTGCACTCTAGTGACCACTGCTCCTGGCTCTAGTGGCATTGGAGGATAATAATGATAAAGTACACTGTGACTGAACTATACCTTCACAATGCTCCGCTTTGGTATTTTACCCAAATCAATGACGTAGACAAGATTAAATAGTTTTAAATCAATATATTGTAATACAGAAACCAAAGCTCTCTCTTAATCATAAAATGTCTTCATTGATTTTTTTTCGTTATTAAAAGAGTGCCTTGGTTTCTGTATTTTTTTTCACCGACTCCAATTACAGCCTCAACAAACCATTGCTCTTCTATACGATGTACAGTTAACATTGCTTAAAAGTGTGCACGCTTAGGCAAAAGTGTTGCTTCTTTTGGCCATGCTCTATGACAGCTTGGTCTTTTGTGGGAGTCGTGGATGAGGTTATTTTTTATCTTCTCTGAGCTTCCAGTTCTTGTGAATCCCTGGGTTGCATTGCATGATTCTTCATTTTTCATTTTCAGATCTCCCCAAATTGGCTCTATGTTTATAGTTTGAAATAATATATAATTTGTTATCTCAAAAATAAACTTTCAACCACAACTGTATCCAGGACACTCGACATCCAACAACATTTATCGGCCTCTCATGGACCAATGGCTTTATGTGTTTTTATCATTGCATTTCTTGATTCTCTGATCTGTGTTGCTGATCTGAGTCCTCCAAGATAACTACTATTGTGTTTTAGGGCTATACAAGAATACATTTATTTGAATTGAGTATAACAATGATCTAAAAGGTTGTCTCCAAGTACGTTCATTCTTTCTTATGTCACCAGTGCAGAAATGCCTGATGACGGGGACATCTACAGACAACGCCAACATGCTCGTGCGCAAGTTTGGCTTTAGTTCAATTGATGTTGACTGTTCATGTCTACTGTACACCTCTGCCCATGGATGGACTGTTCATGTCTACTGTACACCTCTGCCCATGGATGGACTGTTCATGTCTACTGTACACCTCTGCACATGGATGGACTGTTCATGTCTACTGTACACCTCTGCCCATGGATGGACTGTTCATGTCTACTGTACACCTCTGCACATGGATGGACTGTTCATGTCTACTGTACACCGCTGCACATGGATGGACTGTTCATGTCTACTGTACACCGCTGCACATGGATGGACTGTTCATGTCTACTGTACACCTCTGCACATGGATGGACTGTTCATGTCTACTGTACACCTCTGCACATGGATGGACTGTTCATGTCTACTGTACACCTCTGCACATGGATGGACTGTTCATGTCTACTGTACACCTCTGCACATGGATGGACTGTTCATGTCTACTGTACACCTCTGCACATGGATGGACTGTTCATGTCTACTGTACACAGCTGCACATGGATGGACTGTTCATGTCTACTGTACACCTCTGCACATGGATGGACTGTTCATGTCTACTGTACACCTCTGCACATGGATGGACTGTTCATGTCTACTGTACACCTCTGCACATGGATGGACTGTTCATGTCTACTGTACACCTCTGCACATGGATGGACTGTTCATGTCTACTGTACACCGCTGCACATGGATGGACTGTTCATGTCTACTGTACACCTCTGCACATGGATGGACTGTTCATGTCTACTGTACACAGCTGCACATGGATGGACTGTTCATGTCTACTGTACACAGCTGCACATGGATGGACTGTTCATGTCTACTGTACACAGCTGCACATGGATGGACTGTTCATGTCTACTGTACACCTCTGCCCATGGATGGACTGTTCATGTCTACTGTACACCTCTGCCCATGGATGGACTGTTCATGTCTACTGTACACCTCTGCACATGGATGGACTGTTCATGTCTACTGTACACCTCTGCCCATGGATGGACTGTTCATGTCTACTGTACACCTCTGCACATGGATGGACTGTTCATGTCTACTGTACACCGCTGCACATGGATGGACTGTTCATGTCTACTGTACACCGCTGCACATGGATGGACTGTTCATGTCTACTGTACACCTCTGCACATGGATGGACTGTTCATGTCTACTGTACACCTCTGCACATGGATGGACTGTTCATGTCTACTGTACACCTCTGCACATGGATGGACTGTTCATGTCTACTGTACACCTCTGCACATGGATGGACTGTTCATGTCTACTGTACACCTCTGCACATGGATGGACTGTTCATGTCTACTGTACACAGCTGCACATGGATGGACTGTTCATGTCTACTGTACACCTCTGCACATGGATGGACTGTTCATGTCTACTGTACACCTCTGCACATGGATGGACTGTTCATGTCTACTGTACACCTCTGCACATGGATGGACTGTTCATGTCTACTGTACACCTCTGCACATGGATGGACTGTTCATGTCTACTGTACACCGCTGCACATGGATGGACTGTTCATGTCTACTGTACACCTCTGCACATGGATGGACTGTTCATGTCTACTGTACACCTCTGCACATGGATGGACTGTTCATGTCTACTGTACACCTCTGCACATGGATGGACTGTTCATGTCTACTGTACACCTCTGCACATGGATGGACTGTTCATGTCTACTGTACACCTCTGCACATGGATGGACTGTTCATGTCTACTGTACACCGCTGCACATGGATGGACTGTTCATGTCTACTGTACACCTCTGCACATGGATGGACTGTTCATGTCTACTGTACACCTCTGCACATGGATGGACTGTTCATGTCTACTGTACACCTCTGCACATGGATGGACTGTTCATGTCTACTGTACACCTCTGCACATGGATGGACTGTTCATGTCTACTGTACACCTCTGCACATGGATGGACTGTTCATGTCTACTGTACACCTCTGCACATGGATGGACTGTTCATGTCTACTGTACACCTCTGCACATGGATGGACTGTTCATGTCTACTGTACACCTCTGCACATGGATGGACTGTTCATGTCTACTGTACACCTCTGCACATGGATGGACTGTTCATGTCTACTGTACACCTCTGCACATGGATGGACTGTTCATGTCTACTGTACACCGCTGCACATGGATGGACTGTTCATGTCTACTGTACACCTCTGCACATGGATGGACTGTTCATGTCTACTGTACACCTCTGCACATGGATGGACTGTTCATGTCTACTGTACACCTCTGCACATGGATGGACTGTTCATGTCTACTGTACACCTCTGCACATGGATGGACTGTTCATGTCTACTGTACACCTCTGCACATGGATGGACTGTTCATGTCTACTGTACACCTCTGCACATGGATGGACTGTTCATGTCTACTGTACACCGCTGCACATGGATGGACTGTTCATGTCTACTGTACACCTCTGCACATGGATGGACTGTTCATGTCTACTGTACACCGCTGCACATGGATGGACTGTTCATGTCTACTGTACACCGCTGCACATGGATGGACTGTTCATGTCTACTGTACACCTCTGCACATGGATGGACTGTTCATGTCTACTGTACACCTCTGCACATGGATGGACTGTTCATGTCTACTGTACACCTCTGCACATGGATGGACTGTTCATGTCTACTGTACACCTCTGCACATGGATGGACTGTTCATGTCTACTGTACACCTCTGCACATGGATGGACTGTTCATGTCTACTGTACACCGCTGCACATGGATGGCCCCTGTGGACTTACAATAAAAGAGCCATACGCTGCAGGTGGCCTACAATGACGCTTTTTGAGTGCTTCCGAGAAAGCCGCGACGGACCATAACATCTGAGCCTCTCGATGTAAGATAAGATAAGATATTCCTTTGTTTATTCGTCTCGCAGTGGAGAAATATCAGTGTCATCGTTGCGCACATTACAGCAGAGAAAGACGGAAATAAGAGCACTCAGATTGCACACATCAAACAGAGTCTATTTTTGAAGATAATAGACAATATAATTAACATAAGATGGTCAAATATAATAAAATAACATAAACTCTGGGGCTGGGGCGACAGTAGCTCAGTTGGTAGAGCATTGGCCTTTGAGCCTGAAGGTCATGGTTCGAGCCCACCATGAGACCTACTTCACAACTCCCACTGATGTCTGCTGTCATTATGTCCTTGGGCAAGACACTTAACCCCACTTTGCCTGAAGCCCCCACTTAAAGATCTCAGCTCCAGTGGACTCACCACCTGCAGGAGGATCAGTGAGGGGCTGGTGCTATGTGAACTAGATGCAGCTCTGAATGCCACCCCCCCGACCCAGAAATGGATTAAGGGGAAGAAGATGGATGGATGGATGGAAACTCTGGAGCTATAAATGCACGTGATTCCGAAGTATTTACAGATGTGAATATTTTACTTTAGAAGCGGAGAATATGAGCAGAATAAACATCAGTAATAATATCAACAGGTAAAGTGACTAGTGAAGGACAGAAGTATCTGATGGATGGATATGTAATAAATGCAGTAATGATAACGGGTAAAGTGACTAGTGACAAAGTTACAAGTTAATTCTTATCAATGACACTTGTACAAACTCAGCAGTTCTTGTTATACATTCTCGTTGTACAGCCTGACAGCAGCAGGGAGGAAGGACCTGCGAAACCTCTCCTTCACACAGCGAGGATGATTTCAGTCCATGATGTGTCTGTTTTATAACACTTAAAAAACTGTGGCTGTTTTTTACATTGGACTGTCTGTTTGAATCTTGTGCTCAAATAGTGTGATGTTGTAGACCGTGTATTGTAAACATTATAAACGAGACTAGATTCCTCAGTTTGTTTATACTTAGTGAAAGCCAGCCTCTTTTTTCCTACTGCAAACTTCAAACTGTGGGTGAGTTGGAGGACATCTGTTAAATCCTTTTAGTGACGCTTTCTCCTTTCATCTCTTCCTCCCAGGTGCCGTCTCTGATCGTGTACGGAGACCAGGACACTCAGCTCGGAGAGGCATCTCTGCACAACCTCCAACATCTGACCAATCACAGAGTCCTTGTGATGAAGGGGGCGGGGCATCCATGTTACCTAGACGACCCGGACACATGGCACAAAGGACTCGTCGACTTTACATCCGCACTATGAAGCATCGTGTCGTAGTTGTTGTCTTGTGAGGACGATGTGTCGCGCTGAATCACATTTATGGCGATGAAGGATTTCAACGGTCTACGAACTGAAATACTAATTGTTATGAATTTTCTAAATGTATTTCAAAGCATATACTGCAGCATTTGTAACTAGAAACTCGACAGTAGCTCAGTTGGTAGAGCATCGGCCTATGAGCCTGAAGGTCATGGGTTTGAGCCCACCACAAGACCTTCTCCACCGACTCCGACTGATGTTTGCTGTCGTTGTGTCCTTGGGCAAGACACTTAATCCCACTTTGACTGAAGCCCCCGCTGAAAGATCAAGGTTCTGCTCTCACTGACAGAGCAGCCGTCCTCCTGCGGACTGTTGCAGCCCTGAAAGCCACCCCCCGACCCAGAACAAACCATGGACAAAGGGGAAGAAAATGGGTGGATGGAAATTCACAACACTAATAATGTAGTAACAGTGGAAGGGGATAAAGAGTCCTCACCTCTGTGAACGTTTGTCAATAAAACGTATACCGTATACTGTATTTGTCATATCAAACACAAATTTGAAAAATAGAAATTGGCCATGTTTATTTTGTTTCTATTTTTCACATTTGTGTCACGTTATCTCTGCATCTTGGACTTCAACATGTTTTTATGCAGATTAATCAGTTCAGCAGATATATTTCAGAACAGTCTTACAATATTACAATCGCTTTTGTATGTATTGATCTGATATTTATCCAAAATGGTTTGAGATTCACAGGTTTTCTGTTTCTGTTTCCAGGCTAAACCACATTAATCCAAGGAGAGTAAAGAAGGTTTCAGACCCTCTCACTCACATTGACACAGAGTTCCCTGTAATTGAAGTTGGGGAAGCTGTAATTGTAAGTTAAGCCAATATTACACGCCGCGTTATATGAACCATAACTGAATCTACTTTATCTAATCAAAAATGACCCTCATCTTGAACCACTGTAGAACTCCATTTGGGCTCCTGTCATTCACAATAATGAAATAGGTGCAAGATGGAACATTGAAATTACTAACATAAAACATGGCCCTATTATTTCATGATAACGATATAGTTAGTTATGATAACTATACAGCTTTTAAAACTATAATGTCTGTATCTTTAATGGAAACTGAAATAAGCAGGAACCTGTAAAATCATTAACATCTGCAATTAGACATACAAACTTGAATCCAGGGCTGAATCTATGACTATTTTGACAATGGGTTAGTATAGAATGCAAATAAATGTTATCTTATTCTGACCGCAGAAGAGAAGCCAATAGGACATCCCAATAGATTTAATTCCAGAACAGACATTTTATCATTACTAACAGGACATCGACACAATTCCTAAAGGTTTGTGTTTGCTGTGATTGCGGTTTGAAACATCTCACAGCACATACACATGTTGGAGTCTGTATATTGTTGTAGTTGAGCGATTTCAGTGTCATTTGTTTCCTGCACTTCTAACCTTGATTTATTCATTTACTTGTCTTGTGCACACTGGAGACTTTTGAAAATACAAATGGCAAATAATATGAATCTGAATCTATATACAGGCCCTGTATAAACCACTACTGCCCTAATGAATATACTGTTTATTAGAAAACAGATACAACATTTTTTGTGGTTTTCACAGGGACAGTATATGCTCTCTTGGTTATAAAGTCAATACATTCACAATCCAACTTTTGTCTTCAGAATCTTCAGGCAGCTAGATTCTGCTACATGTAGCTTCTTAGCACTGAATACTGACATCCACCTGTTTGTACCATAGACTGAAAATATTAACCAATGTAGTCACACCTATCTCAACCTTTGAAGCTAATGTGCCACCAGTTTTTCCTTATGTTGACTTTTTCAAAATGGCCGCGGGGCAGGAAAATGTGAAAAAAACGCATGTGTTAGCCTTATTCCTTTTAATGAGTGCATTCAAAAATATTCTCCCCTCAGCCATTTTCGAGAGGAAAGAAGGAGGCATACAAAAGCATTGGGTAATTCTCTTTCCGGGTACACCCCCACCGACCCGGACATACTCAAGGACTTTTTGAAGCCGGGACCGCCCCGACTGATTTTTCATATAATAAAGTATATGTTGACCATTTATCTGGGGAAAGATTTAAAATATGAACAAAATGGCAAATTCCCTTAAAGTACGAAGAACATTCCAATTATAAACAATATTAGATTTTGTTCCTAGAGACTCAGACGAGTTTTGCCTTCATCTGAAAAAACACAACACACGATCAAAATGAAGTGAAAAATATGAACATTATTTAATAACTGATTCTCTGTAATAAACAATTTGAAAATATTTTACAAGGAGTCACAGACACAATATTTTACAAATTTTGCCCTCTTCTCTTTTTTAGCTGTACAAAAGAATGGAGCGACATGGACTTAGAAAGAAGGAGCTAAAACACACACTCACACTCCACTCATTCAGGACCCCATTCACAAAAGAAACAAATTATAAACATTTCATATCTCAAACTTATCAACAGTGCTGTAATTTCTATATTTGTTATATATATTTTTACTTCACTTAAATTTTGACGGCTTTTTTTTTTTCTTACTAAATGATTTTTTTTTTCACACACTTTGTCGAACATGGTCACATAGCACCAGACTACAGACTACATAATCACACACAAATCTTCTTTCCCACATACGACGCACCGACACAGATGCAACCACGGCTGCTTTTCTCCTCGCGCCATTTTAATATTTTAGTCTTTTTTTTATTTTTTGGCAAAAGTAATTACATATAACTCAGTGTGTTCCATTAAGGGGTGTGTGCACTGAATGCTTTGGCATGAGGCGAGTCTGTAAGCTGTTTAAGATTCATTTAAATCATTTGAATATATATCTTGAAGTCAGATTAATAATGATGCCGACAATGTTTCAAGAATATTGGTATTTGACAAGGAAAACAATAATTAAAGATGGGGTACCTAACTTTTGAACCACAAATGGAGTACTCTCAAAACAGTTTGGTTCTTTCACTGGCAAATAGTTACTGTGGTCAGTAAAAGTTATGTTTTCTAATAACACAAAGAGAGCATGTGTGGGCTGATTGTTGTGGGCTTTCTGAGTGGAGTTTGCATGTTCTCCCCGTGTCTGCGACGGTTTCCTCCGGGTGCTCCGATTTCCCCTACCACTAAAAACATGCACACTAGTTTAAATCCTCCAGCTCTGGTAGTCCTGACCAAGCCAGGCATCAACATGTGGAGATGGGTTCCTGGGCGCTGTTACTACGGCGACCACTGCTCCTGACGTGAGCCTTAGCGGCATCAGGATGGGTCAAATGCAGAGGACAAATTTCAGAACGGGGACAATCAAGTTACATTTGTTCCCATGTTACTTTTACACGGCTCTTTCTGTTGGTACAAACAACTCATACCAATTATGAACAAGCAAAAGTAAGGTACCCCAGCTTTAATGGGTTTATAGAAGAATGTTGAGAACTTTTTTGTTGACCAGGCGACATTTCTCATTACTCCTAAACCCATTTGAAATAGGTCATGAACTAATGATTTCTAATGTGTTCATTTTTGAGTCAGAACATCTCTTCCAGCAGTGAATTGCACACGTTTGTCTAGAATACAGTTTTTTGTCAATAAAAAAGACCATAGATGTATAAATAACAAATTGCTAATGTGATTGAAATAGCCTATAGACAAACTTCATTCAAAAGCACACTGAGGGTTTTTGGGATGCACACGCTCTAAACTCCTTTTGTTTTATTATCCCACCTGCTTTTTGCTTAAATAATTATATCTAAATGAAGTAAATTAAACAAAACTTCTTTGTAATGTGACATCATTGATTTTCTTGATCATTAAGGATATGTCCCGAAAGTGTCCTTCAGAGTCCAAATGAGTCCTTTTCATATTGAGAGTTATTTCAGGAGCTAAAATGGCGCAGGCACGTCTTGTGTTCGTGTACAAACAGTGAAGGACAGGAGAATAGAGCCAAATATACTGTATATGTACTACTGAGAATAGCACAAGGCAACACAATGGCTGCCAAAACTGCAAGCGGCAAAAGATCTCCTCACAAATATTGAATGCAATGTTCTTTAAAATGCGTTTCTTTTTGGAGCTGACTTTATTTTTAGTAACTTTCCTTTGTCACACTGTATACAGTTACTAATTAACTGGTGGCTCTACAGAACCAGCCTCAAAAACTAGCATAATATTTCACCTGTGTGGATTTTGAGAGTTTCCTACCAATTTAAATCTATAGTTTTAAGAGAGTGCAGTCTGCAAATATGACTTTTCAGAGCTAATCTTTGCATTATACTAATTTATTTTGTCCACTTGTTATAGCAGTTGCATATAAGATAACTTTATAATACATCTCTCCAAGCCACACACTTGAATTTGTTAGACAATAATAATAATAATGAAAAAACAAATTCAAACTTTGTTAAAACAGCCTTGAGTCAATACCTAAAATTAGTAGCAAAATAAGTGCTTAATTTTTCCACTTCACTTGCAGGACACAGAGAAACCGCCAAAAGGATCTGAAGCTATATATTAGAAGAGCGGTGTATTTCGGAACACTAAGGCAATTAGAGAGGCGTTTTTTCACCTTGCATAAAAAAACAACAGAAAAACCACTGATGATAGACACATTCATGACCTCCGTTCTACAACACATCCAATTCATTTATCTGCATTTTTTTTCGTACACTTTTTTCCCCCGTCTTGTTCAACGCACAAGACGGCGATGTGCCTCCGTACATTCTCTCCGAGGGCTTTTGGACGGAAACAAGAGTTCTACATTCACACAACACACACTCAGGCAGAATAAGAGCAGTCAGTGGCCCCAAGTCGCTCGATATCATAGCATTATCATAGCTCTACATGGCGTCGTAAAGCAACTGTGCAGCGCGAAGCAATGGCAGTGGTTTTGTTTTTTTGACTTTTTTATGACTAATTATATACGTTGATTGACCATCCATTACTTCAGGCTTTGTATTGGTTTTTATAGTATAGAGAAAGTACTTTTTTCCCCCACATATCGGCTGCACTTACAAAACCAAAGCAGGTTTTGGATATTTGTTGATCAAGGAGAGACACCCAGACTCCCCTGTCCACACACACACACACACACATACACGTCCTCCCCGAGATGAGCTGGAGGAAGTGTGTGGAGATAGATAAGTCCGGGCGTCTCTGCTCAGACAGCTGCCCCCGCAACCCGGAAACGGATAAAGCAGAAGAAAAAGTATAGTTGGAAGAGTTGATCGAGTCATTGGAATAGTTTACATGAGATGATAACGTGGTCGGTGAGGAGAGTAATGTATCTTGGTAATCTTAGTTCAATGTAAGATGTTTGTAGCTTAAAAAAATAACTAGGAGAGATTTTGAAATATGTAAAAAAAAAACAAAGTCAGAACTATTTTCATAAACACTTTACATATTTACTAAAGCACAATTTTAACGGTGGTATTTTTAAATCCGAGTATATTATTAGCCATGACAGAATGCTGGCACTGGGAATTTGTGTTGTTACTGGAATAATTTTTCTTTTCATATCGTGCTGCCTTGTATAATATAGCTAATAATTTGCATTTATGAACTTGTTTTTTATATATTTATTCATTAATTTGATAAAAAGACAATACACACAAATTGTAACCGTGCCCGAGTTAGCTGATTAATTAAAGCTTGTTTCTATCTGCAGTACTAATACACAATTTAATGTTATTTCTATCTTATTTTATCTTGAACCTCTATCGACTCAAATGTTTCCTCTCTCCTGCTTTTGTAACGAGACGGACTGCCATAAAAAAATCACCGCACAGTTGCTTTACTCATACAAAGCCAAAGGAAAGTGCATCAAGGCACTATGAATCAGAGCGGTTACTAAATGACTGTGACAACCACACGACGATGTGATCTGCAGTGGCCTGGTCTGCTCTCAGATCAAGAATCAGAATGAAGAGCCCCTAAACCCCAGCAGCGAATGGTTAAAGATTAAACAGCTTCAGTCGAAAAGGTAGAATTGACTCTCAGGTCATCACAATATTAGTCACATCTGTTAAATGGCATTTCTAATATCACCAAGGAAACGCACTTATCCCATAGATATAGACAGAGACACTGCACGTTTGAATATGATTTTCAATGGCATCGTTTTTGTTGTTTTAACCCTAAGACTATTAAATTGGAACATTGGAGTCATTAATGATTGTCTTGGTGACAGATGAGCACAACATTCAAGTTCACTTTTGTCCAATATTTTTCTATTTTGAGACTTTTAGCGACCTGGTGTGTCTCTTTAGGCTTGATTTAACGGTGGTTTTCTTCCACTCATTGCAGCAGTTGTGACTAATACAGTGGCCATTGAGTTGCAAGCCTAGAAAAGAAAGAATAAAACCCCAGCTGGGGCTACTATGCATTGGTCGTGAGGCAGAGGCATGGTGCAGGTCAAGTGGGTACAGACAACGTGACGAGGAGATAGGAGGTCACTGAGGAGGCTTAGAGAGGATTGGCCGAGCTTCAGGGCTTAAAGGTTGGAATGATCATTCAAAAATAATAACAATACGTCAAAAATAATGTTTGTCCTTTAAATACATACGGTAAAACAGTGGTTCTCAAACTTGAATGTGTAAAACCTCCATCATTATTTGGCATTCAATAATTAAAACTAGATTTTGTTAAACCAGGGCTTTACCAGGAACGTAAGTATGCAAATCTGGTTTAGTGATGTCTTGACTTGGGGTTAGGGTTCCTAAAAATCCTAAAGAATCAACATACCGTTAAAGGACCTCTGCTTGAGAACCACTGCTCTAAACACTGAACGCTGATTCATGATATAAAGAAACAGCTATAAGCAAGAAACAATATTGCAAAATCAGAATAACTGCTGTAATGTCCGTAATACTGAGTAGAAGAACCAACGCTCAAATGTTATAGTATTTTTTTTTTCTCATCCTACATCTAAAGCAATTTCCTCAGCACATTTTGGCTATATAAAAATAAGAACACATGAAAGTCTATCTCATTTTGGCAAGTAGACATTGGAGTGCATAAATGAATCTAACGGCTGCTTCCTCTTCCTAAATAAAAAACCTTACTTTAATATAATATGCTTCGAGAATCACTTCAGCACTGACATTTTGTATAGGTTTTTTCATGGTATTTTCTGTGGCTGGAACCGGTTGAATTGTCCACGAATCCTCTTTTTGAACAACAAGGTGAGGTCCCACGTAACAGTCATGAAGAAATACTTTCTTTTCATGGACGCGCCGCTCCGGTGGGCGATAGATACGACTTGTACGTAGTTGCCACAAATGACTGAAGCAAAGTGGGCAGCGTGGCACTCTATAAAGGGGCTTTTCCTCCACTAGTTGAAGTCCCGTTAACGTTGACAACATTGTGGGAGAGGGGGGCACAGATGGAGACGGTCGGGGATACGAGAGGGTTGTAAATAAGGCTTGGGCGGAGTATAACAGGACAGTAGAGGCGGGTGGAGTTAGTGTGAGAGGAGATATGGGCTGAGGGCAGGGTACAGCAGGAGCAGCTGGAGGAGCAGCAGAGAGCAGAGAGACGGGCGGAAGGAGTAGCCCCGCCCACAGTCTGACGTATTCTCCTGCAACACACAGGAACGCAGGCTATCAGTCAATTTAATTCAATTCATTCTTGTATAGCGCTAAATCACAACAGTGGTTATCTCGGAGCACTTTACAAAACCGGATCAGAGAATCAAACATTTCAAATACAAGAAAAAATAAAATAGAAAAACAGGAAAAACTCTAAAACCCAGTGGAAAAAGTGAGAAACCTCATTGAGAGCGGGTTCCACTACCATGAACAGATGGCTATGTATGTATAAAGCTGGGGTACCTAACTTTCAAATCACGCCAAAGGGAATGATACAATTCTCTAAACAGTTTGGTTTTGTCACTAGTTTTCACGTGCTTGTGTGTATCTTTGGCCATCTTTATATCAGCTTTTCCAGACAGAAAAGTGGAAATGAGATGCATGTTTTGGTTTTGATTTGTTCACAACATTTTAAAAGATTCTTTGTGTTGGAACAAAACACATGGATTATTTACAGTACTTGTTGGACTATTAAGCGCACCTGCACCAGCTACAAACAGCACCAGCTGCATTTGAAGAGGAAGTCCATTTTGCCCACATAAGGCCGCACTTGAATATAAGTCGCAGGTTTTAATGTTAAAGTATGTATGTTTAATGTAATGTTTAATGTAATGTAACAGTTTACCACAGCTGATAGAAAAAACAAAAGTGATAGACAACTTTTGTAATGGGACACGACATGATTATACTGAGAAAAGGGATTAAAAGTAAAAAATAGCCTGCGTTCTATGGCTACACAACACATTTGGAAAAACAAAGCTGAGTTCACGAAATTCAAAGTTCAATTTAGTATTGAGATTTCTGAATCTGGGCATCTACAACAACTTACTATCAGGAAAATAATATTGTCTTATTTTAGTGACCAATAGAACAGAATAAAAACAAACAGTTGTCACAAAATGTTTCTGTAAATGCTTCTAAATGTCCTTACGTTGTTGTTGTTGTCGAAGCAGGTGGAGGGTCCTTTTCTGTATCGTGCTGTAGACAAGACTTCACAAGGATTTTCTTCTTTGTCTAAAAATCACTGAATTAAGGATTTCTAAAAATACAACATGCGTAAATTGAACACTATTCTTTCACTATACTTTCCCACAAAAAATAAATTTTCAAGTGTCTAATGTCTTATTTGTGGCAAAGATGTTTTCTTATAATAACAATGATTAAAAATAAACAGTGGTCAGAACATTGAGTCATGTTGTCGGAGTGTAGTCCCCACAAAGAATGAGACAAAATAATTTCTACTATCTGAAAATAAAATAAAACAATGTGGTTCCTGTTAAATTACTGAACTGTTGAATCTTTAATAATACCTGACTGACTATCTGCAGATGGGAGCTTGATATTAGAGCATAACTTAAACGGTCTTATAATAACGGCAAATGAGACAACAGGCTTTTTCATGGTGATAAAAAGATACATTCTTCCTGATCTTGTGAGAGCCGCTCGATCTCGCAGGAGTTACAGAGCAGCTTCTCAGCCACCACAAACAGCAGGTTGGTGTTATTTAACTTCTTAGCATGGATCAACCTGTGGAAGACAACATTCTGTCAGAAACATCAAAATTATCAGCTGGACTTGCTCCTCCTCACACAGAGCTGGGGAAACGCCTTTGGATATCATTCATTCCAGAGGTTAAATGAAAATAACTCTATATATTACTTCGTGGTAAATAGTTGATAACAAAGTCTCAAGGGACTTCCGGGTTAAATAAATATATGTATGTGTGTGTCTTGTCCATTGAGTCTTGGCCTGGACACTTGCAAAAGACATTCTCTTGTATTCTAGTAAAAAAAAGTTTTGTTTGACAAGAGCAATTCATTATTCACTTGGATTATTATTTTCTAACTTGTCTGGTCAAACACTCGATTGTAAGCATTATTTTATGTTTGATCAGGTTGATCAACCCAGACAAATACCCCCCACAGTAATTTCTCACGAGTAAAACTACAACCCTCTGATGAAACCTTACACATTTGTAAGTAGTAGTAAGTAATCTTTATTTATATAGCGCCTTTCACAGACCAGACTCACAAAGCCCCTTAAAATTGTTGAGGGCTTTTGTCTCTCACTCCACACAGAGATGGGGGCGAAGTCGCCAGTGCAGGAGGTGCATGGCAGACCTATTGTGCATGTTTTTAGTGGTAGGGGAAACTGGAGCAGACACGGGGAGAACATGCAAACTCCTCTCAGAAAGACCCTGTTCCGACCAGGATTCGAACCCAGGGCCTTCTTCCCACCTCATGACACAGTGCTCTGGTGACATAGAGCCTGAAGGAGAGTCAGACCTGGAGCAGTTTCCGCAGTCCTGCAGGATGTTGTAGGAGCTGCTCTGATTGGTCAGATAGTACTGCGTCTGCATCATCACACAACTCCTCTCTTTGGAGTCCACACTTTCACCGGCCTCCACGTCTGCCATCATCCAAGAGAGACACACGTGAGACCAACACACATAATAATACATGTACAAATATGTAGAGCCAGGTTTATTTCTTTATTCGTCTTTGTATACCTTACAAACGCTTAATGTGTAATCCATTACATACCAACCACTAAGACTTACCTCTGACAAACCAACTGTGATATGCAAGTCCGTAAATAAATTGCTGGAATAAGGACCTGCAAATAATTCACAAGTAAAAATATATTAACACAACTCAAAAAAGACGTAGATGTATGAATAAACTGCACTAAATATGATGCATTTATTGGATTGTATTGGTTTTTGAGGCTTGAGTGCCTTTTTCTTATTCAAGACTCAACCATTATTATTAAAAATGAACCACAAATGACTGTGATTGTAAGTTACAGGATACTTTATTGTCCCTGCAGGAAAATCTGTCCTCTGCATTTGACCCATCCTTCACTGCCACATGGGTTTCTACAGTGCAGCGTCCAGCGTCCTTCTCCAGATGTTGATCCTCTGCTTGGCCAGGACTAAGACAGCTGGAGGATTATTACCTGAAGTACATGATTTCAGTCGTAGGGGAAAGAGTACTGCTAGAGTCCGACCTAAAGCAGCTTCTGCAGTATTTTGGTGACATCAACTAAAGTGTGCTTCCAAGTGCTGCAGTTCTGAGCTAAAACCTCTGGTATTCACCTATCCTATTATACCATTTTAGATCAACCTTTTCCAATGAACAAATTGCAACAATTGCTAATATTGGAGTAAATATATAAGCCAGGGTTGGAGAGGATTTCCCCCCTCTCACCCTGATGGGTGTGCTGCCTCAGACTCTTCTGTATCAGGACAGTCCACCTGTGTAGCTGTTTCTTAAAGCTGCACTAACTGACTTTATTTTCGTATTAATTACAAAAATGAAATCCATGTCCATGTAGTGCATTGGGATATACGTCCTTTTGAAGAAAAAGTAGCGCAGATTTGTGCTGGCCTGACATTATATTTTCGATCGAGTTTTGATGAAACAAGGAAGAGAATGTGTTTCGGGTCGCAGATTGTGACCAATAACCCCCCCCCCATAGCCCCCACTTTCGTGAGAAATCTCCAGGTCCGTTAGCATAGACAGCTGAGTTAGCACAACAAGCGGCGGAGCTAACCTGAAGCTTCCTTGTCTTCGTCACCGGATACTGCTTACACAGCGAAACAGCCATCCAAAAGAAAGTCTCGTTCCTCCGCGCTTCCCGGTTCTATCGTTCTATGGTCACGCCATCCACGTGAAAATCCATATCCATGTATTATCCATATTGGGAGAGGCTAGCTCCGTCTCAACACTGTGTGTGTGTGGGGGGCGATAGCTTCGAGGGGAGCAGAAAGAGCGAGGCCAGCGAGTCCGCGGCTTCAAAATCCCAAAGTCAGTTAGTGCAGCTTTAAAGACACAAATGCACTTGGCTCCAAGAGGCTGTTATCGTACTCAGGGCTCAAAGGAAACTCCACAAGTTCATCCCAACTGCTACAACTGCTACAACTGAAGAGTTTGGGACAAGATCAAAGGGCAGAAGCAGAGTTTGAATTTCAGTGAAGACCAAAACATCCTCTTCGGGACTGCTCAACAACAAGATAACCCTGTGTCTGTCCCAGCTTCTGCACATATAGAACATTCTGGAGTATCCCCATCTGGACATGGCACTGGACAGATGGCCAACGCCCAGAAGCACAAACACATCTCATTCTTAAACTGCACTCTTCAGGTGGATTTAGATTCATGCACATATTGACTTTGCTTTTCTGAGGCAAATATAGCAAATATGAAACATTTCATAGGATGGAAACAATGATAGATCCGTTCTTTACGTATTATCTCGTTCATGTTTGATATTAGAGTCAAAAATAATAATTTGTATTTGTATTTAAGTGTGCTTGTTTCACTTTACAAGCAGAAATAGTTCCAAAAGTAGTCATTACTGTATTATTGAAATATAGTTAATTACCCCCTTCTGTTTTTTGGACAAATCGCACCCCGTAAATCGTACATTGCTAAATAAAGGCCATCAAAACTCAACATAAAACTAGAGAAAAATATCTTACCATGCAGCTGCAGATGTCCACCAGGCAATATTCACAAAGTCTGCTATCGTAGGCTGCAAAACGGAAAGACAGATAGCATGGAATCAACCGGACTGTGTTTAAGTTTTGTCAGTTTTCCTGCGTCTCTGCTGCGTTCACTCACCACAAACACAGAGCGTGGAGCTGCTCCGGCTTCGCTGTTGGGGATGCGCTCGCACACGGACTGGTAATCGAACGACTGCTTCCGGATGAAGAAGGAGTTATTGTAGAGTGCGTACATGAGGTAAGGGTCCACCTCACTGAAGAACATGCCCACCTGCCACACAGCAGCATGAGGTCACGATAATGACTCTGGTAATAACACTTTGTCTGTAGAGAGTTGAATAAGTCTCTTTAAAAACAATTATTCACATTGTTTATTAGTTTGAAATGTGGGATATTCTACCTAAATTGCTTAACAACTACAAGTGGATAGACTATAAGCTAGAGACCAATGATTTACATAAATACTAGATTTAAAACAGCTCTGCTTGTGTACAAGTCTCTCCATGACCTCGCACCAAAGTACATTTAAGACATGTTAGTCCCATATGAACCAGCCCGGACTCTGAGGAGCACAGGGACTGGCCTCCTGCTGGTGCCCAGAGTCAGAACTAAACATGGGGAGGCAGCATCTCAGATTTACTCAAGAAATTTGGAACATTCTACCTGAAAATGTGAGATAGGCTTCTTCTCTGACATTGTTCAAATCCAGGAAAAAAAATAAAATTGTTTAGCTGTGCATACAACTGAGGGATTTTATCTTCACTGTTTTTAATGTACTGTAATTATTATACTTGTGTGATTGTTTCTATCTTGTTTTGTTCAGCACTTTGATTTGCCTTATGTATGAACTGTGCATTACAAATAAACTCGCCTTGCTTTACATTTAGAAAAACAGAAATCAAACAGAGAAAACGATTATTGATCAATGAAAGTCAAAAACACAACCAACGTTCACGCAGCTCAGGAATTGTTACTATAGAAACGGCTTTACCTTATTCCAGTCTTCTTTCTGATTGGACATGATCAAAAATCCCCCATCGTCCACGAGATAACACACAAGGTCCTGCAGCAAAACGATGAAAAACATTATTGGCTCAAACTAGAAACATGTTTTTAAGAGAACTAAAATATCTTACATCACTGTTGGCTTCACAGTCCATTTCACACGGACGATTCGGTCCACACTGCACCAAAACACAAGTATCATTACTGGGAAATGTGGTAAATGTCTCAAGAGCAACATCAGTAACTGACAATAGGCCTACGATTATAATAGTAATGATAGGTTGGACCAATTATTGAAGTCTGTGGTGGAAAAATTTATTTAAAAAATGCTGTTAAATTAAACTCGCATGTCCTCATTAAATAACCACAGTTGAACACATAAAACTAGCATGAACACCTTAAATAGCCACAGTTGAACTTGAACATATAACTAGCATGGCTACCTTATATAGCCACAATGAACACATAAAACTAGCCTGACCACCTTAAATAGCTACAGTTGAAAATATAAAACTAGTCTTACCACCTTAAATAGCTACAGTTGAAAATATAAAAATAGCCTGACCACCTTAAATAGCTACAGTTGAACACATTGGACTATACTGTATGGGACTGGCCTGCTACGTTTTTCAGCAAAGTAAGTGTGACATATAATGGGTATAATGACCAGCAAAAGCACAACTAAGTAGCACTCAAGTCTATTATTTGCAGAAGCCGACCCGTCTCACTATCTAACAACTTTCAGTTCTTAGAAACCCTACAATGATCAAACCGTATGATCCAGACTCCTATTCCCACATATCTTTACAAAGCACCTTATAGAACTGGCTTTCACACGTCACGTCTGCGTAACAATGACAAAGTAGTGCACCTGATTGGAGCCTTGCCGACTGTCAGTGTGGTTACTGGCGAGGATTTTGAATTTGTCGACCCAAGCTTCCAGATCTAATTTGACGCCGACCACTGAAAAGAGGAGAGAAAAGTGCCCGTCAAAAGAGGCGCGCAGGAGATGACAGCCGGATAAAAGGACTATTAAAAGCTGTGAATCGCAGCCTGCAATTAAGTATATATAGAAGAGGCCTGGTTTAATGGAGGAGTGTGGGTGTTACCTGCAGGTTTGACGGTCTTCCCTCCCACTGTGATCTCCACCGCTGTGCTCACCAGGATGCCTATGGTGTCGTTCTCTGGGTTTAAAAACTCATCTCGAGCTGGACCGGAGCAGACAAGACAAATATACAAAAATTAATGTAATACGGCTGTGTCAAAGTTGTGATTTAAATGCTTGGAGAGGCCAAAAACTGTATTCAAGTAGAAGTAGAATCACAAATACATACAGGTATAAATATACAGTTTAAGAAACAAAACAGTGCAATTATTTTAGAATATAATAAAAAAAAAACAAAAAAAAAACTGCTAAATATTTCACTTTTATTATACAATGATAAAAGGCTGAGTTCATGTGACATCACAACGTTTCAAAGAGCCTATAGTTTCACATTGTGGTGCAGTTGAAAAATCCTTCCAGGTAACTATGGTAACAGTCAAAAGTCAGTTTAGATTAGAGCTAATTTCTCTGTAGCTCCTGGGCTAATTATTATATCTTTATGTAAGAAAAAAAAGTTCCACATCTTCTTTGACAGTAAATATCAACTATGGTCTAATTTATTTTTTTCTAGGTGTCAAGGAATAGAAAAAAAACATATGCATGATGTTGGATACTAAACCTTTTGTGAATCTAAGCATTATACAAAAATTATCTGGGATTACATTTGGACGTTTTGGACGTCATTAAAAAAAGGTTTTCCTAATAGCAGGATTAAATAACCAATAGAAAGCATCAAAAACAAAAATATTTCCAATGTAAGTAACATGAAGTCACAAAATAAAAAAGTTCTATAAAAGCACTAACATTTTTAATACATAAATAAACACAATATACATTTACAGTCCAGAATTTGTGTAAATTGGCAATATCATATCTTTGACTTTATTGAGCAAAGTGAATTCAAAAGTGTGTTTTTTTACTTTTTTAACATATTTTCTGACTTTTTTCTTATATCTTGGCATTGATTTCCACTCACCAGTTCGATACGGTGCTCTAAAGATGTAGCCCTTATTATCCAAACTGCGACGGTAAAAACTGGCATTAAATGGTTCCGGGTCTTCCTCCCAAGTTTCTGCAGCTCTGTGAAAATAATGGTTTTGGAAATGATGAATGAAAATCTCTCTCACTACGACGGAACAAAACACTGCACTCACTTATTTGGAAATACTCTTGTTACGCCTCCATCTGTGGCAGCAAACACAGCCAGGAACCCATATCTGCGTGGATTACATTGTGGAGATACAGTTAATAATATTGCAATTAACGTGACGTAAAAATTGAAATCAACTGAATTTAGTATTTTTCTCACGTGTTGAGATCTTTGTTCTTCCAGACTTTTTCCACCAGCTGACGGATGATGCCCGTGTCCAGTATGAGGTTATGGAGAAGCAAGTTATCGCCTAAGATAAGATTAAATTGTTATGTTTGCAGGTCTAATTGAATGAATATTATTATGGACGTAAGTAGTTATGATTTTTATTTAAGGCTGAAGGAACAATGGTTTAACAGCCTTCTCTGAACTAAGTGTGAGTAATCTTTATTAATGTACCGCCATTCACAGACCAGTCACAAAGAGGTTTACAATTGTGGGCATTTGTCTCCCTCTCCACACAGAGATGGGAGCGGGGTAAACCAAACCTTCAGTTATCTTAAATTTCAATATATTTTTTTAAACACTGATTTAGATAAGATGGTCCCAACAAAGTTTTGGACTAAGAACAAGATTGATTACATTATATCCTAATTCTCAGTAAAAAAGAGAGGACCGCCCTAACTGTCAATTAGCTCTGAGCCCAAAGAGTCAAATAGTGACTCACACAGGGCTCTTTCTGACAGGTAATAGAAGAGCAAGAGATGACATGTTTTCTAATAAGATAAAGACAGTGTGTTGTGGTCTGATTTGGTCTCACAAAAGACTGTTGGGTCAAAAAAAGCTTTAATCAATCCATCATTTTTATTTCATACATCATAATCGTAATTAAGGGATAATGTATATTACGCAGGTCATTATCAGAAAATAAGTACCGACAGGGCGAAGTATACCTTCCGCCCTGAAGGTGTACGGCTTTGTACCAACAGAACACACAAAATAAACTTCAGTCCACTCTTAGGAATGCCGAAAAGTTTATTTAATGAAAGAAAATAAAATAGTTCCCAAAGGTTTTCCCGTGGCTATGCGAGTAACAGTTAGGCTAGCAACTTCCAAACTAGAACTCTCTGGAACTGCATGAACGGCAGCGGTCATTATTGTTTTGAGAAGTCAGTTATCAAGAAACAATGACTGGTAGAACGTTTTGAAATTACATTCAAATCAATGGAGCGTTCTACTGCTGCTGTGAGGAGCCGTGTAATAATCATACTTATTATATGACTTGGACCGTACGCGCGCTCTGATTGGCTGATTACCGGTCTGATATTTTCCCATCTCGGACCGTTACCATGACAATTGGTCCAAATATCAGACCTTGGCCTTTTTGCACAGACCTCGCGCTCGGTTAATAAGCCGTTATTAATTCTATTTTTGATTCATGTAATGCTGGCAAACCTGTATATTTAAACTTTTATTTCTGTGCAGCACTTTGGAAATTTGTTTTATAAAATGAGCTATATGATTAAAGTGGAGAAAATCAATTTAACAACTCAACTTTCAACAGACTCTAGGTCCAATAAAAAAAATATACAGACAAGACTTTAACAGAAATGCTTGGATTATTCTTTCTTTCCTTGGCGCAAAAATATGTTCAATATTCACTTTCAATACACGCTGATCTTTCCCTTTATCGGAGAAATCCTGTAACTTACATTGTTTAGAATCTGGTGTCACTTTCTCCATGAGTGCAATGAAGTTAAGTAAAAACTCAGTGTTGTTGTTGGACAGCTCCAGTTCGTTGCAGTATTCCCTAAAACAGAAACACATTTATAGATATTTACAGCCCTGGTTTTCATTTCTGTGGACACCCAACACTTAGATGCATGTACACGTGATGCTTGAAGCTCAAAGTCAAACCAAAGCAGTCTTCGCTTCAAACGAGATGAGAAATGAACACACATCACTGCAGAGGACAATGGAAATATTCAGAGTTTAGTGAGGATTTACATGCACAACGTGGACAACAACCGTTTCACATAAAAGTACGATTATGGGAGTGAAAGAAGAGATCACTGCTCGGTTCACACTAAAATCAGTTCTTCTTCTCAAGTATGACAACAATTACGTTCACTATTACTCAGGGAGACAAAGCGAGGAGTCATAGTGCAAGAAGCAAACCAACGGACACCTCTGGTCAAGGCTGCACCGATCACCAATACATCAGTTCTTGACAGCTGTAAGATGTCCTGTCTTTTCCAAATTCAAACTGTACTGAAATACATACTACTCTTTTTTTTTTTCCTCACATTTTTGCCCTACAAAAAACTGGTTTAAAAATATTGAAAATCTAGAAAGTTCTGATTATGTAAAAACAGAGAAATTTGCATCTGATTTGCAATAAATTAGCTATGCCTTAAAGTCAAAGCTAATTCAGAGCACTTCTTCTGATTTGTGAAGTGACCATCCCTGTTTTAACTTAGCATTTTGATTGAAATTTTGGCATACTCTTGAAAAAGTTAAATACAAATCTGGTTATCTAGTTTCTCACTCTCAAAGTCAAAACAGTTTAAACTAGCACGGTCAGATTTGTTTCACATGGTCAGCTTTTTCCAGCAGAAAAGTAAAAGAGAGAAAACCCTGCTCACTCAGCTTTTAATAAATACTCTGTAAAAAACAAATAGATATTATGTGAGAAAAAAAATTAAAATAAATTCTATTAAGATGAAGGCAGCCTGTTGGTGGCCATTTTACATTTTTAAAAGACTATAGTACAGTCTATACTACAAGATATCACTAATTGTACCTTTGCTGAAAAATTGTCAGACATGAGACAAGACACGGTTTTGAGTGACCCATAATGCAGTGGTCTGATTCTTCCCAGAGCCTTAAAGAGACATGCACCGACAGCAGATGCATGCACAGGGGCACACACGCTCACACGCAGCTACCTGGGAGCAATGAACACATGTCCTTCTGACTCAAAACTGTTTGGCAGCAGTGACTCAAAATCTGCAACAGAAACGGGAAGATTATCGAGGGGGGGCAGAGGCGGGAGCGGCGTGGAGGGGCTCAGCTGCATCTTCAGGTGCAGGGGAGGGCAACGACATTTAGAAACCATGGTAACGTCAGTGAGGGCCAAAATGGTGCTTTAGAAATGGACCTGAGCTGAACCGAAGCACTCCAAAGAAGATTGAAGAACAAGAGGAGGTAAATGTCTTAAGAATAGGTTTAAAAGTTTCTAAGCTACTCAATACTAGGATTCAGAACGGTAAAGAAGAATGAAGGCTTGTAGAATATTATTATTATTGATAATCTGTTGGCATAGTACTGTTGTGCCTGAAAGTAACACATACAGTACAGCCAGAGATTTCATTGTTTTGGCATATTTACAAAACTATGAATGATAAAATGATAATACAAAACATATGTATCTTTCTCTCCTGCTCTGGAAAAATCTCAAATGTAAAGTTCATTCAAGCCGGTCATAACTTTTTGAAAAAAAAATTATGGTCAGAAAACCATCAGAGAGGATATACAGTAGAACCTCCGGAAGTCGTCAAAGATGTTAAAGGAGCAATACTATTGAGAAGTGGGGGATGGAAACTTCTGACCAGCGTCATCTGAGTCGTTTCTGTTGTTATTATAATTTTGAAATATAAACATGTTTCATTGACAATAAATGGCTTCACTCAAACACTAAAAAATAGTTTTCTTGTGTAACTCCAAAATATGAAATATGTCCAAACTTAATATCTGCATTATTTCCAGGGTGTGTAAACTTTCAAGCACAACTAAATGTTTTGTACCTTTGTTGTGATTTTTATAATGAGAAAAATCTTCAAAACTGTTAGAAATAAAGTATATAAAAAGCTTTGACTGCATACAGGTGCAGGTGAATATAGCACCATACATTCACTTACAGCGTCTTCATATGAGATGACTTTTGTTTGAGGAATGACTTTATTACAGTAATGTTTGTTGCCAGACTTGTTCATGGAGTGCTCGAGTCAGGTTGGCACCAAAATGGCCGACAATTGCAGGGGGGAGGTGAAGGTCCCCCTTCAGACTGACAGGGGGCAGTGACAGACTCAATCAGAGGAGGTGCACTGCATTGTAGAGGGCATGATAGGGGCAACATCACACCATCCAACTCCCGGTCAATAAGCTATTTCTGTAGAAAAAAAAGACTATTTCTGTATGAGCATCTAGAATTGTGTGCCCAGGTAGTTTTCCGCCCACAATGCCGTGCACATCAGGGTCACAATCAGAGTGTAGAGCCGCAGCCTGCAGGTGTGAAGGGGGAGCAGGAGGACAAGCCGATGGAGAGAAGAAAGAGAGATGTGAGAGGACAGGGGCCAGAACACAGCCTTGAGGAGAACATTCAGTGACTGATCCAATATACTCCTATCCTACAGATATTATTTACAAATCTACAACTAATACTGAACAAACAAAAAATATAGACACAGTAACATATGATAGTAGCAGGTGATGGCTCTTGATTAATTGAAAAAGTCATTATTTACACTTTACTAAATCATAACGTTCTAAAAAATGTATTAAGTTGCAGTACTTAGTTACAGCGACAAGGAAGTAACTCACATAACATTGGAATGACTTCATAATGTAATATAAATGAAACGTGTATGGCCCTTTATGATTAAATACAATACAATGTGTACTTTAGCTGCTCTACATGTAAAGGCTTTAACTTTAGGAGCAATCACATTCCCCTTGTTTAAACTGTGTGATATAGTTTGCATGTAACTAAAAAGTATAATGTGCATTATCAAAGTAATGTATTACACTACTTAGTTACTTAACATATTATCTAATTAGAGTACTTGTTACAGATACTCCCAACTGGGCGGCACGGTGGCTGAGTGGATAGCACTCTCGCCTCTCAGCAAGAAGGTCCTGGGTTCGAATCCCGGTTGGACCAGGGCCTTTCTGAGTGGAGTTTGCATGTTCTCCCCGTGTCTGCGTAGGTTTCCTCCGGGTGCTCCGGTTTCCCCTACCACTAAAAATATGTACAATAGGTATGGCATGTGCCTCCTGTACTGGAACCCCCACCCAACAATTGTAAACCGCTTTGAGACTCTGATGTGCAGTGAAAAGGCGGTATATAAATAAAAGCTTACTTACTTACTTACTCTGGCATTCATTGCTGTAACTAGGGTTAGACAAAATAACTTCTCTGTTGCCACTTGCTTTTACCAACACATGCTTAACTTAATGTTGAGAATAATTATGTTGATTGTTGTATAGTTTACAGTATAATGTGTGTTGTGGTTCCTGTTTCTTATGATCAGGGACTGTTTATAACGAAGCATTTCTAATAAAACATGTAATATAGTTAAAAGAAGAATACAATCTAAACATTACACGACGAAAGCCGTAGACTCTGCACATCACTGTTAAACGGAATATAAATGTTCTTATACTGTATGAGAGCGATACTTTCTACAGTGCTCCTAAGGATATCACACTCCTAAATATCAGTTAAATGGTTATTTCTTTGATATTAGTGGAAGGGGAGAGAGAGAAAGAAGGCAGACAAAACCCACTGTGGGGTTTTAAAGGTGCGGACAATGAGCAGGGGAACAAAGGCATAGATATCTGTCTTCTTTGGGCGTCGTATTTGCATCAGGAGCAGCGGAGGGAATTGTGAAAGATGTGGGATGTGGGACCGCAGCAGAGAGGGTGAGGAAGAAGAGAGAAAAGGGTACCGAGGTCCAAGACACTGCGAGGGAGGGGGGGAGGCAGGCAGGACGGAATGGGAGGGGTGGGTAGGCACAGGAGTGGGGTGGCTTGAGGAAACAAGAGACGTGGACCAATATGGAGTATACTTGCCCTTGATGAATGATACTGTGTGGATCCATCAGAGAAGGAGCAAGAGAAGAAACAGGGGATCGAAGGGAAGGAGGGATCACAGACAATATTTTATTCAATTTGCTCTTTGAATAAAAATATTGCTTCTCTTGAAAGAAATAAGTAAGTCAGTCAAACAAGACAAATGGAAAAACAGCTACTGAAACAGAAACAAAATTATTATTTATGAATATAACAAAGAATTATCATGATAAAATGAAAAGTAAACAAGGAAATATGAAATTAAAAATGAGAAAAAGGCAACAAGAGTCCCCGTAAACCCAAACTGGCACATTGAACGAGCCCTGAGGGGCAATGTGCCAGTTTACAATAGAATGATTCCAAAGCCTCAAAAATCCTACATGAAATTAAGTAGACAGACAAACACAATGATAGATAATTTTATAACCGAGTGAAAAGCATGCATTTTTCACAATTATTAAAACATCAAATTTATAGACGTCTTATGCTTCAGAATCATTGTTTGTCGAAGAGGCGAGAGCATTTGGTCAACAAAAAATAATAGCACAGAAGGTCACCATTATTTTCACCCGGGTTACAGTCCGTAGCTTTCACCTTTCAGTCACTGCAGTGGTTTTTGTCTTCAGCCAGCGGTGAAGAAAAAACATCACCTTTTTAAACAGCACACTATGAAGACAGAGGGGTAAACAGCAGGGGGCAGTAGAGGTATTGGCCCGAACGCTATAACGGGAGAAAACTAGAGGAGCAGTTTTTGGGAAGATAAGGGGCGGAGAAGTCCACGCAGGGCTGGTCCAGGGCTGGTTCTGAGGTCATACACTGGCGACTGGAGGATTGTGCTCAGGAAAGACAGGAGAGATAGGAGCGAGATGGAAAGTACAAATACAAATACAGAGAGAGAGAGAGAGAGAGAGAGAGAGAAAGAGAAAGAATAAAGAGAGAGAATTGGTGGCAGGTACTTACACTGCACCTGTAGAATCTGGTCGCTCAGATTGGCCTTGATGTGGTTTTCGCTGTAAGTGGGCAGCACCAACCCTAAACTGGAAACAGAAACATGCAGCTACTGATCAGTCTCACTTTACCCTATAATATTGATTCCGTTCATTCTCTGCATTTGACCCATTTGGTACAGTATCCAGTCTGTTATATCTCATAAACATTACCTGTGGTTCAACTATGGTGTTGGTTAGAATTCTTATTATGTCAAAACTAATAATGTCTAAAAGAACCTTCTAAGCCTTAAATATGACAACACTTACAATTTAGACCTAAACCAACAATATCAAAACACATGGTGATCTGAGGACACCTTCTCAAATTATATCCTACAATCAGCAAAAGTTATTGACCTGAAGTTCTGATTCAGGATCTATTTGCCATTTGTGGTAAAGTTGGGGGCGACAGGGGCTCAGTTGGTAGAGCATTGGCCTTAGAGCCTGAAGGTCGTGGGTTCGAGCCCACCAAAAGACCTACTTCACGACTCCCACTAATGACTGCTGTCGCTGTGTCCCTGGGCAAGACACTTAACCCCACTTTGCCTGAAGCCCCAGCTGAATAACCAAGGCCCCTGTGGACTCACCACCTGCAGGAGGATCAGTGAGGGGCTGGTGCTATGTGTACTGGGTGCAGCCCTGACTGCCACCCTTCCGAACCCAGAAATGGATTAAGGGGGAAGAAGATGGATGGATAGATGGAGATGGGTAAAGTCATATTTGAATACATGTGCAAAAGTTGGTGCGCACCAGACAAGTACAGAAATAAACAAGCTATAGGTACAGGAATAAAACAAGATAAAAGAAATAGCAAGTACCAGTCTCCATGTTTGCTATTTTTCTTGCCGTACAGTGGTTATCCCATTCACTGATTGCTGATGCTGTGTGTGTTTGGCCCCGCCCCTTCAGAATAACCCAGCTGAACCTCTATGTTATTGTAGTGAATATTTATAGAGAATATAATTGTTTACTTTTATACATGAAACTTCCCATGTTAAAACATGTTCTTTGACTCCACTGGCGTTATTCAAATTACATTATTCAAGCGTGTCATCAACAATTTTTGTGTAGCTTCCCCGTGGATAGAGAACATGTCTACAGGCGGTTTAAATAGTCTGGTTAAAACAAAAAGCTGATCCTAACCTCAAAGCACATAACAAGCTCAGAAGCGGATTAATTACAAATGATTAAAATATCATATTAACACAGAAATACTTCCATCCCGCGCTACAGTACAGGTACATGTAAACTATTTTAAACATCAGACTCTGAGGGGCGCATGCAAATCAGAGGTGCTTTAGTGTTTACTTCAGAGGCAGAGTTGCAGGCCACAAAACTCACACTTTCCTGGACGTTGGAATATTAATAAGAAGCGTAGAGACAGCCTCATAAACTCTAATTTGCAAAGTGCTAGCCAGAGGAAGCATTTAAATGAAACCATAAATGTTCAACCAAGTATGTGAGGAATAAATGTTGCAAATTAATTTGTGCTTGATGTCTGGGAGGGAAGTGTGCCAGGGATAGGGCTGCTCTGTAATACACTTTTTAATGAACGATGAATTTGTCCTGTAAACATGCATTACAAATCGCAGCGATGACAGTAACTAAAGTTCAGACAAAGTATTTGGATCGCCTCTGTTTATTAGTGGAGGAAGAATAACAAGTTTGGTGCTAAGTATTAGACTTGCATAAAAGAAAACTATGGACTAAACTATTGATTTATTTTTCTTTATGCAATATACTCAATGTATTGCATATTTTCTAGTCTTCTTCAGGACTAAAAGTATCATTCTGATTCCACTGTTTATAGAACTTCTCAATTACTGTCCAGGGAATCTAGAAACAATTTGCAGCTAACGTTAAACACTTATTCCATGATAAAGATACTCATCATAATCTCAGAATAAGAATAAAAATAAATGGCTAAATGTAAAGACGACTTCAAAATCAATATGTAGCTCAGTGCGTGGCGTTAAAATAGTAGCAGATTTCACAGACCAAGGTCACACAAAGTCATATCATGTCATTATCTTCCCCTTTATTAATCCATTTCTGGTTCAGGGGGTGGCAATCAGAGCTGCACCCGATGCTCAAAGCACCAGGCCCTCGCTGATCCTCCTGCAGGTGATGGGTCGACAGGAAGATGGCTGCTCTGTCTACGAAGACATGGCCTTGGTCTTCAAGCTAAGTAGGGTAAAGTCTCTTGCCCAGGGACACAAAGACAGCGGACATCAGAGGGAGCAGGTGACATGGGTAGTGGAGGGATCTAACCCACGACCATTTGGTCCAAAGACCAATGCTCTATCAACTGTGCCAGTCATTCCATTTACTCAACACACAGTGGTGACCGAGGCGCCTGGCCCGTCGAAGACCCTGTTATTTAATTTGTTTGATTTTCTGATCTGTTGTTGGTGAATCATCAACTTTGTAAAGTCCTCTTAAAAGGTGAATCATACAGTCCCAACCATAATTTAACTTTGCGGACAATGGTAGAATGGAAAATGTGTTTATCTTATTCAGTAGTCCATGTTTGTGCATCTGGGCAGAATTTATGTTTGATTCGGTTCAGACTCAAAACCAGCAGCCTCTGAGCTTACCTGTAATCAGTGCCCTCTACTGGTGTCCATGTGTACGTCCTCAGCGACTCGTCAATGTATCTCTATGGAAACAACACATAGATGAAACAAGGGTTAACATTCTCAGACATGTTCTCATTACAGAGCGAGACACTGCTTCACATGCGGAAGGTGCCACTCGCTCGTGATTGGGACTCATATTGATGACTTGCCTCATCAACTGATTTAATGAGCGTCTTGATTTTCTTTTGCCCTGGACTGCCATCAATCATCTGTCGACGGATCTGGAAACAGGCGAGAAATACCGAGAGAGTGAGGTTTTGCATGCAGAGACAGAACGGTGACAATATACATGAGAATATTATCAAGATCTTGTGTTGAAGCAAAGTCAAACACTGGCGATTTACATTTTATACATGGACGAATACTACTAGTACTAATAGTAGTTTTAATAGTATATACACTGATAATAGTATAAATCCATGGACGTGGACAGTGATAAAATGTCATTGTTACTTTGTGCTTAAGCCCAGACCATTGTATTGATATTTTTGCATGCATTTTACATACATTATTATTAGATGTGTATTTTTAAAGGAGTTACATTGTCTTTTTGGAGGCGCAAGTAATTATTTAAATTATAATCAATTCATTATTTCATTATCTATTGTAAAAGGCATGACTACTTTAAATAGGACTTTTTCCAGGGTAATCTACATTCTAACCTTCGACACTATTCTTACTATTATATTATATCACTTTTCTATTATATGTACATTGCTTTGCTTGTACCCTGTTGTTCTTTTGAATATTTATAATATTGCTGCTAAATTGTGTCTGTACCTCCTCCTTGTTGTTATCCTCCATCTCAGCGTCCAGAAAGTCCAAAGTGACGGGCTCCCTGAAGTTAATGATCTGGACAAGGACATAAACAAAAGGAGGGAGTTTGTGCCGGATTCTCACAAAAAATAAAAATTCTGCCTATACAAAAAACGGACAGACCTTTGGACGTAGATTTGGATGAAGCAAAACGTAGCCATTTGGGTCGATTGCAAACGTGTAACCATTGGCTCCAAGCTGTGCAATGACAAAACAATTCAAAAATGGATCATATTTTATTATATTTATGCAGCTTGTATGATATTATTCTTACTCTGTATGTGGGTGTCTTCTTCTTGATCTCATTAATTGCGATGTCTACTCCCATCACGCCAAGAATGAGTTGATTCTTGGGAAGAAAAAAAACATATTATTATCATTATTGCACAGCTCTGGTAAATGAATATTTGACAGAAGTATTGTGGAAAGTTGTAGTAAAAAAAAAGTGATTTGACAACCAAAATGAGAAAATGGGTTATAATGGGAAAGTTCAGAATTTCCTCGTTCCAATTCCAGTTGTACAGTAGTTCTATTTTATGATTCCTTTACATTTATTAGTTTAAATGATTTCCAAGGAATAAAAGATTAGGCCCAAGTCTGTTTATTACAGTGGCGTATCTTGTTCTTGTATACAGTAATGGCCACTGTTGCACAAATATAGGCTTACAGAAGGGATTTACTAAGCTGCAGGCATTAAAATGTCAATAGAAAACATACGCAATGGCAAGAATGGCCATTTTAATCATTGAAATTCCCCAACAATCCAAATACCAATATTCAGAAAGAAGTGTGTTTTGGAAAGTCAAAAACCCCTCCATGCATCTTGTCTTATCTTTACAGTGCGTACAATCTGATTACCACATATTTTTGAATCTATCTTTAGCTTAGACTGTTTGCAGAAGCCGTAAGTGTTTTCAAAACTGTGATAAGAGTAAAGTAAATAGTTTAGTCATGGAAAGGGAGAGAGCTGCCTGGATGCATTGCTGTGATAAGCCCAGAGAGAGTTATTCCCGTTTCCTCCAGGGGGCGGTGTTGCCTTAAAGAGTAGTGGTTACGTGGGAGCTATTACAAATGACAAGAGGAATGGAAATTATTACCAAGGCTTTATCTCTACTTTATGGAGCTATTAATGAGCAAATTTGGAAGTAAATGGAGGTGGACATATAGAGGTTTTATATGATAAGAATTACCTGAGCACTGGCAGTATCGGCAGTCAGATTAAAGACGGGCATTGTCCCCGTGATGACGAGACCCAGACCCTGAAGAAATGAGGTAGACATGACAAAGGGCACAAAGATTATTGGGTTGTTTTATGTTATCTTGCAGATGAAAATCAACTAAATATGTGACTATACTCATAATTACTGTTCTTCAATATCTACTGTCTGCTTATGAATGCTCCTCCTCTCTTTCAATTAGTGTAGACCTGTTTTTTTTCTTCAATATCTAACAAATTTGAAAAACCTGAGCCAAATCCCGCCCGATTTCATAGTGGATTGTAGTTTTTTAGCGTTTTTTGGACATGCATTATTAGCTTATTATACACTGGAGGTAAACTACTAGTACAGCCAAAGGTACCTTGGGACAGAGTGACAGAGGCGAGGCTACTTAATCTGTGCCATTGTCCCCTCTGACCACCAACATTATTCTCACACACCAAACTCATTCTCGACAATGCATGTTGCCTACAAACACAATGAGAGTTTAGCACAGGTGTAGCTCTCCCACTGTGCCACCTGGTTTTCCCAGAGGTCTCCCATCACAGTACTAACCAGGCCCTTCCCTGCATAGCATCAAACTAGATCAGGCTTTCACTTGTGGAGATGGCCATACAAATAGAATAAAAATAGAATAAAAAAAGTCTGATCTACATTCTGGGTTAAATCATAAATGACAAAATACATTTAAATGAATAGATTGATGGAGAATTGTGCCTCACCAGCGCGTCCTGATAGACATTAGTCCATTGGACCTGCTTGGCTCTGGGTCCAGCCAACACCATGGGCCGTCCTAGAACATCTAGATACTCCTGCAACAACAAACAAGTCATTCCAATTAAAAGTTGAAGAAACCCAAGTATATGAAACATTGTGGTTGGTTACATGTTGACAGATGTTACAACTTTTCAGGTTTTTATAATTCCAAAAAAGGTTGACAACTAATTACCCTCCATTTGTCAGTATTCTTGGACGAGGACTGAACAGAAGTTGTTTGGGATGTGAAGTGGAGAAGACAGTATTATAAAAACAACTGTAACCATATTTTAATAGCTTTCATTCCTCATTACATACTTGATTGCTGTATGGTTGTGTAATCCCTTATTGTTCAGAATGAAAGGCTTTGAAAGGAATGAAAGATTTAAATCCCCTAAATCTTACTCTTTAAAGGAAACTAAACACCTGTGCTCAGCCTTACTCCACCCACATGAACATTTGAATATTCTCTCTAAAAAGGGTGTTTTCCTGGAGGACAAGGGGACAAGAAGGGGGGCTTAAGAGTTTGGCGTGGTCTGAATGTCGCCAGAATAGTGACACCAAAACATTTGTGAGGGCAACCCAGACTTTTTCAGGCTCATGAAGGCTCAAACATAACTATGAAGTTCATGAGTTAAAACAAGTTGATTTGGTGTTTAGATGTCCTGTAACAATAAAAACGGAGTAATCTTCCAAACAAGATGTAATATTGTATGTGTGTGGTGTTTGCAGTCCATTCAGTTGTAATTCAAACCTCAATAAGGCAAAAATAATTGCCTTATTGAGTAATTTAAAAAAAGTATATGCAGCTAAAGCGGAAATTCAGACTGGGAGACATGGTTCCCTACTTTACTGAGTCCTAATTCTACACATGCACTCAGCTCATCACTTCACGACTGTATTTGTACGGCGCCTCTCAGTCCTTGTGTCAACCTGCTGTTCGTGCATCAACCCACCTCCTCCCCGTCACTGCTTCTTTGGTGGAGAATCATCATGTGTCATTTAATCGGCACAGCTTCCTTCGCCACTATTGTTTAAAGCCCCGGGGGTGTTTGCATTCTATTAAACACCTTCCCATGCAATATGGTCTAATTGCCAAATTTCAATTTATGTTCAAATGCAATAAATATATTAGTACCTCATCTTGCATCTGCCGGGTCTAAATGTCTAATCATACAACAACAATGTTTTCGTTCAACCATGCCAATAAATATTATCCTAATGCGATCTTTCCAGTTTGAAATATTGTACTTTACATTATACCATCTATGGCCTCAATCAACATCTATGGACGTTGGTCATCCGCCCCTTGTGTATGTGCATTTTTTTTTTACCATTGCATTTCTTGTGTTTGAACTGTGTGATTCTCTGATCTGTGTTGGTGAATCGACGGATTTAAAATCGACGGTGCTTCGAGATAACAACTGTTGTGATTTAGGTTTATACAAACAAAATTAATTGAAATTGAATTAAAATGAATTGATAAGAAAAACTTCACAATTGAATGCATTAATGTATTTTATCAACACCCCTCGTACAAAACGACCCATCATAAATACTAAATAATACACAGCAGTGGCGTGTTGTCACTTGAATAAAACCAGTGTGCTGTGAACGTGGGTAATATATCATAAAACTACAGAGCCTGACCATCCTCACATAAAGCAGCGGCTGCACAGACTGGGTCCTGCTGAGCACTAAACCCCGCAGCCCTCATCCACTACGGGCTGTATTTCATCATTACCAAGGAGCTATTAAAATCACATTAGGAGCGTCAATGCTACAATGTGCAAACAGGGCCCTCTCCTACGGCCCCGACTGTCAACACGGATCCAGAACACGTCCCGCAGTGATGCAGGAAGGAGGTGAGGGGTTAAGTCCACCAGTCATACATCATATCCACAAAGTCCTATTGTTATGCTGAAAATAATGACAAGTATTTACCAAAATCCTGCATATTGACCTGTGTTGTTATGCGCTGACGTGTGATTGGTGACAATATTGAGTGACAAACCCCGTTGACGTTTGCATAGTAATGGGACAATTTTCTTTCTACAAGCTACTCAGCACAAGCTAAGAAGATTAAACACAAAGAAATGATAATAATTTATGCTCGTGTGATTCAGATTTGAGATATCCGGAGCGAATGTGGGGAGGCCTATGGAGAAAGAATACTAGTGATCAACTGTTGAATAACATATTGTAAGTAAATTGAAAACTTTTTGTAAAGATTTTGTAAAGATTAGAGACTATTTTTTATATCAGAGTGTGAGTATTTTAGTTGAAAAAGGATTCCTGTAGAGCATGTTTAAAAGATTAAATGTAGGCATATAAATGTTTTTCCTGTCATATTTATCTTTCTTTGATACTGTCCTTAACACATTTATGAGGATCTATGAGCAAGATCGGCTCCCATGCATAAATGCTCTTTATCAGGACTTTTTGAACATCTATTCCTTGGATAACAAAACAGGAGCTGTGTCTAAGTCTAAGTCATTTTCAATACAAAGCTTTTTGAGCGTTTGTTTTTCATGGCCAGAGCAGCAAGGTGCTGACAAGCATAACCTATTCTATTATTAGCTCAATAAAAGTCCAGTTTAACGCGCCACAGGGAGATATTCCATCAGGGCGATATTCCATCAGGGCGATGACAGCCAGACCTTTTCACGGCTGAAGAGGGAATTTTATGCCTGACCTAAACAATCGACAGAATGTATAATGCAAAGCTCACTATCTGATTATAGGGAAGCCGATGTTTTGATGTTTCAAAATTAAGAGTTTTATAATCACTTGAATACAAAATAGAGAATCAGATTCAAGACGACAGAAGAAAATAAATGTGCCATAAAAAATGCAACGATGAAAAACTGAACTTAGATTTTTTGTTATTATTATTGTTTTGCCCACGACAGCTAAAATAATAATAATAATAATAATAATAAAACATAATAATAATAATAATAACACATTTCATTTGCAAGTTTGGCAATATAAGCTTTTGTTTTACTGCCTTTTAGTCATGTGAATGTATTTGAAAATGGACTGGTTAAGAATGCACATATGGTACAAAATAAATATTAAATAAAAAACATATCTTCAACTTGATCAAAATCACATGTATTTGACTTATTTTTAGTACTTACTACTGCATGCTTAAACTAAATATTCTTATGTAGAATGCGTTTGCAATTATTAATTAAATCTTATTCTGTTGCTAAATTTGTCGAGGTTGCATAAACAATTGCACTCATTAACTAAATCTGCCAGACAGCGCTGTAGTTACTTTTCTCTCTGAAAACCACAAGTCAAGGCCCACTTCTCGGCTGCATTCTGTCTACATGCAAATAACATTACACCCATCTGCACCCCATCTGCTATTTTCATGTGTCGAGCGGAGCTTTCGCAAAAAAAAAAAACAAAAAAAAATCAAGACCGCTCTGTTGAAGGGCAGTGCACTCTTAAATAACATACGGTTTTCAAATGTCTTTTCGGCTTCATACAAAACGCTGCACTCACCCACCTTCAGAAAACCTATTAGAGTAAGTGGCAGTTCTCAGAATATAAATATGCTTGAGTTAATGGAACAGCTGACAGTCTATTGGAAAGCCTGATCGCTCGCTTGTTCCCGGAGAAGAGGAGAGGTGGAAAAAGGTACGCGCCCATCCCCCCACCATAGTCAATTTAAGGTTATCCCAAGGGCCACTGGTAGTATGGCACCTGCAAGCAAGTCAGCACAGAGAGTGGTCTTGCTACAGGTTATTGGTGGTCATGTCCAAGAATCTCTCACATATCATCTCTATACCACTATCTTTTCTCAGCTGCACTGTTATCAGAAATAATTATCATCAAAGCAGGGATAAGCAGAATCGGTTCTCTTTGCGTGGTCTGTAAAACTTACCTGTGTGTTTATTCTGATGGCGCCTATCGATGGGATTTCAAAGTAGTATCCTGGAAGAGCAGAAAGACAGGAATGAAAATCTTTGCCATGAATATGTGACTTTCATCATCACAACAACCTATTTTCTCCTAAACGCCTGCTAAATTCTAAACTGGGTCTGTTTGAGAACCTTTTGGAGTACATATAAAATGGCCAGACTCTTTTTGAAGTCTTGTAGTTTTGGTCTTTGATGACTCCAAATGACTGTATCTCACATGGTAATTATAAACCAGGGCTTACAGTAGTTGGCATCTGCATGGGGTCTAAAAGATATAGATTAATCAAATGTTGACAATTCTCCTTTTACAGCCAAGGCAAATATAACTGGAAATCAGATGCAATAAAGCAATAAATCCAGGAGGAATACTGGTGAACTTGGAACATTATCATTATTTGATTCTTCTCTATGAGTCTGACGTATCTTAGCTTCACATTTTAAGTTGAATTAAAGAAATAAATGGACTTTTGAGCGATAAATCCTGATTGGACACAATGAATTCAAATGCTTGACAGACAGCTGAGGCCCCTCCCCATAGGTCTAACTATTCTCCTCCCACAAATATTAATGGCGATGCTTATTCAGGGTTAGGGACTTTTAAATGCATCTATTATTAAAACAAAAACTTTAAATAGATGATACTTCTGGCTCATATGGTCAGAAAAAATTATTCTTTCCCACATGAAACACAATAGAAGTTGCAGACATCACCTACACGAATTATGTACAACAGTTATAACATATGTAACCTAATTGTCTTACACTGAGCAAAAAATGAGGTTTAGCTTCCATTCTTGTAACATGCATTTTGTGCCATTTTAACAGCCTACTCCTCTCTCGCCCCCTCCCTCCTGGCTCCTAGCTGCAGGATGTAAATGCAGAGCTCATTGATGATGCAGAGCCCTGGGCACAGCCACCACCGCCACTGATTAGCAATGGAGGAGAGTGAGCGGCTGGGTCAATAACCGCGCTGCTCCACAAGTTATTAAAGCCATAAGTGTTTATATAAAGAGCCACAAAATGGAGCTGCCGTCCCCAGAATGTTAAAAGGCTGCGCTGATTCTCATTATTTCGATATGTTATGAACTTTGTCACGGCAGGTTTGTGGTGCCTTCACCCCTGCACAGATTTGCACAAGCACTGTCATCACGCAGATACGAGAGAGCTAATGATAACCGCGGCCGGCAGGTTACAAACATTTGTTTTGTTCGATGCAGGAGTGGTTTGTCCCAGGGCCTTTGGTGCTGTGCCAAAGAGAGGACGCAGAGAGAGTGTAAACTAATATGTAATATAGAAGAACAAAGCGCCTGTCTGTATGGGCATGCTGAACGCTTTGAGTCTTTTTATAGCAATATTGTGATGTTTGGTATGTGTATGCTCCATTCAAAAGACTATTTATAGCCTCAAAGATCAAGTAAAAAAAAATACACGGCCCAATGCAGTAAAATGGCCCCACCGTGGGACAAATAATGGTTCTTTTATCTTATCTTAAACGTCCTTCATTAGCGGGACATGTCTTCGTCAGGGCAATACAAATAGCCTATTGGTCATAAAAAGGTGATTTCAGAAAGAGAAAAAATACCAACAAAATGTCACTTTGTTGAACTTCACAGAATGTTTGCATTAACTAGACATTGTGCCAAAGATTTGACAAAGTAACCAGAATGAGAAATCCGAACAAAATCTCCCCACCGGGACATCCTGCTTGTTTGTCTTCCTGTGCCCCTTGCTTGCACCGAGAACGACTGGGAGACTGTGTTCTTCCTTGACTCACACATCGGCTTGTATTCTCTATGGCCTGCTTGTCAGCCTTGTTCATGTAACACCATTAAAATGCTTGTATGTCGGGGTTAGGGGCAGCGGAAGTGTCAGACTGCTGGTTGTGTTTGACGGAGATACCAAAAGGGTAATAAGAAGTGAAGATATGAGAGGACAGCTCCGTGGAGGCTTGTATGTCATCGCTATTGTCTTAGGCTGGCACCGGGTTTAGTATTATGCAAATGAGTACAGTGTGAACGTCCTAGCGCAGAGGGGTAATCCAGGACTTGCTCCAGTAACACAGGGACAGGGAGTTGCAAAGTAATCGCCCCAACGCCAGACAACGCCTTCTAATTAATAATACTTCTGTGGAGACACTAACGCAGTCCTCTGGCAATAAGCTAATCAGCAAACTGCTAGTTGTGACTTCTTACACACAGCTTAGGGCTCTAAAGGAGATAAACAACACTTACTGTAAACTAAGACTATAGTATTAGGGCTGCACAAGAGTGGAAAAAGAAGTATGTCTAACTCATTTTATTAAAGCTGGGATGCTCAAGTATATTATCCTCATAAATAATAAGTACATGCTGTTTGTCCCAACACAAAGAGTTGTAAAAGTAAAACAAAAAAGTGAACAAATCATCATCCTTGCCAGTGCAGGAGGGTCTAAGGACAGTGTTGATGATCCAGGACATTTATGAACATTGGTCATCTGCCACTTACAGACCAACAGCTCTATGTGTTTATTGTTATTGCATTTCCTGTGTTTTAACAGTTTGATTCTCTGATCTGTGTTGACATATCGACAACTTTGTAAAGACCTCTGAGACATGCTACATGCTCCTCAAAATTCTGGTCAGAATGTGAATTGCCCTGACATTTTTTTATGTAGGCAGGGCTAAAGTTCAGCTCCAGCCAGGCTACTGATTTCAGCCTATACACAAATAAATGATATTAATTGAATTGTAAAAAAGAGCCCGGTGAGTCACTATTTGACGCTTTAGGCTAAGAGCTGTTTGGCAATAGGGTGGTCCTCTTACTTTTCTGTCTGAAAAGCTGATCTTAAGATGAGACTGAGGCCAAAAAGCATGCATGTGAAAGCTATAGAACCAAACAGATCTTATTACATAGCTAAATGTTTTTTTGTAGTTTGAAAGTTAGGTACCCTAGCTTTATGTGAAGATAAGTAAGTGAACAAACTGCTTAATATTTACCGCACATACAATGGTTTTTCCTTAATTAGTAATACATAGTTGGTGGCTCAGGGTTCAGACATTATAAACGATTGCATAAAAGTTTACATCTTTCGAGGCCGAATTACTTTTTAGTGTGTTTTTATGCAGGGTATACTGTAGCACTAAGAAATAATGCACATTTCAGACTTTGCCCAACGCCCCAGTCTTGCTCATGGGCCCCAGGGACACGTGAAACAAATGTCCCCCAGTCCAACGTACAGCCCTGGCAGCAGTGTGAAAAGCACAAACTTAGATGTGATGACTCTAGTTGTTTAGATTTGGAGAGTGTGTTTATAGATAGATTGTGCAGACTCAGCAGACTGGCCTTTTATTGATACGCCCACTGTATGAAAAACTGCATAAGAGTACTTTCAGTAATTATTGTAATTATCAGTGACAGGGCTTGGGTGTAGTACGTGAGCTACTTGACAATAGTCACATTATCCTCTCATATCCTCTTGATCAAGGGTAAATGACAAACACTTTTATTGAAACAGACCTTGTGAACCTATTTAGAAGATTGTTGAGAGCAGTGGTGCACTTGCCTTTGTTGGCACAGGCGATCCACTGCAGCGGCGTGACGTCATAGTTGTGTTGTCCGACAGAGAAGGTGAAGACACGGACCTTTGAGACAAAAGAGGCACACAGAGATGAGAGATACTGTAAGAACAAGAAAAGGCATTCATCATACAACGACATAGACTAAGACTTTCTGTAGGTGCACATGTTTGACGATGGTGGGAAAAGGGGACTGCGGACAATAACAACACTCTAGTTATGCATGAAAGATCAACTATGTTCACTTCTTTTTAATTTGAGAGTGTACAATTTGTTTGAACTTGGCATTTAAAGGTGGGGTGCATCACTTTTTACTTTCTTTATTAATACACTTTTTTGTTCTGACAGAAAAAGTCTTGTAAAACGCTGTTGAACAAATCCGACCACAACACGTCATCTTGTATATACTTGTAAGAAAGATCTTTGTGAGTCACTATTGGACATTTTGGGCTCAGAGCTGATTAGCTGAGTGACTGTTTTAAAAACTGATTCTATGGATTTTATTACATAATATATGTCTGGTGGTTTGAAGGTTAAGTAGCTTTAATCATAACACAAATCATGTAATCAAAACATTTTCAAAATATTAATGATTATTGAGATATAATGCTTAATAATGATTATAGTGATGTGAAAGGTTTTCATATTTTTACATAATAGAAGAAAAGTTTATTATTCATTAGTTAACAAACATTAAATGCAAAAACTGTTATGCTTCTTGAAATGTTCCACTGGTTTATTCTAGCCAAACTTTACTGACCAACTATATATAAACAAAAAACATTCTGACAGATATGAATAAAAAGTGCATTGTGAAAACACCCTCATAAGTTGTTATCCTTAACTCACTTTTCTTTCAATTGTTTTCTATTATTTCCTTTGGGCAGTGAGAAAGCAGACACCTAAACTAATAGGAGCCACAAAACAAAGTTGAGATATAATGAGGTCTTATTTTCCCCTGAATTATGTCACATTTGGTGTCAAGAAAATCAACAATCCAGTCCAATTATAAATAACCACAAACTTCTCTGTCAGATTCAGCTCAGTGTTCTCTCAGTATCCAGATATTAAACACGGTAAAGAAGAGTAGACTGTGGATTAACTGTTCTGTAAATTACATTTCACATTGTGTACCAATAAAGCTTGGGTGTGTAACATCCAAACCACATAGAATTAAAGTATAATATAACAATAATGCATCGGTTTTATATGGAGCCTCTTGGACATGATGTCTCACATTTCATTATGCTTTCACAGTGGTCATAAACTACTACTGTAGCCACATGCATGTCATTTTGGCTTCTTTCACATTTTTAGATCAGTTTTCACAAATACTCAAAGAGAGGATCGCCCTCACTCAGCCAATCAGTCAAATAATGACTCACAGGGCTCATTCTTACAAGTATTCAAGGGTTATGCATGTCAGACAGAATCATGTGACCTGATTGGTTCACAGTGTTTTACTTTTCCAAGACTCTTCCTGTTGGGACAAACAACATGTGAATAAAGAAAGTTAGCTACCCCAGCTTTGACCCTTTAACAATCCCTCTTTGAACCCCTATGTTATATAATTAAAGGCCTTTATCAAATGTTTGAGATGCAGTTTGATGGCAAAAGTGCCTAAGAGCAAGTCAGATGCCCCATATAAACTTAAAATCCGAACTTAAAGTAGCTATATTGACTCAAAAAAGTGATCTACCAAATGGTCGAGGAAACCATTAAAGGGTTATGAGATGAAATTCTAATTACAAAAAGACTGTAATGTAAAAAGTAAAAAAACATGGTGGATTATGAGTCAAACCCAATAACATTATTATAAACTTATTTTAAACGTCTGTTATAAATATGAGCAGATAATCTTCTCTTCTATATACAGACAGACAATCTCATACTAAAACTGACACTAATTGTGTGTGCCTTGGTGAATGGTGACCGGACTAAACCGATAAGCTGCTGAATACTTTGAGTGGAGATACTGACTGATTTGTTGGGCCAGTTGTACTTCTCAAAGATATCTTGAGCTCGGTCCTCCCCTCCGTCTGTAAACATCATTATCATCTTATTGCAGTTGGCTCTGGGGGCACTGCTCTCCTGCGGGATATGAAAAGGAGAAACATGAGTGAAGAGAAGGCACAGAGGAGCAACAGGGGAAAGGAAATATGAAAAAAAAATAACAGGAGATTTTCTGGTTTCAGGTTAATGCACACAACATTCATTGGATTAATTAAATTAAATCCAATTCAACTTAATTACAGCCCACTTTAAAACAGACCCACAAGACAATAATTAACAAACACAGTTATAAATCAGCCACCAGTGTCTCTACATCTTGGACTGAAATTGAGCACTGAACCTGATGTTTGTCAGCGCAGATAGACAACAGATACAATTGTACATTAGGGTCTTCAGCACAGCCTGTAAAGTGGTCAGTCGTGACAAACACGTCCGACGCACTCCTCCATCATGGCTTTCTCAGAACCACTTGTGAAGACAGGCTCTCTTTAGAGTTAATCCAGAGGTGGGCCATGCATAATGATCCAGAGGTAGGATTGGTGATTATTAGTACAGTGAACAGAAAGTAAAATATAGTTAGTATGAGAGCTGGGAAAATATGAATCTATTTGCAATATATTGTCATGTTTTTTTCTTTTTTTTTCCTGCTATTGGACAACTGAATTTATCATATGGGGGATTAATAAAGTATCTATCTATCTATCTATCTATGCATCTGTCTATCTATATATCTATGTATCTGTCTATCTATCTATCTATCTATCTATGTATCTATGCATCTGTCTGTCTATCTATCTATCTATGTATCTATGCATCTATCTATATATCTATCTATCAATGTATCTATGTATCTGTCTATCTATATATGTGGTGATACGATTTTCATTACTTTGAGTGACATAATCCATTGTAAAACCACAAGTTTTCAAATATACACAGCTTTCTGTCCTCTGTCCAAACTATCCATCCACTATCCAAGAGTTTACGAAAGGAGCATTAGATTAACAATTCAAAATGAAACATCTGTGTGTTTTGTATGTAATGTATCATTCATCAGATTGCAAAACTACCAATAGTAAAGAAGTGCTGCTATTCTTGAAAAATAAACAACAACTAATGAAGTTTTGTAAGTAAGAAAGTAAGAAAGCAAGCAATGTCTATCTATATAGCACATTTTTACAGACCAAGGTCACCCAAAGCGCTTTACAATATTCAACACCAATCAACACCATCCATTCATTACATTCATACCTATTGTGCATGTCTTTTTAGTGGAAGGAGAAACCGGAGAACCCGGAGGAAACCTACGCAGACACTTTATTACAAAAGGGTGCAGTATATTTGATTATTTAAGTGTTACTCTTCATGTGTGACAAAAAAAAAACAGAAACAAATAAAATACAGAAAAAACTTTGAAAACCCTCCACAGTTGCATGCAAATGTCAAAGAGCCAAATGGTTTATGAAAGTTAGTATGTTGTTGTTATGGACTCCCTCTACCCAGTGCAAGAAGGAGTGCTACCGCAGGGCCTTCATTTCCACCGCTGTCAGACTGTACAATAAGTCACTTTAGGTCACTAATGACCTTCACTAGGACTGAAAAAACAGCACTGCTATCGCCACAAAATTACATCCTGCACAGACTATATTTTTAACCTAAACATGTTGCACATTTCTGTCTTTTGCATAATCTGAGTGATTCTAACTATGTCAAAAATGACATGCAAACTTCTCCAGTTTGAGATCAATAAAGTTTATCTTATCTTATCTTTTTGCAATTTGAAATAAGGTAGTATTTACCCCACTATAAATCCTGAAAACAGTTCGATAAAAGCAGTTGTAATGAGTAGAACAACACTATATAGACTGGACAAGCTCACACCTATGTCCTTATCCGTCACATTCGGCTGAAATCTCCCTCAGGTTCTTGCACCGTTTGCAGATACCAGCAGCGTGTCAATGTGATAAGAGCCAGATAAACAATTACAACTCAATATTTGTTAGATTTTTTTTAAGGATCACAGATCACAATTAGAAGAGCTTTAATCTTCTTCTGATTCAGCTTGGGGAGAATACAGGGACATGGCACTGGCAGGGGGCGGTGGGGGGCTGGATTTTGGCTCGGAGCCTGGAAGCCCACCAGAGGAATATAAAGTGTCCATGGCTGATCTCCACTGGGTTCTCTCATCAATCATCCCATCAGGGTCCATTAGGGTGCAGGCAGACCAAAATACGCACACACACACACATGCACAACACCATACACATCCACTCTCATGCGCACACACACCCCTATACACACACACTCTTATGCTAACGCAAACAGAAGCAAACTCACACACACCCACACACACACACACACACACACGCACAACACCATACACATCCACTCTCATGCGCACACACACCCCTATACACACACACTCTTATGCTAACACAAACAGAAGCAAACTCACACACACACATGCACACCACACGTCCACTCTCATGTGCACATACACACACAGAAGCAAACTCACACACACACACCCACACACACACGCACAACACCATACACATCCACTCTCATGCGCACACACACCCCTATACACACACACTCTTATACTAACACAAACAGAAGCAAACTCACACACACACATGCACACCACACGTCCACTCTCATGCGCACATACACACACACACACACACACACACACACATTCTCATTCTAACACACACAGAAGCAAACTCTTACACACCCACATTCACACAAACATACACACACACAACCCCCACACACACACACACCTTCGCACCACACACACTATCAGACTCACACGCACACATACACTCACTCTAACGCACACACACACTCATACACCCAGCTCCTGTGAGAGGCACGTGGGCTGGACCGCTGCTATAGACCTGCTGACTGCCTCGTTGTGTGGCACTCTTGTAACACACTCAAACACACACGTGACACAAACACTGCTGTGGGGGAGCGAGGTTTGTGAAGTACCTGCAGTTCTTCATATTAAATGCATTTGGTTTTTTCTGTCAATGTGCGAAAAATATGTGCTTTATTATGTGATCAAATAAATAAAATCAAAGAAAAATAACAAACATGGATTGGATTGAATTGATAAAGAAACAAGAAGAAACTTTTCCACATTCCTCTGTCATGGTGAATTTACTTACCCCAGCATGACAGAGTGGAAAATGTTTCTTTACTTTATAATAATGTGAATCACACTTAATTTTTGTGTTTATAATCTCTGATAGGGCTGGTGTTAGGACAACCTTTTGTGGACTTTGTGCAGTCGTCAGTAATAAATGCGTAGATAGAAAATAGAACACGTGCACTCTGCAGATTAGTAAGTAAGTAAGTAAGTAATTTGGGCATTGTTCTGGGAGCGGGGTCGCCAGTACAGGAGGCGAATGCACAGTCCTATTGTACATGTTTTTTAGTGGTAGGGGAAACCGGAGCACCCAGAGGAAACCTACGCAGACACGGGGAGAACATGCAAACTCCACTCAGAAAGACCCTGTTCCGACCGGGATTCACAGCTATAACATGAGCTAAAACATGTCTTTATTGCTTGAGGTAAAGTTTGGCAAAATGAATTGGTGGCAGCAAAGATTTAATCCATGATAATCCACAAGTCACTTAACTAATCGCTTGTCACTTTACCCGCTATTATTAAATGAAAATGTAGATGTACATTTTATTGTCCACATAGGGATATTTGTCCTTTGCATTTGACCCATCCTGATGCCACTAAGGCTTTCGTCAGGAGCAGTGGGAGCTGTAGTAGTGCTCTCCAGAAGATGGTCATCGAATTGCTACTGTTTCTTTACTTGCCACTTTTTATTGTCCATAATATATCCTCCACAGACTACTATATATTACCAGAGATGGAGGGTTTGAATATTGTGCATATTTTTAGTGGTAGGGAAAACTAGAGAACCTTGAGGAAACCTGCGCAGACATGGGGAGAATTTGCAGACTCCACTCAGAAAGACCCTGTTCCAACCAGGACTCGAACCCAGTAATTCACTATTCACTTTACCTGCTGCTTTTTTTAAACTCTTGTTCAGGTCATATTCTTGTGGTCATATTCTACAATATAGACATCTGTAAATACATCATGATGCTGCTTTCGACAGTGTATACACCACAAGTGACTTACCCTTGAAGCCAGTGCAATTATAGCTTCAGAGTTTTATCATATTTTAGTAACTTATTATTTCATTTATTTATCTACAATCTAAAATAATAACTCATGTTTAAGGAGTGCAACCTGAATGCGCACATTTATTCTGCTGTAATGTGCGTAATGATGACAATGATATTTCCCCACTGTGAGACGGAAAAAGGTTCATTTGATTTTATCTTAGCTTTAAAATGACCGTTAAAAATGAGTGAAATCTCGGACAATTTCACTAATTACTAATGTCTTGAAAGACTTCAAAATTGGCCAATCGGCAAACTGATGAACCAGTGAGTCGCTATGGAAACAGCCCTAATTTCTCATGATTTTAAGAGACGCCTGTAAATGTTCATGTTGATCATAGCAGTAGTGGCTTTACTTTTGCACATATTCACTGAGGATCAATGTAAACATACTGCTGCTAACATGTACAGATGTAAACATACTGCTGCTAATGTTTGGATGTAAACATACTGCTGCTAACATGTGCAGATGGAAACATGCTGCTGCTAATGTACAGATGTAAACATACTGCTGCTAATGTACAGATTCTAACATACTGCTGCTAACATGTACAGATGTAAACATACTGCTGCTAATGTACAGATTCTAACATACTGCTGCTAACATGTACAGATGTAAACATACTGCTGCTAACATGTACGGATGTAAACATACTGCTGCTAATGTGCAGCTGTAAATATACTGCCGCTACTTTTCTCTTAATCTTAAAACAAATACAGGCTGTAGTTTTTAATGTTGAAATATGCCACTCCACAGAGTTTCACTTGTTAGATTAAAAACGCTCAAATGAAAAAAACACACATTTGTAATTGACGTCATGCAGACTTTGATCATGTGTACACAAATAGGAAAAAGAAACGGCAGATAGAGCCAAGAGCTGCATTAACGTCCAAACGTGACAAACCGCAGACACACAAGCAGACACACAAGCAGACACACAAGCAGACACACAAGCAGACACACAGGCAGACACACAAGCAGACAGGCGCGTGGCGAGAGCGTAAAAGGCTTACGTTGAGGAGCTGCTCAAAGGCAAACGTGAATCCCGACTTGTAATCCGTGGTCCCTTTGGCCTGCATGTGCATCACGGCCTCTTTGAAAATCTTCTTGTTGCGAACGTTGGCCTGGACCAGTGTCTTGAAGCAGGGAACCACCGCATCTGCTTTTTCGTTGAACTGTGGGAGAGATTTAAGAGTTTTTAGAGCGTGCACTTGTTGACTTTGACTTCCCCCAGCAGATCAAAGAGAGACTGAGACTGGGGACAGAATAAAGCAAGTTTGTCTAAGCCAGTGATTAGTAACCACTATAGCTTAGAATTTGCATTAAGACATAAATACATATATATTCTTGACTCAAACGATTTTTTAGATAAACGGATCTGTCCAAAGATATATAGGAAATAAATTGTAGTAATGTAATGCTGTTATTTTAATTTTTTTATTGCTTTTTAAAATGCCGGAAATAAGATAAACAATTCACCATGTCTTCCTGATTTTTTTATTATTATTTTTTTCACGCAGAAAGCAATTACCATAATAGAGCAACACAGCAAAACATGTTGAAGACCAAGTGTATAATAGCTTCTTATTTTAAGCCATACAACACAAGGAGAAAAACATATTTATCCCAGCACTTATTCTGCTGTCTCACAAGAATATTTGACAACAGAACACTTTGTCTTCCAAACAATTGAGACATTTTTGTTGTTCTTTATTTCTTAAAACAATATGCTAGATCCACTGGACAAAGCTTACAAAATTACAAGATTTTAAAAACCCAGACTTACTTCACATCAACTTATCTCATAACTGTGTTTTGCAAAGAGAACCAGAGAAAAGAATTAAGAATTATATTTGTGATCATGACAATTACCAGCCACTGTTACGTCTAGACACGCACAGATTTTAGAGGCATGCGTCTCAAAACCAAAGCTTGATGACTTCTGAAGCCCACATTAGTAAGTGTCTTTGTGAGTTACATGTACTGCTGCTGATGGGGGTCAGCTGCAGGCGTGGGCGTGTGCAGATGTTCAGCTCAGTCTGCCTCTAAACACCACTAATTACAACTCTCATACAAAGAACAGGTGCACCTGAACGCATCGCGACAAACCAGGCAGAGCCAGCCCAGCTAATATGACCTGTCGCGTCCCATCCACCCTATGATGCCAAATCCCAGGTCTGCATGTTGTGTATGGGCGTTCTGCTTCAGTGTTTGCTGCAGTTTTTAATGACAGATTTACATTTAGTTCTAGTAAGATTTTCATTTATGGGTAATCTCAAATAAAACTGCAAATGATCACCAAATCCTGGCTCAATATCCAACCTCCTACAATACAACAATGGTAAAAAGGACGGAAAGAAATGTACTACAAAAAAAATTCACCGCAAAATTAGATTTGAATGTGGATCAATTTATTTAGACATTTGGAAAACGCGCTATTCTACATTTTGGTTGGACACATTAAATCCTAACTGAGAGGGATTTAACTGTTTTGAGTGTGTACCAATTAACAGGCATTTTTTTGTTAAATGATGCTATGTTAAATGTCATGAATAATGTGTTTACATAAGTCGTATGCATCAGTAAAGCTCTATACATTTGAGCGTTATGCAACAGTTGGATGTTTGAGCAAACATCAAAGTGTAAAAAAGAGCTTAGTTATAGCTGCCTATGGCACAATATAGACATTCTAAATTAAAACAACAAGGCTGCACTCTATTGATCATTGCACCATTGTTTCTTGCATATAATCCTTCATATATTGTGGGAAAAATCAGATGCATTCCCTGTCATATTACCAAACTCATTTTTTTACTTTTAGAGCTGGGATTAAGCAACATACAGTGGCTAAAAGTGATGGATTAAGGCGGATTACTTAAGGAGGTCCCCAGACAGTGGCGCCATTACCATCACCAATCATATGCATGTGTATGTGTTTATCTGCTGCTGTATGCGCTTATTCCAATATCCCCCTAAACAGAGCGGCTAATATGAGTCTGGTATTCAGTGGAGGGAAAGAGAGGAAAAATCCCATATGGACAGAGCAAACAGACAGTAATGGGGGAAATGTAGTGTTTCCAAAGCGGGCAAACAACTGGGAGCAGATGCATCCGGTGCAGTCTGCTAAGTCTGGTAATACCACCTGCCTTCAAATGACTCAAATCAGAGGTGGAAAATGTATATATATGTTTTTTATTGCTAACAAAATACTATTAATTCTGTTTGTTCATAAGAGAAAAAAATCATAAGAAATATGGTGCAAGTTCATTAGGGAAAATAATGAATACTGATAATGTCGCAGTACCTAAAAGCACTACAGACCAAAGTATGTAATGGTGAACCTGTGCCCAGAGTCAGGACTAAACATGCAGCTACAATTAGGAACTGAAAATGTGAGCCCACTTACTCATATTGGTACATGTGCATTTATGCTTTAGTTCTTCATTGATGGACAGTATAGTAATTTTACCATGCTCATACTGTTCTGTAAAGCAATTTGACTTTGTGATCACGAAATACTACATCGAGTCAGGATAAAAGCAATGCGACTTTAGACGAGCTTTTTCAAGAAAACTACAGTGAAAGGACTGAGAAGATTATAAGAATAGCTGGGAAGATGGATGGAGCTAAATTCAGAGACATTGTGGAGGAAAACCGGCTAGAAACAGCAAGAGAATGAGGCTGGGGCAAAGATTCACCTTCAAGTAGGACAATGACCCTAAACACAAATCTAAATCTACAATGGAAGGGTTTTAAAAGAATAACCAATGTATGTGTTAGAATGACCCAGTCAAAGTCCAGACCTAAATCCAACAGAAAAGACCTAAAAACTGCTGTTCACAAACGCTCTCTAATTTGACAGAGCTCCAGTTATTTTGTAAAGAGGAACTGTGGTGGTTTGTTCTTACCCGGGCCACATTGACGTAGTCGTCGTCTGATAAAGTGTCCAACATCTCGTTGACCGAGGTCTTCATCAGTTTGAGCGTGAGGCCGCTGACGCTGCCGCTCCTGCAGGAACCACAGTCAATTAGCCACATGCTTAACCTTTCACTAAACAAGATCATTATTCAACAAGAGGACCATCGTGATGTAGCTGTTTACAGTCAAGAAACAACAAATTAGTGATACACTTATAATTAAGAAAACCCCAAGGATAATATCTCAATGTAAATAAATATTACATTGCTGAGAAATGTTGTCAATGCTATTATAATTTAGAAAAGAAAATTCTGTAACTATTTGAGGGATGAGGAGAAACATTAATAACAAGATCAACTTATATAGGTAATCAAATCCATAAAAGGATCACTATTTCAAAATGAACACAATAAACATAACTTAAAGCTGGGTACCTAATTTTCAAACCAAAACGAATCCAACTCTGCAGTGTAATAAATGTAACTGGTTCCTCGCTCTTAAAATGTCAAAAAATGTGGTTCTGTGTAAATAGTTTGCACATGCATGTATTTCTAACCTCTTTCTATTTCTAAAAGGGGAAAATAAAGGACAACCTTCCCTTGCATTTTACTTGTATAAGGCTCTTTCTTTTTTGGATTAAACAGCATAGAATTTTGTATGATTATTGCCAAAGTTAGGTACCCAAGCTTTAATCTAACATCTGCAACATAAAATATGGACATGGACCATTTTGTCCGTGCTCAGAGAAGCAGCATTTCAGACCAACAGGTGGCACTAGCATCCTTTGAAGAAACGTGAAGGACACTCACACGTCCACAATGATGACCATGTCCTTTGGAGACGAGGCGCCCTGGATGTACCTGCACACAACCAAAAAAACAAAATGGATTGAGAACACAAGACTTTTTATTTTATTACACTCTTTATCAACCGCACTAGAAATCCTCACGAAGAGCTCTTTCATTATGATTCAGTTTTCCTGGCTAAGCCCACTTAAGCTTGAAAACACAAAACAGCTTATGTGCTTAGAAGAGTTAATAAGTTGTGCTACAGTATATACTTCATGTGCAGTGACTTCTTTGGAGATACTCAGCTGTGGAGCCCGACAATGGCTACTCCAAATAATGACTGCATCCGCTGCACTAATTGCTGGTTTGGAGTCGGAGTAAATAATAGGACATAATGGGCAGTGGTCTGTGGCGTGTAAACTGCATGGCACGAGACAAAAGAAAAAAAAAGCAAATGCAGAGAATAACATTAATAGGATGATTAAAACAAAGGGAACAAAGGGAAGTTCATGTTTACTATAGAAACATTTTTTGCACATGCAAATACTGCTTTCCACTAATGTAGTTTGTGTTTTTTGTTTAGTTAAACTTTCACTAAATGAGTTTATGATGATGTATGCTTAATTTAGAAGAAAGAGATTTAGGGACATAATTTAGGGACATTAATAAGTAGCTATTTGAGGCAAGAATCAACAAATCAGCCAACAAATTAGTAATAGAAATATAATAAGTTTCATTTCTGGATCTCAATAGTGGCCGTCTTAAAATTTGAATGATTATTTCTAGCCATCATTTTTTTGAGCTCTTATTCATAAATACTAATAAAGAGGACATATTTGTTCAAAGGGGCACCGTGGCTGAGAGGGCGGTGCTCAGGCCTCACTGCAAGAAGTTTGTGGTTTCGATTCCTGGCCTGAGCCTCTCTGAGTGAAGTTTGTATGTTTCTTCCGGTGTCTGGGTGGTTTTTCTCCTGATCCTTCAGTTTGGGGCAAATGAAGAGAGCACATTTCTCTAAGGGGACAATAACCTAACTTTTATTGAGAACTTTTCTGGTGGGAAAAAAATTAAAGCCCAAAATATGCATTTTAACACAAAATATCTCAGTATTTGAATTGATTTCATTACAATTAAAATACACTGTAAACACAAAGAAACAGAGCTAAATAAATGAGCATATGTCTTTGAGGTTTGCAATGAAAATGGGATTCAGGCAACTGTAAAATGAATTCAAAATAAAATTGTCCAAAGGGAGCAATAACAAAGACTACATGTTTAATAGTTTCACTGTATATAGGCTGCATATCTCCAAAACAGCAATGTTATTTTAGTATACCTTTTTAAATGTGTACCCCTCTATTCAGATCTCAGTGTTATAAGAGTAAAATGACTCATGGGCTGATGGCGTCACACATTATTTCCTCTCTACTGTTTTCGCTTAAGACCATTACCTCACAAAGTAAAGCTGTTTAGAAGACGCCCAAGAGACTGACAAGAATACAGCAGTTTACATCATCAAGGGAACTTTTCTTCTCCCGTCACTATATATAGTATAGGCAGAATTAAGAATGTTGTCATTATTGAATAGATTTATATTTTCAACATAACTAAAATGTACACGCTTCAGCTTAGTTTGAAAAGAAAGTCAATTTTGTCCACATATAGGCCTCTGTATTTGACCCATCCTGATGGCGCTAAGGCTTACTTCAGGGGCAGTGGTCGCCGTATAGAGTGCACGGGAACCCATCTCCAGATGTTAATGCTCAACTTGATTAGAACTACCAGAGCAGGAGGATTTGACCTAATGTGCATGTTTTTAGTGGTAGGGGAAACCAGAGCACATGCAAACTCCACTCAGAAAGGCCCTATTCTGACCAGGATTTGAACCTAGGACCTTCTTACTGAGAAGCGGGAGTACTGTACTTATGGAGTGCGTCAACAGATTTGTGTGTGCGTAAAAAGATTTGTGCCGGCGTAACCAGATTTGTGTGTGCGTAAAATAAATATTTGTGCGTATGTAAATAGATTTGTATGTACGTATCAAGATTTGTGTGTGCGTGAAAAGATTTGTGTTGAGCGTAGAAAGAATTGTGTGTGTGAAAAAAAAGTACGTTTTACGCACAAGTTTTTTTTTTACACACAAATCTTTTGACGCAGTCCTGCCTTCGCAGATAGCACTTAGGCTTTTTTCCGTTCTTCACTTCGTACAACGTGGTTATTTACACACAGATTGTTCTGTTACAGATACAAATATCAAATTACACACACACAAATCTGTTTACGCACGCACACAGTCCAAGTTACACTTGCGAATCTGCGAAGGCAGGACTGCGTCAAAAGATTCGTGTGTAAAAAAAAAAACTTGTGCGTAAAACGTACTTTTTTTTTTTTTTTACACACACAACAAATCTTTCTACGCACACACAAATCTTTTCACGCACACACAAATCTTGATACGTAAATACAAATCTATTTACACATGCACAAATATTTATTTTACGCACACACAAATCTGATTACGCACACACAAATCTTTTTAAGTACACACAAATCTGGTTATGCACACACAAATCTGGTTACGCACGCACAAATCTTTTTACGCACGCACAAATCTTTTTACGCACACACAAATCTGTTTACGCACACACAAATATTATTGAAACAATAATAGCTACATAAGTACTATCCACTCAGCCACTGTGCCACATAAGTCTTGGAATATTTCTGATGGGATCCAATTGCCAAACTCGATTGAATAAATCATGTTGAAAGGCACTAAATGTATTAGTAGCTCATCACACGTCTGTCGGGTCTAATTGTCATGTATTGATGATATAATTATGCGATCATGCTAATATGTATAGTTCTATTGCAATCTTTACAGATTGAAATGACGCACAAAGCAAACATATCAAACTAAACATACTAATAGTCCATAAACTAGTCCATAAACTATTGCTGTTCACATAAACTTATTGGGAAGCAGGAATACTACGTCATCAGGTCAGGAGGTCAACAGCTGATAGAGGAAGGAACACATAATATCGTTATATAGGCAGCAGGGTTCAAATAACATGAACATTTTTTTTTTACAGTCCAACTATTACAGTAAACTAGTTGTATCTATACAAACAAGAGTAAAAGGTAACAATGTTCTAGTTAATATTATCAATTACAAAGACGCATTAAAACTCATCAATGGTGTGTATGGCCCTATCCAGTGCATATTGTAATAGAAGGGAGATTTATTCCTATGGAGTAAAAAGGCTTGGAATGCATAATTTAAGGATAAAACTTAAATAACCTTTGCATTTCAATACTATAAGGAATGTGGAGGAAAGAAGCTGAAGGTGGACTGCCATTGTATTCTGCTTCAATGGGAAGGCTTTGTAATGTCTGAGTCGTACATTACAGAAAGGACATGAAATTTTATCATATTCAGTTCAATTAAAGTCACATTTGACCGCACTACAAAGGAGCAGAAATGGATGGCTGTAATGAGGCCCCAATGGGAACACCGGAGAGGGATTTGAGGAGAGGGACATTGAAAAGCAGTAAGAAGTCAAGAAGTCATTGAGATTGTGCCCGGTGATCACAGGAGCTGATGCATATAGGCCTTACAGCAGCTCCATATGACATATTGCCAAGGAAATATTCAGGCTATATAAAACACCAGGGAAAACTAAATATTCTGATTTCAGGTTTTCAGCTTTGTTACACCTGGTAATAATGAAAACTTCAACAAGACGTCAAACTAACTCATTATGCACACTTAGACTTTGTCTTTGTTGGTGCAACATTAGTGACAAGAAAACGTACATATAATGACAGACTAGGGCTTAAATCAAGTTAATTAGATAAATCAACCTTTTTGAAAATTCAAGATGTGAGAAACGTCAAAACTGTGAAATTGAGGTCAGGAAAAAAGGCATGTTTTTTCTGGCCTCTGCTTCTCCTGGCTTCTGTAGTTTAGTCGTGTAGCATGAATGTTATATGTTTACTCTGGATTATTTACTGGGGTAAATAATGGGGATGGGGATTCTGGGGTTTAAGCACTATACATCAGACCATGCAGTGTTGTTGATACTCTAAACTTAAAGAAGCAATATTTAAGAAATACAGTACATGTCAATCCTTAAATGGCCCTCATATGTCAAAAGGCATTAATAAACCATGCTCTTCTCCAATACGTCTTTAATTAATATCTGTAGTTTAGCTGAGATTTCAAAATAAGTTTAAAAGCCCCAACATTTTGTTATTGTTTTCATTTCGATGTCCTGCCCTCCACCGTTTCACCAAGCAGACAGTCTGTGATCCGGGTTGCCAGAACTCAAGCATTGAGCTAAGTAACATGTGGCCGCAGAACTAAAAAAGGTCATCTTATGATTCTCAAAGCATTAATAACAAAACAAGAAATAAAACAAGGATTTCTATCAGGGCCTTTGTGAAAAAGGGGTTGGTTATAGATTTGCAGTCAACAAAGCTCTTGTCTATTCAGATTTTATGGTCCAGCTGGATTCTGCATATCTGGCAACAAGGTTGCAATACCACTTTTGGCAACATTTTTACATACTGCTATTGTGATAAACAGCATATTCATCAAACTCAACAGGCATAATGTCACAATGCAATAGTCAATAATAAATTCTCAACATGTTTGTAGTTGCTGAAAACTTGAGTAACAGTACAGCAATCCATCAGTGCCATCTTTCACTTTCAGTACAAGTCAAAGAGAAAGAATTAAATACAGTCTCACTCTGGTCCACTATATAAAGATGGGTGTATTTAAGCTGGAGCAGCACTTAAAAGACTCTTGTTACTAAGTACATGTCTCATTTTCACTGCTCACTCCTACCTCCCAGGTTTATCTTTGAAGCATAACATTCTCTTTATTTTGCTGTCTCACCCTGAGAGGATTTTGACCTAAAATGACTAATAGACTATTGGACTGCCTTCATAATTAACATCTGGCCTCTCCAAAACAAGTTTCCTCCCATTAAGAGCTCTATTTGCCCAATAGAAACAGCGTGGGCAGAGAAGTTAATGAAATTCTTCCGTTGGTCTCGGGGCTACTC